TGGCGCAAATGGCGTATCCGGGGTTCATGGGTTTGGTAATTTTTTGGGGGTTTTGTCGATAACCCCCCCCCCCCCCCCCCCCGAAATACTGTGTCGTTGTCTTTCGACGGGCAAACAGCTTCGCCCTAATAGATTTACTCAAAACCTCTGACATCTAACTAACCTAGTTAACTCAAGGTGACTTCGATTTTACTATCAAATTCGAACAGATGTTTTTTGTCCTCACACCTTCCGTTATCTTCATTCTTCTATCACTACAGCGAATCTAGGTACTCGTACAGAGGCCTATTATTGTAGATGCTCCATCGCTGAGACTGGTTAAACTTTCAAGTACCATTTGAGATGATTTCTTAACGTTATTGTGCCTTGAAATACTGATATATGTATGTTACCGTCATCAATCGGAATCACTTCACCACGATGCTCTGCAAACTCTCACACAAGCGCCGCTTAGTTTCTTGACCACTACCGACCAAAGGATCATCACCAATCTGTTTCCTCAGGATCTGAATCTGATCGACGACGACTGAGATTATGTCAGATACAAACCGCTAAATCAAAAGGTATTTCTTATTAGCGCAATTTCTATTACAGTCTATCTGACAGATTACTAGAGTTAGAAGCAAAAAGTCCACTCTAGTAAGTTAATAACCTCTCCATGAACTGACACGCTTTATGATTGTCTAGTTTTATCACTCAACTGCCTATTAGTTTAATCATTGTATCGGTACCTACTTAGTAGACTTAGCCAACGCATACAGTGCTCATTTTCTTGATACCTAACACGTTGCTGTTACTCTTGGAACCTTTGGTTTCATTGCCGAGTATCGTACCAAGAACTCCCTCCACCTGGATACGTCCCAAAGACCTGCCTACCTCTTAAGCATGATTCAACAGTTAGTCTCCTTATATTAGTGTATGGATTTATAACTAGCCCTTTTGTATGTTAGATGGCTTGGTTTAGAACTGAATTCCATCATGGCCATAATTGCCGCTTTGCTTACATCCCTCGCAACTAATGTGCTATCTAACCCCGGTTTCACTGGCGCATCATTAGTGACTTGGATGGGATTCGGAGAAATGCTCATAAAAGTCGTTCTGTTCTATAAATTGCTCGAGACCTCACTCGGTGCTATTACTCGACTAAAGTCTTTGGAGAAGGAAGTTGGATCGGAGAATAAGGAGGGAGGGGACATTGCTCCTTCTAAGGCTTGGCCAAAAAAAGGGGAAATTTACTTCAGCGGTGTCTCAGCTAGCTATGGGTACCAGTCCGTTTTCCATTATCGTATCACACAAGAACTCACATCGTCCAGGACCGTAAGTACCGTAAGTACAACTGAGGAACATATCATGACATTAAAGAATATCGAACTCGAAATCGTCTTTGCGGAAGAATTGCAGTATGTGGCCGAACTGGGAGCGGAAAGTCGTCCCTATTACCCCCCTGATGAAATTTCTGGACCCGGCTGATAATACACCTGAGAACGTCTTCATAGACAATAAGCCTCTAAACAGGATATATCGCACTGCTCTACGCCAGCGTATCATCGCTATCCCGCAAGATATTATATTTCTACCAGGTGGCTCTTTTTTTTTTAAAAAAAAATCTAGACCCATATGAAGTTTTGACGCCCGCGGATGCTGAGGGCGTTATCAAGCTAGTAGGACTACGGACGTTTGTGCGTGATCGGGGTGGGCTCAAGGCGGGCCTGGTAACCAAGGCGCTGAGCCAAGGGCAGCGACAACTCTTCTCTCTCGCTTGGGCGATCCTCCGCAGACGTGTTCGGGCAAGAAGTATCGGACTTGGCGGTGGTGGTACCGAGCGCGGTATCTTACTCCTTGACGAGGTGAGCTCGAGCGTCGACCGGGACACGAAGAAGTTAATGCAAGAGATAATTAGCAACGAGTTCAGCGAGTATACTGTAGTGGCTGTGTGTCATCACCTGGACATTATTATGGACTACTAGCGTGTTGTCGTGATGGATAAAGGCGAGATTGTCGAAGTTGGTAAACTAGTCGATTTAATCAAGGTGGAGGGAATTAAAGTCGACGAGCTGTGGAACGCAACGGCTAGATAGTCCAAAGTTGTTTATATATTCAGCTTGGGGATGCATCGGCAAGAAGCAAGGATCTTCTGTAAACAGAATCGTTAATCCATCTTCAGAGGATGCATTTCAGCTGGAAATGATATGAGATATCATAGTAGTATTCTACTAGCATAATATTCATTAAACTGAATGCGCGTTATTGATACGAGTACCTAAGGCATTTAACATAAACTGATATCACTAGATGAACTACCTTGCAGGTGACACGTATCAAATTAACCTACCAGGTACCTAGGCAGCAACATTCTTCCTCACACCCCCAGCAAGCTGGAAACTGTAATGAAAAAAAGTGGTACCCGTGTTTAGCCTTGGATGTAGTGTAATACCAAGGTTAAGGGCCACGGGCAGCCCAACATGTAAAAGTAGATAAACGCGTAATCCAGAAAGTCGGGTACAGCCAGGCATCACCAGAAGAGACCACAAGGGGAGGAGCTGGGCTAAGGACAACAAGTCGTCCGTCGCACTGGCATATCCGAACCAACCAACGCCTCCCTCGCCCTCGGAAACAAGTATCAGGAACGGAGAGATAGCCAACGATGCATGAGAATTTCATTGCTACTGTGATCAGAGGTCCAGCCCCGGGGCGATGTAAGACTCGCGGAAGGTTAAAGGCCCCCCCATAACCGACGGCGAAGAATTACTGGACGTGAGTAGCGCCGTGGAGTCCCCTGACCAACCGAACCGGGCGTCTGCGCAAGTGGGCTGGCCGACTCGAGGGGGCGAGATGATCCGGAACCTGACGCGCATCGGTGTCACCCAAAAAAAAGCGCCGGGAGGCAACCGGAGACACAGAGGAAAAAACGATCGAGGGGATGCAACCCGCGATATGGTTTTATGCCCTACGACCCCGGTTACTGCCCAAGGGGATGCAACCCTTCAGTGCAGGGGATGAGGCACCCTGCATCATGGACGAGGTGAGATGCAAAGATTAGCCCCTGAGAGCCTCGAACCAGGCGCCGACTCTCTCCAGATGGTCTCGAATCCGAAATGACCCCAAAGGCGACCGGTTCCCGGGACGCCAGATAGGCCCGGACGAAGGCTCTTCTAGTACATATTGCCCGAACCGACTTTCTTGGATTAGGTACCTAGGTTAGGTAGGTAGTTAGGTATGAGGAAGAAAAAAGAAAAAGGAAAAGGAGGGAGATAGAAATTAAGTGGACAAGACCCTTACTTTTATACAACGTGGGGGAGGTGCCTGATGAGCAGGGATCACCCCGGACGACGGGTAGCCTAAGCTTAGTTTGGATGGTTTGCGGGTTGAAAATTTCCGATTGGCTTACCCCGAATTTCTTAATTTCTTAATTTGGCAAATCAGTGTTGCCGCACGTCATTGGCCCCCACCTAGCTAAGTCCATTTTAATCCTAAGCTGATTGATTTTTGAAAATACCTAGGTACATCAGGTACACCTCTAGAGTGCTCATACATATCCCGCAAGTAATTCCAAAGCGGTCTCGTATTGGAAATCCCCTGATATTTGATTTCTAATCTTGAGTCTTCAAGATATCTTTCTTCGCACAAGCCATAATACTGAACTTACAATGTTAGGTAATTTTAGTCTAGAAATGGCATGGCATTCTTAAGTTGCTCGAAGGACAGATTACTGTAGGTACGAAATACTTGACCAAACGGGGAAAGATCGAGTAAGTGACGTAGCTACCTCCATTACGCCGGGTGCCTGATAAATCAAAGAGAAGGTGCGCATTATCTTCCCCTTAAGTGTACCTGCCTTAGGTTCATAAAACTCTAGATACGAATTTCTAAAGGTACCTAGGCACCTAATATGAATAAAAATGGAAGGAATCTTAGAAGAAGGTACGCTCAGATGTAATTGAGAACAGGTACATGGAATACGTACCTTACGTACCGCATGTACCTAGGTATTGTACCTAATTGACTGGGGCACTTCAAGTCCTATTGGATTCAGTTCTAGGTAGTGGCCCTTTAAGACATGTCTCGAAGTGTGCCATAACTTAACCCCAATGCCTCCGGTCTACTATAGCGATAGAGACTAATATGAGCTATTTAAATTCACAGAGCCAACTTAAACCAGACGTCGTAAATACAATGTGATATCTTATTGATTATAATAATATATCAACTCAGTCATAATAGGTTGTCATCAAGTAAGCAATCTCCCTTCCGCCAACCTTAAGTAATTACACCTAAATAGGAAAGTATCGTAGCATCCATACACATGTTGTCTCTGGCCTCCTTTTAAGCTTGAAAAGGAGGTAGCATCTTAGCCTCCACGAGCTCTTTGAATGTGTGCTGAAATTCTTCCCATGTATCCGCGTATCCCGTCCAGCCTAACTTCCGTGCCTTGCTCATACTCGCGACGCAGCTGTAGTTGCGACCTAGTAGGAAAGCCACAAAGTTCCAGGTTGCGCCGCCCCACGCAGCTTGTTCGAGATTGTGTCTATCACGCAGCCTCTCCCAAGCCTTGATTACCTCTGGCCGCTTGGCCCACTTCTCCAAGTCGATCTGGCAGAATAGCTCGGAGGGCTTAAATTCGTCTTTGAGCCCGATCTTGGCTGCGACTTCGGCTACCGGTGGCCGATCGTGCATTTTCGTGTGGCTGCTCTCGTATCCCGGGTACGCCTTGAATTCGTCACCGGCCGGGAACATCTTTTCAGGGATGGTGCACCCGAAGAGAGCCGCCATCCGCGGCCATAAGTCCTGCCAGCTCTGGGTGTCGCCGTTGACCACATTAAATCGCTGGTTGTCCGAATTAGGTGTCTTGCCGGCCCAAAGGCAGAAATTGGCGTGCAGTCTAGCTGATGTCCAGCCGTTAAAGGCCAAATAGTTGACCTTATTTCCGGGAAATATGAGCTTTGAGCCTTCAAGCTCCTTGCTAACAGCGCAGTACTATGGACGGTTAGCATCTTCGTAGTCGCTTCGGATCTCATAGTTGTCTGTGCATTGAAACGCGATAATGAGAATAGCTGTAGTAGAATCAAGGTTATACTTACCAAGCCAATCGAAGTAGCTAGGTTCATGAAATTTGCCTTGGCAAAGCCGATGACATCCTGGGGGTAAGTTACAACCCAGGCCCACTTGTTATGATGGTCTGCGGTGTACTTCTCCAGGATACGCTGCTGAGCGTAGTAGAAATTAGGCGGGCGATCTTTCTGTTCAAGCCAGACTAGCGAGTCTTCATCGTCTTCGCGCATGGGGTTTTTAGGCTGTCCTAGATGCACCCCGTATTGCTTAAGCCCACACGTCAAACTAAAGTGCTTAAGCTCGCGGGTCTGGCCAGACTTGATGAGCGCATCCAGGAAGTTAGACAACATAGACCCATTGATGCGCGTAGCTTCTGCTTCGTCAGGATCGGCTAGATAGGCGCAGAAGTAAATATGCGTCACCACCGGGATATGCGACAGGGACTTGCTCATCTCATCCGCTGAGGACTGAAGATCTAGGGTCGTATGCTTGACCTTGGGATGCTCAGAATACTTCTGCGACCGAGATAGTGTGTAAATCTCGGTGTACTCGGGTGCCTTGATCAAGGCATCGACCACCGCCCTTCCAGTGATACCTGAGTTGCCAAAGTCATTAGTCCGGATACATGCGAAATTAACTTGAAGCTAGAGTTGAGTATAACTAATAAAGTTCTAACAATCTAGACTTACCGGTGGCACCAGTGACTATAGCTGTAGGCATTTTACGAGTAATTAATGACTCCGCAAGTAGTAGTCTCAAGTTGTCTTAGGTTGTTGCTGTTTCGTTAACTAGAATATCAAGGGGAAAATCGAACATGTTCATAAATATTAGATTGCTTTCAATTAAATTAATACTGGCATCAATTCCCAGACGAAATGTGTTAGTCATTGCTATCATAGACGTGGTACTATTGTCAGGATGACGTCGTAAAGTAGAACACGATATGGAAATGTTCGCCATCATAGGACGGATTATTACTAAAGGTACGACACACAAGAATAAATACACTTTGCTATAATTGATGTTGGATTGTTGAAATTACTGAACACCAAACGGAACGTCAACTCAAGCTATGGGTTTCGTATTATATAGGTCATATGTTCCACGCCATGTAACATCACGCACTGGGCAATGTCGTCCAATCCAGCCAATGTAGGTACCAATTTCCAGTTGGAAATTCTTTGCTGGGATATTACCAGTAAATGAAGACATATAACATGGCTGAACTACATCCCGCCATCCGAAGTCATTTACATTTGGGCAAAAGCTATGTCGCTTTACACTTGTATGCTGCGGATGTAATGATAAGTAAAGTTATACAAACCTATTAGACCAATATATGAGTGACTTATAATATCCATGTGCCTCTTATGAATATAGCATTTATTAGGAAGAATCATATAGATTTAGATACAAATATACCTGTAGGTATCTAAATACAGGTAAAGTTCCTTCCTGCATCTAATGCCTCATACCCTTAGATATGGGAAAGCCTATGGTACCTATTATTTTCTTTGTACATAAGTACCTACTTATGTACCTAGGTAGGTACCTTAGGTTAGGTTAGGTAGGCACAACTTTACCACATCATATGGTGAGAAAAGAAGGTATCTAAAATTTGAGGAAGGTCCAAAGGGACAAGTTACTTTGGTACCTGAGGTAATTTTTCATGCGCAATAATCACTTGGGCAGTTGCAAAAGAGTTCAAAGGTGGGTGCAACTTCCTCTTGTACGTAGGTACTGCAGAACATTGTTACCATGGGGGTCCAAGCTTTGATTTTTAAAAAGTACATAAGGCACGTGATTTCCCAGGAAAACACCATGCCAAGGACAATCAACTCACTACCTACCACACAGAAGTCGCGACGGTTTATCTCAACGCGGCTTCCATTAAATTATTCTATTTGTGACGAAGAAACTTTATTATTATCTATTATTACCCAATTGGGATCAACAACTCGTCCCTAATGGGTTTAACACGGCGCTAAAACAACTAGCGCAGAGCTTCTTCTCAATTATGAGGCACCTTCCTCCAACAAACTGTATCGGATGGATAGCAACGCAACTTCCATGATCGAGTCAACTGGTACGCAGGTACATGGTTACGGTCGAATTCTAAAAACTATAAATACACCTCGACCCCGGCCGCCTAATTTATTTTTACCTTTCACCTATTCAACCACAGACTCGGGCTTAACCTTAACCTTAACTCCCATCTCTCGCACACGACAACCACAATTCCCTTGAAGGCTTTAGGACTATTACCTATAACAAACCTAAGCCTGTCAACACAAAGACGTAGAGATGGAGAACACCGAGCTGGTTAACCAGGGGATGACCCAAGTATTCACTGTAAGTCAATCCTATTGTTGATCACCATGACGATTAAGAACCAAAGACTCGAGTACTGACAACGTTCTCTCACTACACAGGGGCTCGGGATCCTCCTTGGTGCTGGGCGGATCAGCAATGCCACCCACGAAAAGATCATGGGCCTGATCCAGGCAGACCAGAACCGCGCCATCGTCGACAACACTCCCATGGCGGCGGAGACAAGAACTGGTCGCCCCGGCCAAGGAAAGGAGACACCCGACTCCATGGGGTCTGAAGATTTACTCGAGCTAGGCCGAGAGTTTTCGTAAGTACCTAATCTTTTCTTATTCATTTATGTTGATGAACCCCTACTAACATTCATTATTAGTAGCACCTCCATTGGGGACAAACACAGTCGCGGCTTGACAACACACGCCAGCACAGAGCCGAAGATTGTCTGTCCTTGGTGGTCCACTCCGGGATTCGAGTGTCGACTCGTGGGAAAGGGACACTGTCCATTTCACCACGAGCACGTCCCGGGTGGACTAGTCCAGCCACTAATTTGCCATTTCTGGACAAGTGGCGGACGTTGTACCAAGGCAGATAAAGACTGCAAGTTTGCCCATTACCTTGCCGACCATCGCATCGTTGCTCCTGCGCCTATAAAGAAGAAGCCTGAGAAGACTTCGACTGGATTAGACTACAGTGAGCACTTTGCGGTACCCCGCCCAGCCGTGCTGTCCGAAGAGAACGATATCGGCAGATGGCATACCCGGCCGCGACCTCCTCCTGAGGGGGACTGGTAGAGCGAGTCGGCTCAACTTGGCGGGCGGGGCGGTGCCAATGGAGGTGCTATTAAGGGTATAATTCGAGGCTGGCTTGGAGTAGGTAGCGGAGGAGGGTAGGTTGGGGGATATTATTGATAAGGAGGTGTTGTAGAACCTATTTATCCTTATAACCGACGCTTTAATCCGGTTAACGATTAACGACTAACGCGATAAACGAATAATGAATCAACCTATTCGCGATAATCAAATAACCTTTCCCCTTTCCATCCATTTTATGCTTAAGTTACCGGTGAAATTTTACAATGGTCATACCTGTAGTCTGATAATCTGATATCTGTCCAAGGTAGATTAGGCACCTCATAAGAAACATAATATTGAGTTACTAAGTGGATATAGGTTCCGGCTGGTTCTTCAAAGACCTACCTGTTGTCAACGGTCCTGCGGCGATCCCTAGTAACACAATCCGCCTTAAGCACCTAACATGATGCAGGTTCAAGTATAAGATAAATCCAATTGGACTTCCTAATTATTGTTAATATGACTGTTCTTGAGGTATCTCTCGCAGGAGTAACCGCCATCATACGCTGGCCTATTTTACTCTTGACTCGCTGCCCATAAGATAACTGACCTCCAATCGACCATTCCGGCTGGTACCAAGTGATAACCTTTTACATACTCCCGAATAATTTAGTTTAGCTTTTCATCTTCTTCGCTCCAAGGCAATTCTTCCTACTTCACTAGTCTCACCAACATCTTTCCAAGGTACGATACAAACGAAAGATTTTCTTCTGACAATACGACATTACCAAGATGCCAAGGTAGTATACCTAGAGTAAAGTATACAATCATAATAGCTACTCGTTCTCTAGTACTGGAAATTTGAATAGGGTTCCATATACTCGAGAGTTCTAAAAGTTCAGATATTAAATCATATAGCTCACTAGATGTTATTGCTTATGCTATTAAGTCGGTACACTTCAGCCCAAGGTTTTTTAAACCACAATATCCAATGCTAATAATTAAAGGTACCTTAGACATGTATAAATGAAACTTTAGTACTCTTAACAAAAAGCTCATACTATGCAAGGCCTCGAGGACACAAGCCTGAGGATTGGAATCGAAATAATGCTAACAATGTACACCGCTCATGCATTGCTCGTAACCACCTTCTCCGCCACCCTGCCGTCTTCCCGGATGATAACCTTGTCAACCTGAAGTGAAGCTTTAACGGGATTGGGTTGGTTATAAACCCATTCAAGTTCCTCAAGTGTTCTCCCTTGCGATTCGACCCTGTAAGACATGGGTTAGCAAACGCCGGAAGGAACATGTCAGTAACATTCTACGAACCCAAAGAAATACCAAAGTACGGCTTCAATAATATCCCATCCTACGAAAACCTGCGAGACGTCTAGTCAGTATTCCGTGGACTCTGTTCCAAAGGTCGGTACAATGCGTGAGTAACATACGTAAATATATCTGTATTGAATATTCCCCAGAGCGATCGGTCCAGCAAACTGGTTTATGAAACCCATGGCGTATACGATAACGTTGGAGAAGGCAAGACCCTTGGCTCGAGTGGTCGTCTCCAGAGCTTCTGTGGGGATAACGCCCTGGAGCGGTGTGTATGTGAAGGAGAAAATGATGTTAAATAAGAAGTAAGATGCTAATGCACCCTTGGCGTAGGATTCCTGGATATTCTCTCCTTGAGCATCTAGCGCAGCGGAAAGGCCAGAATTAGTGGCCAAGGCAGCAGCGCAGGCTATACAAAGCGGTTGTTATTAGCGCAAACACAGTAATAATTAAGGGTGTGCAAAAGAGCTACGAACCGAATGTTCCAAGGACCAGTACCTTTCGCCGGGGCATAGTATCCGTGAGAGCCACTGCCGTTAAAGCACCGACGGCGGAGAGCACGGAGTTGAGGAGATTGTAGGCTAGCTGTTGCTCAACGGATGTCACGCCGATGATCTCGAAGATGGTAGTGTTAAAGTAACCCAATCCGTTACCAGAAAATTGACCGAAAATAGAAATCATTAGGACTTGGACGATTCGCCAACGTCCACTATGGCTCAAAAGAAAAGGGCGATCTATTATAATGATTAGTCGTTTGTGGGTGATGAGAAAATGGAAGGAGACCAACAATCCCAAGGTCTCTTGTCAATGCCATCTTGGCGAATGCCTTCCTTCATCTCTTCAACTTCGAGCTGCACGAGTTTAGAGTTAGGATTGCCGTTCCCGTGATACTTTGCCAAGAAGTCTATAGCCTCCTCCTCTCGGCCATTGGCCATGTAAAATCGAGGCGATTCGGGGATAACCCAAACACCGAATAATACCACTACACAAGCGAGCGCCTGGACGATTAGCGGGATTCTCCAAGAGTAGTCGTTATCGATCCTATTGCATCCGTAGACGACTGCAGCTGCGGGAATAGCACCACCAAACCAGCCGCAGTTATAAAATCCTGAGATCAGTCTGTTAGCACAAAGCAATAATATCCATCGATGCCAAAACGGATCTGTCATACCAGTAGCTCGACCTCGCCAGTGAGGAGGCGCGATCTCCACAGCATAAGCTGGTGCGGCAATAGTCATGAAGGAAATACCCAACCCAAGGACGAAACGACCAACGACGAATTGCGGGATCGTAGAAGCGGTGGCAACAATGATCATCCCCACGATAATTATAACCGCGCCGCAAAACATACCAACCCTACGGCCATGTCTATCGGAGACAATGGCAGCGAATGGGGCGCCGACCATAGCGCCACTAAAGAAAAACCATCAGTTTCGGGATACACGAGGAAGATAGCCGAAGGTATATACGAACACGGTGTAGAGAGAAAACATCAATGCGACAAGAGTACCCGTCTTACCGCTATGGAACGTGTTTTGGAAATGGTCCATAGCGACGATGCCAGTAAGGAGCGATCCTATATTCATATCGGTCAGCAACAGACAGGTTTCTTAGGATTTTCTATGGAGTGGTATTTACCATCATATCCGTTGGCGCAAGCGCAACAAAATGCGACAAAGATAGAGACTACCAGCGTTCAGTAACTTAGCTGAGAGGAACATGACAGACCCTTGTCTGAAAACATACAGTAAAGGTGTATTGAATATTTGCTTTTATAGTCGATCTTGGTCTCTTGGAGCGCTGCGAAAAGTTCGGCCTGGAAATCAGGTTAGACCTGGTAGCGAGTAACATGGGAATAAGACATCGCGTTTCGATAGATGTTAAGTCGAAACTTACGTTATGTACCGTCTTCGCCTTAGTACCCGGGGCGTTCGTCGTTGAACCTGATCCTTCGCTCACGGGAACCTGTTCGTGAGACACAAGGACACCCGGCGCATGAATTTCCTTTTCTTCCATCTTGTCGAATTTCTAGGATCGTGACAGCCCTCCTACACGTGTCGGAGGAGAACTAAGATGAAGCAAGTAGCCTTGCATACGACCATATCTCGAAATCTGGACCTGGCGATGATTTTATTCTTCCTGATCGAGGACCCCTGTATACCCCCATTTTCCATACCCCAAGTTTTTCTGAACAGCAAGTCCCGAAAAGGGGGGCGGGGAAAATCGTTCCGCAATCCCTAACGAGAAAATACTGTGCCACCCAAATATGACACCCTCTGCTGTTAGTGATTCCACTGCAGATACTAGATAAGGGTAACAGGTCGCAGGGGATCGAGTTCTAGATCGCCAAGGCCCCCCCGGCAGTGGGTTCGATTCCACGGCCTTAGCGATTATCTTGGCCCCAATTCTATGGAGTTGATATGGATCTATATGTAGCACTCGTGTAGCCACGATCGTCCGTTGCTGGTAAGCAACTTGAGCGAAAATGGAAAAGAAACAGGATCAACGCGCAGATTTGACTTCGAATTTTCTGTCAACGAGCGACAACAAAAGTGCCCTCGATGAATAGGCGTCCCGAAGTTTCCTAGGGCTAGAGTAGAAGGATGGACCAGGTTCGCTTGCGATTGGTGGAATCTCAACAGCGGTCAGCAATTTCGCTGACTATGCGCGATAAACATACCGAAAATGCCATAGCTGAAAGATGCGCTTGACCCTACGTTTCCAACGGGCCGGATCAGAACACCACTAGGTTGGCATAGCATACTACAGGTAGCATCCGTGGGTTTAGCAGCGCTAGGCTCGACAACTAGGTACGCGACCCTTCTGAGTCTTTCAGCTCGTAATAACCCCGGAATATCGGGTTGTTGCGTTTTGAGCCTACTCCCAGAGCCTAGCGAGCGAACCAATAACGAAAGCCAAACCCAGACAAAGAGGGACGCGAAGGCAACATTATCTTCATCGCCCGCCTGAATATTGACCATAAATTTGCAGTCCCTTCTTTATGTATACCTGTAGGGCCGAAGACTTCGGACCGAAGTCGTTGATTGGTTCATGCGGTAGTTATTAGCTATTAATTAATTTTCGGCTCTTAGCGGAGGCTCTGTGAGATTGGTATGTATCTATAACCACGGCACCTCCGATACCACTACGGGATATTTTTTCGGAGGATAAATAAAGATACTATACCATGAATGAATGTCCTTAATGTAGCTTACTTACCTGTAAACCATGTCTTTAAAGACTTGCACGTAACTTGACTATATTCGGCGAGATGACTGTTGCTTTCTCGTACGAATGACAGGTACCTAAGGTACCTAGACCTACCTTCAACATGTCTTCAGCTATAGGCAATTAGATAGTGTATAGGACAACCCCAACCTGTTCTAAGCAACATCAGAAAGCTATTAGTTATACTAATGACCGAGATTAATCAGTCTATTGGACAGTCAGAACCTCGATCTACAATTGCGATAGTTGCCAAGACACTTCGACGGGTTGTCAAGTTATCAAGGTTCCCTCGAATCGATATGGTAGTATCGATTCTACCTAGTTACATTCGGCACGACCTGAAGTTCCATCTGCTGTCTCAGCCTACCATTTAACACGGCATTTCATATTCTCGCATTCATAGGTAGTTTAAGGTCATTTATATCTTCTTGGCCTAGTTAGTTCCTTACCTTAGAAGGGAAGTACTTGAGACGGCCATGGTAACATTATGCAGATAGCTAACAGTGGCAACTTAATCCCTTTAAGCATAGTTACTCATATCAATACTTCCGACTCTATTTCCGACTCTATTGATCAACTAAAATTTGGACTATACGCACAAGCTACAACCGCTTGTAGAGGTAGGTATACAGCATAACAAGTAATCCCAGAGACTATCAATGTGTTAAGGCTTCCTCGAAAAGTCTTCTCAGCTGATCCCTCTCTTGTTCGAGCTCCTTCGCAAGACCAGGCGCTAACATCAGGACTCTGGCTTGGGGTATCGTCCCCTCGACCAGAGCGTCGATATGACTCGAGTCAAAGCCCAATTCTTTAAGACCCTTCGGCTGGTCCCCTAGGTCAGCGAGGAACTGCGTGATAGCGTCGGCCAAGACCTGGCCCGCATCCTCGCGCTTAACGTTGGTGATATCTACGCCGAACACTTCCGCGGCGGCGAGATGGCGGTCCGGGTTCGATGCGCCCGTGAACCGGAACACGGCTGGCGCGGTGACGGCGACTGAAACGCCGTGAGGGATTATAGGCGCCGTGACATCGTATCCTGCATGCTTATAACCGGGGTTTTGACCGGAGATAGGATATGACATTCCTAAAACTCTCTGTTAGCCTACACTATCCCGTTAGCCTAGGCTTGAGACTTCTATCATACCGTGGCATAAGTGAACGCCAGCGTTTCCAAAGCCGACGCCTGCCAGCGTGGCTGCAAGGAGCATCTCGCTTTGTGCTTCGTGATCTTCAGGGTCCTTAACTGCCCTCGGCAGATATTTAACTGTACTTCGGAGCGCATTTAGAGAAAATATGTCGCTAATAGGATTTGCGCCCTGGTACGCAGGTCTTAAGATGGGATTTGAGGGCCGGGGCACCCTCTCATTGAACGGAATCGCCGTCCAAGATTCGAGCGAGTGGCACAAGACGTCTAATCCGGAACTCGCCTTCACTGCCGAGGGCATTGTCCTCGTGTTGAGCGGGTCGCATATCCCGAGGGTCGGTTTCAAGTTGCGGTGCGCGATGCCGGTCTTCGCCTTCTTTTCCACCAGGTCGAAAATAGCTGTTCCGGTTGTCTCGCTTCCAGTGCCAGCCGTCGTAGGAATAGCAATAAGAGGTTTCAGCTTCTTATCAATCGGACGGCCTTTGCCTAATGGCGCGTTGACGAAGTCTAGAAAATCTGCATCGGGGTACTCGTTGTAGAGGTTCATCAATTTAGCCGTGTCGATGACTGAGCCACCGCCCACAGCGAGGTAAGCATCAGGGTTATATGGTCTGGCAAATGCGATAGCCTCTTTGATACTAGAGTTTAAGTGAGTCAAGATGCGAAATAAGAAATAGAATTTCCGTAGACTTACGAACTATCCTTTGGCTCGACTCGCACTTTGTCGAATATCTCATACTTAATGCCTTCTCTTGACAGTGCTTCTTCTGCTTGCTTAATAGCAGTGAGTTTCCGTACCGTCGAGTCGGTCACGATGCAGACACGTTTGACATTCATATTTTTAAAGTCCATGCCGACTTCCTGGGTGACCCCGGGGCCGAACCGGATGGAAGAGGCAGCCATCTCGAATGCATACTCCTTCTGCTGGGATGGGTCTATAGGAGACGCAAATCCGCGCCTCCCGATCCGCCGATGTGCATGCTGAGCATACGCGTCAATTTGGGGTCTTGCATGGTGATGGTGATGTCCCGGGTTTGAATGACAAGGACAATTTGGCGGGTGAGCGTACTGAACTGTCCGTAGAAGGCTAACCGCTCTTGTAGCAGCCTTATTCCTTGCATATTAGCACTTATTTAATTCATGTTCATCAGAAACTTACACTTGGGGTCACTCGAACTGCAGCAACCATTTTTCCCCTTTTGGAAATCCAAAATCTACCTAACCTAATATAAACTGAAACTCCTCGCTCTCTGAGATTGTACGTAACGAGTATAAAGGCGTATAAAGGCGTTAAGTTCCAGCTGGATCAGGCTATCCTCTTACACGCTAGAGCGGTCATTTATTTGTTAACGTGAGCGGGTGAGATGGCTAGATTCGCTTCTTAAAATCAGGGGATAAAAGTAGGGAATGTGGGGTAAAATGCCTCCCGCTGTGGGGGAATAGGCTTTGTTACCGGTTCGAACCGGTAAAGAATCTCCTTCTCCGCTCGGTTCAAGACAAGGTACCGTACCGTAGGTAGCTAGGGTAGTAATTCCAGGGATCTTTTGTTGGGCTAAGCTTCACTATCCCAAGTTGAAGTGAAACTTAGACTTGAGCTAATAGATCTATAGATTAGGCACTTAATGCATACGGGGTTACAACGGACTCGCAAATAAGCTAAGACGATTTATATCTTAAAATCCACTCAAGAGTCCCTGGCCTCTCAAATCGAGCCAAACTTCGATGTTGATTGATAACCTTGATTCGCTAGCACACGGCGTGAGTCAACCGGGGTGATGACTACCTAGAACGAACGACCTTATCAACTGTAGAAGACAGTGTTCCAATAGAGTTATATAAAGACAACCCCGTTGGTCCCGATTAGTGTGACTGATGATGAGACAAAAGGCTTGAAGAAATATTATTAATTTCAAATTCATATTTACCATTATTCTCTTACTATGTCGTCAACAGGTTCAGGTACAGCCGCGGGTAAAGAGCCTCGTATGCGGCTCAGGGATCTTTTGCCCAACTTACACCTCGGATACTGGGAGCCTGGTCCCCTCAATTCGATCACTGACGTTCCCGGTGTGCTAGTCCATACCCAGGAGATCTTTGCCGATGACGGTGCCGTGAATACCGGCATCACGAGTATTCTACCCCGAAAGAATTGGTTCTATAATGCTTGTCACGCCGGGATATTTAGCTTCAATGGCTCTGGCGAGATGACAGGTAGCCATTGGATCAACGAGACCGGCTTATTGCATTCTCCCATTATCATCACGAATTCATTTGCCGTGGGCGCTGCTTACCAGGGAATCTACGAATATACCATCAAGTCTCAGGGTGTTGCTAAAGGGGAAGTCGATTGGTTTCTGTTGCCCGTTGTCGCAGAAACCTTCGATGGGTACTTGAATGATCTCACTCAATTTGTGGTCAAGCCCGAGCACATTATTACAGGACTCGAGAGCGTTTCAAGCGACCGCGTAAGGGAAGGGAACGTCGGTGGTGGGACTGGAAGTAAGTAATAGCTCCGCCATATTCTAGCTGAGAAAATGTCATAATCGAACTGTTGTAGTGATATGCCATTACTTCAAGGGCGGGACAGGTAGCAGCAGTAGAATTGTGGAAGGATTTAATAACAAAGGCCAACCGAAGACTTATACCGTCGGCGTACTAGTACAGGCCAACTATGGCCGCCCACAGCATCTCCGGATCTCGGGAGTGCCGGTGGGGAGGATCCTGGCTCGGGAGGCCGACGAAGCTGCTGAGAGCAATCCGGCGATAAAAATGGCACGGCAAGCGCTTGAAAAGGAGAAAAATAGGAAAGATGGAAGCATTATTGTTATAATCGCAACAGATGCGCCCCTCCACCCTGCTCAGCTGCAAAGGGTTGCCAAGAGAGCAACGGTGGGATTGTCGAAGGTTGGTGGTTATGGCCACAACCCATCCGGTGACGTGTTCTTGGCCTTCTCGACCGGAAATGAGATTCCAGTTCAGTCCATCTCGATGGAACGGAAAGCAGTTGATCCGTTTAAACCGACACCTGTTACAATTGATGTGATAGATGATTCTTCGATTAACGGGATTTTTGAAGCCGTTGCGGACGCTACCGAAGAGGCGATATACAATAGTTTATGTATGGCCGAAACGATGGTGGGAAATAAGGGGCACACGATCGAGGCGCTTCCTCTTCAAAAGGTGAAGGATATTATGGAGAGATTAGGTTAGGTTAGGTATAGTTGAAGATGAGAAATGAAGGTTGGAAATAGTGTATCTACATAGGTCTAGGTACCTGGTATTGCTAAGGTATTCGACTTATACCTACATGTACCTAATATAACATTGAAATTAACAGGTGAAATGTGGCTTTTCAAATGTGGCTTCGTGTGACACTAGGTCCTACTATGTAACATGTATCAATTGATGCATGTAATGTACCTAATGTTAGGTAATGTTCATAGAGGTAGGAAAGTGGGATTTGCGACTTGAAAGCTTGAGCTTACCTTAGGTTAGGTACCTACCGCATTTTCTAAGAAACAGTCAACATTAGGGCACGGACCATATGCATGATCTAAACCATATGTGGTGGTGGCTTGCTAATTTCTCTCAGCAAAAGTTCGTCATGGCTTGAGTTTGGCAGGTAAGCCATTACCATACACGATTTAGGTGACTCCAAACATAGGACATGGTCCGTGCCCTAAAGTTGACTGTTTCTTCGAAAATGCGGTATCTGCCTATCAAACGGTAAATGCCAAGAAAAACTGCCCAAGACGCTTTGGCCCCAAACCTCCCTGAGAGGCTGAGACACTAAATTGTACAACAGTACATCATCAAATGTTCCCTTCATTTAGCCATACTCGATCATCCTGTCATCACCACCACCATCACCATCGCACTCCTTAAGTCAACCCTTAATCCTAGGGATCCCCTCCCCTATAGCTTTAAATACCTAGGCTAGGTGTTTTTGCAAGATTAGTCGCAATAAGTTGCGTTGTCGCTCATTGAAATACCGAACGGACTTGAAAATGGTCTCTGAACCTCCGCGAACCGTCCTCGGCTCCTTATATTCATGATTTCGTCAGACGATATACTCAGTTTAAAAAATGGATTACCAGCGCCCGAATGGCGGGCCCGGCTTTAGCCGTGAATACAACAGAGCCGACAGGTTTGAGGATGAGAAGAGGCGCATTGTGGATAGTTGCTTCAACAAGAAGGATGTTGACGGGTCTAGTAAGATTGCTTCCGGTGTTTTATGTTTTTTTTTTTTTTTTTTGTGTTGCCTGTGTTGCCTGTGTTCTACTCAATCGTACCAGGCGCTGACGTATATTGTGCGCCCGTGTAGTACTCGAAACTTATATTACCCATATTAGAATCACTGAGTATTCTTCCCACCCATCGTCTCCTCCACCACCCGAAGCTCGATCCCAGTCCGAAAAACCTCGAGTCATCATTGTGGCAGTGCGGAAGTCAGGTCGGGTGCGCATGCACAAGTCCAAGGAGAACGCGAACGGTTCATTCTCTATTGGAAAGACTTGGGACCTAAACGATCTAAGTTCTATCGAGTCCTTCACTTCTTCAAATTGCGATCCCCAGAAGCGAGAATGGGCTGGTGACACCGGCTTTGTCGTGAATGTCGGAAAGCCTTACTACTGGCAAGCCAACGCCGACAAGGAAAAGAAGTTTTTTATCGCTAGCCTAATTAAGATCTATGGAAAATACACTGGTGGTGGCATCCCGGAATTAAAAGGCTTCGACTCACGCGAACTAGAACAAGTTTTAGGATCACGAAGGCCGCCACCAAGTCGAGGGCCTGCGTTGGACTCGAGTCCGGCATTGCGAACCGGCCCTACGCCTACACCTCCCCCTCAAAGACCAGCTCCTACTCCCTCACGAATGGAACCTAAAATTTCGAGACCTGAGCCCGTACAATCCCAGGTTAATCTTGCTGCACCTATTCAAAATAACCCCCCACCACCCGCTATTGGCGCAATCCAACCCTTTCGTCCTAATCAACCTCCTAGTTCACCCGCACGGAAACTAGGCCCTCCAAACGGGACTTCTTCCCCAGCTTCGTCGCTATCGCTCGGTGCGGATTCCGCTCGTACAGGAAACCAAGCTGCTGCCTTGCGTAGGCTAGCTGGAAATAACAAGAGTCAAGAATCCGTAGCAGCCTCCATTTCTACGACGAGAAGTGATGACTCTGCAAGTATACCGCCACGTTCAAGAGGAGGATTGGCTGGGCCTGGGGCCCTCGGTAGATTTGGCGATCCATCTGCATCAGCCTTGCAAGTAGATTTGCCCGACAGGAAAAGACCGCCAATGGACCCAACAAGGCCGAAGGAAACCACAGATGATGATCTTGTACCAGCACCATTAATGAGCCAAGGCATGCGAAGGGAACCGCCGCCAAGAAATACGGATCGAATGTCACCGCGGAAGAATTCTGTTGATAGTCGAATGGAAACAAGTTCGCCCGCGACAAAACCAACACCAGCACCAGTGCCAGAACCTGTTTCTGTTTCTGACCCTGTTCCTGACGTTCCCTCTAGTCCTTCAGATAGGAAAAATAGCACAGCGTCTGCCTCCATTGTCTCCGAAGCAAAACCGCCCGGAACCCCGCCTACTAGTTCGCCAGTGGAAGAGGAAACCCGCCCAGGATTAGGACCTATGATTAAGCCAAAGTCCCAACGCGATTTAGCTGGTGCATTGTGGAAAGCAGCCTCAGCCGCAGCCGCATTCAAACCACGCCCAGGCGGAGCTGGAGAACGATTAAGAGAAATGCGAAGTAAGACTAACCTCAATGGTCCAGACGGAATAACCAGCGTTGTCCCAGCACCGCCACGGCCAGAACCCAAGGTCGGAATTCCTAAGCCTTTGGACTTGGAGAAAAAGTCTCTCGATAAAGTCTCCGTAGTCCCTGAGGTAAAAGTTACAGTACCTAATTCTAGCCGACCAGCTAGTTTGCAGACTTCCAAAAACAATCGAAGGAAGAGCATAGAGTCAAGTCAACAACAAGGACCTCCTCGACGCTTAACTGTAGCCGGTAATGATACGAAGTACTTATCTGCTCTCGGCATAGATACAACGCTATTCCTCGACAAGACATCCGAGTTTGCTAGATGGCTCGATCACTTTGGCTGGGTGCCTGGTGAACAAATGCGAAGCCGTAATTTTGAGGAGATGAAGCTTGACATTGATAGAGAACTTAACAAGGCTCAGGCTGGAGGTTGGGTTGTCCGATTCCAGGCGGAGGACGATCGAATAGAAGCAATTAAAAAGGGCCTTGATGTTGCCATCGCTGAATGCGATGAACTCGACAACTTGCTAACTTTATATAGCGTGGAGTTATCTGTAAGTGTAAGCAAAAAACACCTAATGGAACGTCACTAATAATTGAAAAGACATTGTCCGACGATATCGCGTACATAGAAGCGCAAGGTCAGGGTCTACAAGTCCAAGCAGCCAATCAAAAACTACTCAGGAAAGAGTTGGAGTCTCTGCTTGATACGTGTGCCATCACCTCTGATGATTTGAGAGCACTTACGGTGGCGCCCCTCGAGACAACATCGGGCCTAGAAGAGATCGAGACGGCACTTGTCACTTTATACAAGGCGATGATGAAGATCGACTCTTCTGCCGCAGGGTCGGAGCTTCGAAAAAGCGAAGATGCAGGGCAGAATTCTACCCTCAATACAGACTATGGTAAAATGCGCATAGTCCAGGAGAAGAAGGAGATGTACCGCTCGGAGAGTGTGGCGTTTCTCCAAAGATTCATCGCGTTTATGTCCCGGCAGTTTGATAAGGCTGCTCAGGAGATCAGGGTAGTTGTAGATGGAGCTTTGTCGAAAAAGGTTGATCCTGGACACCACGACGTTGGGCGGGAGATGCTTTGGAGATATAGTCCACTTATCCTCTATGCCAGAGAGGTAAACCTCGATGGCTGGGATCGGTGCTTACAAGCGTACCAAGAGAAAAACCTCCCTCTCTATAAATCGAGATTCAAGGACATACTGGAATCGTGGAAGCGGAATGCTAGGAAGCCTTCAGGCGATGAAGCGGAGCTTCTTTTTACTACTGAACTTGAGAGACAGCAGGAAGGAACAATGGCCACTGCTAGAAAGCTCACCGTAAAGCGAAGTCAGAATCTGGCTAGGAGCTTACGAGGCCCCCTCGGTGAAGGCAGTAAAACGAATCTCGATAAGATCTCGGACGGCCGTAACCTTCCGTACGAAGTATTTTCTGGCATGATGGATGATCTCGTACCACTGATCGAGATCGAACAAAATTTTATAGTTGATTTCTTCCACGCGACTACTTTAGAAACGGCAGATTTCCCCGATCTCGTAGCCGCATCAAAGCCGCGTGATCGGCGAGGTGGTGACTTGAGACGACATAGACTCATGGAGCCTGATCGGGAGTTAGCTCGGAGAGTAACACGGGCTATGGAAGCAATCTTCTCGTCCTTGGAGCAGGACTTGCAGAATACTATTGATTGGGTATTGTCGCAAGATCCATTGTAAGTGCAAAACATATGTCACCTTACCTGAATATAGCTATAACTAATTCACAACAGACAAGGAGTCGGCATCCTCGCGGTTCTCGAGCAGAAGCACATAGAAATGACTCAGTCTAATCAAGACTTTTTGAATAACGTGTTGCAAAAGCTTCACGGCAATCTCGAGTCACGCTTCACAAAATTCGTCGAAGGTCAAATCCGCGCAATCGAGGACACAAAGGTCAAGATCAAGAAGCGCAGGGGTGTCATTTCTTTTATGCGCGTCTTCCCTCATTTCTCAAGTTCCGTGGAAAGCATGCTTATGATGGTCGATACGAATTCTTCTGTCAGAAGAACGGTGGACAGAGAATACGATCGTATTATCAAGACTATGTTCGATTCTCTTAAGGTGATTGCTCGTGAGAACCCTGCTACACTTACAAATAGCAGTGCCGATCCAGAGGACAAGGAAGCACTGAACTATCATATTCTCCTTATTGAGAACATGAACCACTTCCTTGAAGAACTCGATACTCATGGATTGGAAATACTTGAAGACTGGAAAGAAGCCGCCGCAGGTGAAATGGGAGAACACTTGGGCCTATACATTAACGCAATTATGCGCCGACCGCTGGGCAAATTACTCGAGTACCTCGAGAACATCGAGGCCCAACTCGCCACAGGAAAAAGTCCTAGCATTGTTGCCGCACAGCCGAGCAACGCGAAGGCAACGTTCAATAAGATTCTTAGCGGGTATGACGCCCGCGAGGTACGCAAAGGTGTCGAAGCATTACGGAAACGAGTCGAGAAACACTTCGGCGATGCCGATGACCCGAGCTTAAGCCGTAGCCTGGTTAACAGGGTACTCCGAGAATGCGAGAAGTTTTATGGGGAAATCGAGGTTCGGATTTCCACGGTTACAACAACGGTATACGGCGGCGACGTACTATTTGAGTGGCCACGCGCCGATGTGAAGAGTGCGTTTGCCACCACCGGTCGGTAGGTCGGACCGGGTGACTGGAAGCATGCGTCTTCCCTCGGGCGCAAGTCGACAAGCAGCGGGCGGTCCCGTATTATTACATCGATGGACGGATGGCACGATGGGAGTTCGGTTGGTAGTACATATTCACGATAGTTGTATAAGATGAATAATTCATCATCCAAAGCGTAGTACTGGGGGGTGTTGCAGAAAAATTGCGGACTGGGTGTACGAGTAGATATATACCTGGATCCTATACTGCCGGCAATTAGGTTAGGAAATCATATCTATTCCTATATCTCGGAAATTTGTGTATCAATCTCGACATTTAATACCCTTTCTCTAAAGATTTGAATTTGAATTTGACAAGCCCGTAACGCTACGCCCCTTCAAGACCTATCACATTAATATCAACGACCTAAGGCAAGGATGAGCTAAAGTGGTAGCCATGGATATTTATAGCTAGGTACCTAAAGAAAAGACTTCTTGTTACATCTTAGTGGTTACCTAAGTTACAGGTAAACCACCTTTGCGCGTTCGGACCTGCTATCTTTACAATACGTATACTACGACTATACTGTGTGTATAGACTTGCAGGAGCTAGAAGACTGGGTAGTTCTCCTAGGCTCCTGTATCGGATACCTACCAGGTAAGTAAGAGGTAGTTATCACAGCTGACCCCCTGTTAACCCAACCGAACAATGGATCACGCGGGGGGGCGCCTTCTTATGCACGATCAGCCAAGAGCAGAGTATCTGCATTGCAAGTCGTAGGCTTTCAACTTATATTAAAGTCTGGACAACTAACTAACTTTCTCTTCGTCATATTTTCGTATATGTTTCGAAAAAAAAGTAACTACGAATCATACCAATGACACAGTCCAAGGGGCATCTTTTCGTTGGCGGGAAAGTATTCCTACACGCCAAGACTCCGGGGCTCGAGACAAAGCCTCGATTTGGAGATGCATTTTACATACGCGACGGGTTCATTAAGCATGTTGGTTTTGAGGATGATGAAGCTATCTCCCGGCTCCTAGCCGCCGGTGCTGAGATACACAATCTTAACGGCCGGACCGTTCTGCCTGGCTTTATTGATGGCCACATCCACTTGCTAAGATTAGGACAATCCTTAAGCAAAGTTGGACTGGACCACTGCGAGAACCTCGACGATATTCGCAAGGCCATCAAGGACTATGCCGTTGAAAACCCTAATGAGCCGCGTATTCTCTGCAAGGGGTGGATGAGATACATGTCAAAGCCCCTAGCGAGTCTAGTCGATGATTTGGATCCTCGGCCTATCTATGTTGACTCTAAGGACCTTCATACCACTTGGTGTAGTACTTCTGCACTCAAGGAAATTGATGCAAAGAACCTAGCAGACCCAGGAGGGGGTAAAATAGAACGTGATTCAGATGGGAATCCTACGGGAGCTTTCGAAGAAGCTGCCGTCTTCACTATCATTTGGCCTTTCCTCGCCCAGGTCGCCACAGAAAAGGATCGCGAGGAATGGATCCGGGCTGCAGTACAGACGTATAATAAGTCTGGTTATACCGGAGCGATAGACATGGCAATGGAAGAACAGACATGGGCCACTCTCCTCAACATCCAGCAAGAACAACAAGGACAGTCACTACCGTTTAGACTTGCGGCATACTGGCTTATGACGCCTTCTAGCTCGGAAGCTGACTGCCTTTCTCAAGTCGATCGCGCTATCGAGGCGCATAAGCAACTTAGCGCTGAGGAATCACCGGACCTCCATGTCGTCGGTATTAAGCTTATATGCGACGGTATCATTGACGCCTGTACTGCCCATCTGTCGGAGCCTTATCTGAAAGGAGCTGACGCCGTGAAGCACACTACTGGTGAACCATTCTGGAACCCTGAGATACTCAATGCAGTCGTGCGCAAAGCCGATGCCGCAGGTTTACAAGTTGCGCTTCATGCCATTGGAGACGCTGCCATTACCAAGGCTGTCGACGCTCTGTCTAACTGCTCTCCGAGGAATCGCCATCGTATGGAACATATTGAGCTCGCATCTGCCAGAGACGCCAAGCGTCTCGGCGAATTCGAGATGTGAGTTTCTTCTCCCTCAAGTCCAACTACAGCTATGACTCACTCATCCTGTCCGCAGTACCGCCTCCATTCAACCCGTCCATGCTGACCCATGGATTCTCCGTGCGTGGCCTGATCTCCTAGGCCACCGCTGCGAGCGTGCTTTTCCCTACCGGGAGTTTTCAGACGCGGGTGCGCCGCTCGCTCTCGGCAGCGACAGCCCGACGTCGCCTTGGGACGTCATGGGCAACGTGTACGTCGCGAGCACGAGGAAGTCCTACAGGAACACGCGGTACGAGAACGTCGTCAGCTACAACTTCCGCCTCGGCGTGTGCGAGTCGTTGGTAGCGGCGAGTTATGGGTCAGCTAGGAGTGTGTTCTGGGATAAGCGGCTAGGTAGCCTAGAGCCGGGCAAGGTCGCGGACTTTACGATATGGGATATGGAGTGGGGTAAATACAAGCTTCTTGGTGCTAAGGTAGAGGAGACATGGTTTAATGGCGAAAAGGTTTGGGGTGTAGAGGAAGATAAAGAAGTCTGATTTAGCCTGGAAGCTCGATTCTTAGAATTGATGGATGCTTGACCAGCTTAGCTCGCGATCCCTTGATAGCTAGACACGTACATGCTAGGATTAATCCTGGTCCGAGTCCGTCCTTTATAGAAAAAAATGTTATAATGAACATTTTACTAAAAGGTCGGAATAGGCTAAGTGAATAGAAAGTATTCGAATCCAAGGACTGGTACGAGATATAAGATCCTCATAAGAACCATTCAAAAGGACGATCAAGAGTGAGGGGTATCAGCTATGTATTATTTCATGTTGTACGGATTCTTAATAAAAAGCATCACCTTTTTCGCAACCGGAAAAATGCCATCTACGTCACGACTCCGTGGCTAGCACAATGCATTTCATTGTTAGAACACTACCTACCTCTTACACCATACCAGATCATCTAGCTTAGGTAGGTTTACCTTAGGTACCTAATATATAAAATACGGTCCTATATTTGATTTCGCCAGACGTGTATTAAGCATTGCAAGTGTACTTTATTTATAATATATCTGATACCTACCTGTCATCAACCTCGCGGCGATGGCATCAAGCTTCCTGCTTAAATTCCTCTCCCTAACCAACTTCCGGGGCTACCCCCCGCTCCTACGCACGGCGATCCCCAGCGTCGCGGCCGCCTTCGCGCTGCAGACGGCCGTGGCCATCCCGTCCATCGCCTACCAAACCGAGCGCTTCTACGACGTCTCGGGCTCGGCCACGTTCCTCACCGTCGGTCTGCTCAGCTTGTATCTGCCTAGCCTCCGCGCCCGCGCCGCCGCCGCGCTGACGGGCGCCCCGAAACCCCCGCTTCCGAGCCTGTCGAGCTCGCTCACGAATAGCGCCGGGGTGTACAGCTTCCATTGGCGCCAGGCGCTGTTGAGTGCTGCGGTGGTGTTTTGGTCGATTAGACGTGCGTAGCAGCTTGCTTATTCATTTCTACCCCCCTCCCCCCCCCCCCTTTTTATTTTTTTTATTTTTTTATTTACCTCCGTCTTCGTACTGGAATACACATACATCTATCTACACGTACCTACCTACCTACCTATGCGAGACCTAGATTTATATGCACCGTAGGTAAGAAAGGAAATAGCTACTAACACTCTTCCCGCACAGTGGGCACATACCTCTTCCGCCGGGTCCTGGACCAAGGCCACGACGCGCGCTTCGACACGCTGCGCTCGTCGCCCGCGAAATTCGCCGTCGCCTGGCCGAGCCAGGCGACGTGGGTCTCGCTGTGCCTCGCGCCCGTGATCGCGGTCAACGCGGTCCCGGCGGCCGCGCTCGCCGCCGTCCCGCTGCGGGCCACGGATGTCCTGGGGCCGGCGCTGTTTGCCGCCGGGTTCGCGCTCGAGATCGCGGCGGACCGGCAGAAGGGCAGGTGGCTGAGGCAGCGGAGGGCGAAGGCGCATGACGAGGAGTTTTTGACGAGCGGGCTGTGGAGTCGATGGTAGGTTTTTTTCTTTTTCTTTTTTTTCTTTTTAAACTCTTAGTTGAGTGGTGCACTGGCTATTGGGAAGATTGAGATGAGGTGTGAGCTAATGCGTGAGGGAAATAGTCGGTACCCGAATTACTTGGGCGAGTGCACGCTGTGGACGGGCATAGCTACCACGGCGGCTGGCGTTCTGGTGACGCAGCCGGCTCAGGTTGGGCTTGGACTTGCGGGAGGGTTGCATGGCAAGCTTCTGGTTTTGGCAGCATCGTTTGCGAGCCCGGCGTTTGTAACCTTTTTGCTGTTGAAAGTGACGGGTGCACCGTTGAGTGAGGAGAAATATGATTCCAAGTATGGTCACCGCAAGGACTATCAAGATTGGAAGCAGAACACCCCCAAGTTCTTCCCCAAGATATTCTAGGTTATCATGTACAAGTCACATATTATTGCAAGCTACATATTCAATTTGTCTCTATGTGTTCATCGTAGATCAGACTGTTATTCATTCATTGCGACGTACCCATGGCTCCAATGCTCATTGCCTCAGCGCCCAACTCAGTTCACAAGGCCCATTATCGAAAGTTTATAAACCCATTTGATTTAAGTCACTTTTTATAGAATGACTTGACCTTCTCGACTTCGTCGTAACTACCCAAATAGATACCTGATCGGTCATGAATGTGTTCCGGCACGACTTCGAGCATCCGCCTCATCTTGCTGTCTACCGCTTGGCCACCAGCTGTTGGATCGTCAGTATATGAACGTGCAAGAAGAGGCTGTTGAACTGAGAGACTACGTACCGTTCTCAAAAACCATAGCCATCGGTGCGCACTCGTATAGAATTCGCAGCTTGCCCTTGGGGCTATTCTTATCCGCTGGGTAGGCGAAGATACCACCGTACAGCAGTGTCCGATACGCATCGGCCACCATGCTACCGATATATCTGGCGCTGTAGGGCTTGCCGTTATCTTGTGGGTATTTGAGAGAGTTGAAGTACTCCTTGGTATGATCTTCCCAATAGAGCGAGTTACCCTCGTTGACAGAGTAAATAGCCCTCTTCTTCGGGATTCGCATGTTCGGGTGTGTTAGGATAAACTCGCCGAACGAGTTATCTAACGTAAAGCCGTTGACGGTACCGCCTTTCATGGTGATAACGAGTTGGGCTGACGCGCCGTACATGGTAAAGCCGGCAGCGAGAAGCTCGGTTCCAGGTTTCAGAATATCCTCCTTCGTTCCTGTCGAGCCGTCGGCCAATTTGTGAATGCCGAAGATAGTTCCAACCGAGACACCGGCATCCAAGTTGGAGCTACCGTCAATAGGGTCGCAAGCTACGGCATACCGAGCTCCCGTCTGGTCTTTGAAGTATATTACCTCTTCTTCCTCTTCAGATACTAGCAGCGCGCACTTCCCCGACGAATGCATAGCTGATATAAAGAGATCATTTCCGATGACGTCAAGCTTCTTTTGATCGTCACCTGTCGCATTAGATTGGCCGGCAAGACCTGTGAGGTTTACTAATGTGGCTCGGCGAATATAGTGAGAGATAGCCTTGAAGGAGAACTGAAGAGCGTGGCATAGTAATCTGTTGGCATATAACATTAGCTATGGATTGATTCGTGGGTTCCCAGATAAGCCATGGCATACGTGAAATCTCCAGTCGCTTCCTTGTGCTTGACTTGCTCTTCCGTAAGGAAACGAGTTAAAGTAACAATGTTTGTGTTTACAGTAGCCGATTCGGCTGGTGGTACATCACCTCCGTTACCATTCGCTGCCATTGTGCTTGAAACAGGCCGAAAGGTTATAGAAATATGTCTAAAGAAGAGATATAGTTAGGTAGGAGGGGAAGGATAGGGCACCCAAAGGGATCTCGGCAAAGATTTACTTTGGGGTAAGGGGTAAGTGGTAAATTACGGGGAAATGGAGAGAAGATAATCTTGGAGCAATGAGAAAATGAAAATTGGGCTGGTAAGAAGAGTTAGGTTGGGAGGTAGGTTGAGAGGTAAGAGGTACGCTTTAATAGGTCAGGCTCCGGCAAGTTATCGTGAGAAAGATTAAACGAAGAATATGGTGTTGCTCAGAAATATACCTAAAATATATGCCGAGGGATATTGGGAAAGGAAAGTTTATATAAAGCGTTCAAAGTTGTCTTTGTAATTTCTCCACACCCTAGGGCTGTTGCTGCTAGTTATCTATTATTGTTAGCATTATAGCATCCCTCCAACTGGTTTGCTTCGGTGATGCGGGTAACAACAGGCACGATGACATACGGCATCATCCCGACACCAGACCGCCTTACAGCTAGCTAGTAGAGGTAATACCTAGGTAGGTAGTAATCTACATAGTAGACCCACGATCCAGAACCCCAGTTCCCGGCCAAGGGGAAATGCGGGTTTGGGACAGTTAGGTACCGAGTTGCAATACTAGTTGTACCGAGGCGGGAAATGGCGGAAGATGCCGGTAATCTCGGGTTTAAAACGTCACTAGCATATTGATTCGCGTCGCGTGAACTCCCAAGGGTGAGAAAGGATTCCTTCATTCATTTTAGACCTCTTCATGTGACTGTTGACACGGTACCCAAGGGCCCAGTCTTTGGCAATATTATGTGTCAAGCTGGATTGCTAATTCGATAAAACTTCGAGAAGACTCTGAATGCGAAATGAAGTAATAGCAACTATTACATGGTACATTTAAGTCAGGGTGATGTATGTAGAAATGATCGGAATTAGTGGCTGAGAGTGAGGTAAAGACGGAAGAATTGACATCTTCGATGATGCAGCTGAGGGGTAAGTTACCTGGTAGGTACCTGGTATCTAGGTAGGTTAGGTAAGACCCTTCCTGCAGGTACGTACCTCCAGGGCTCTACTTTTATTACGTACTGAGCGGGGTTTGGTTAATCCGAGTTCCTCGGATTATTAACCTTCCTTTTCCCGGCCCGCCTCCAATCAGGAACGCCCCACTTCGTTCGAAGCTTAGAAGCTAGAAAAGAAATCTTTTTTTTTCTCTTCCTCCAACCATCGTCAATTCTTCCTTCTCAACAAAACACACAAAACACAAATGGTGTTACCAGGAGTAAAATGTAAGTACGCAAATCTTCCTTCTATGCATTGCATCTTTCATTGATGACATGTTGTAAACCGCAAACTAGAGTCTTTGACCTAATGGAATGAAACTGTTTTTACACGTCAGTCTGAGGATACAAATATCATCTCGATTTTGTTCATGAACCGATATTCGAGCTTTATTATGCTAACGCGATCCCAGATAACTCGCTCTCTAAGAGAATAATTTTTAATATATTGTAATCGTTTCGAGCCAGGCCCTCGTAATAGGTAAGCCTCCCTCTCCCGTCTGCTGTTCACACCCTGCATATGATGATTTTTTCTATGCATTTGCATAGCTGGAAATTACCGTCCGAGGCTTATGCCCTTGACGAAAAAATTTGGCTGTTTTCTGATCTTTATTTCTCTACCTCGCTTTTTGCAAACTCGGTTATGTATGCTGTTGCTAATATCGCTGTACAGCTACCTGTTATCATGACTTGTCAAATGGTATGCAAATTTTTAACTCCACATTATATAATCTTTATATGATGAAGCGGCACTGGGCTCCGAATTATTCTCACATGAGTCGATACGCCATTTGCGGCAGGCCTAGAAAACCTCGCCCACTGATCACGACCTCCTCGTCTCGATCGATCCACTTACGTACCGAATATCTCGGCTAACGTGGGATCCCCGATCTAGTATTTCCGTATGGATGCCAGGCTTATCGCACGGTGTTTGAGGGTGAAATAACCTGTACGGAAGCATTTCATGTGATCATTTCTCGATCATAGCATGCATAATTCAAGAGCGTAGCTTGTGCGGCCAAGGTAGGCAAAATCTTTTCTTTCTACGCATATTAATATCATCCTCTCCTGATGAGCACAGATGACGAGTCTGATTCGGGTTTCCGTTGTAGACAACATATTTTACTACCATTCATGCATTTTCTGAATTATTGCCTTCGCATCACTGTCATTGCTATCTTGAGATCAGCATATACTGACTATAAGTTACAGGCGCAATAGTACAATCCTGTTAGTAGCCACTCAACACTTCAAAGATGACATGCTGCTGCAATATGATGATCCGACTAAAACAATTGACAAGCATATGTCAGAGCTTCACGGCGTTGATGACTCCGGTCATGTCTGACTGCAGCAGATGGAATCTCATTATCTCCTTGCTCAAGCATTGCTCTGGGCTAACTTGGGATAACAGTATCTACTAAAAAGCTGCTGACAACGTTTTCCTCTTTTTTGTAGTCCTATAAGGTAAGAAACCCCTAGCTTTCCTGTCAACCCCCTACAAACCCTATAATGATGAACCAAAAATTTCACGACGGTCAACATAGCTCAATAGCTTTGATGATATCGCCTTTGACAAGGCTGTGGATCTGATATAGGGTTTCAATGTTTTGTTGCCTTCACACCGTCTAGAATCCGGCTAACTGATTCTATAGCTCAGCTTGTGGTCTCGAATATCAGTCCAGACGCTTATTGCTACTTGAGATATGTACTAGTTCGAGGTGAGTATCAACAGGTAAGTGGTCACAGGGCTGTTCAATCTGTTTGATCTGGTAATCCGATACCATTTCCTATGTGGTACGAAATATAAGCCATGCTTTGCATGCGTAGCCTTTGCTTTTAATATAAGTACTATGTATGGATACGATAGAGTAATAAATAATAAATATATTGTGTAAATTGGTGTTTTGTCCCGCCTAGGCTGTCTTTGGAGAAAATTTCCCGTAGGTTGAAGAAATGGGGCCTATGCCTTCTCTTGAGATCAGTCAACCAAGCCACATGGAGGTCGATTGTGCAGTCTCTCATTCCGATGTTAGACTGCTTAACACATTCTGCACCAACAAAGCTGGATATTTCATGATACTGTTCGTGTTAAGTATTTACTATCATATAGGTGGGTACGGGTATCTAGTATAACGGATGTAGGCCAAAGCGGAAGATTCCAGTAATAGATAGGTATACTGAACAAAATATTGCATGAGGTTAGGATCAAGGTTATGAACCGACCAATATCGCAACAATGGCGCCGCTCCCAACAGCTAACCGCAAGTCAACACCGTATCTTTTACTTGGCACGGCTGCACTAGACGGTGTCGCGGTAGCCGTAAACAAGCCGGTAAGCTGTGTCGTAGTTGTCGAGGGGTCGGCAACAGCAGACGCGGGCGGCGACGTTGTTGTCGGACCAGTCTGCACGATGCCATTGGCGACGAAGGCTTCGCCTTTTGAAATGGCAATCTGCTGCTCCTCGTTGCAACTACCGGGTACGTCGCGGAGCCAGCAGGTCGGCGACGGGGTGGCGGGCAGCTCGAGAGCGCTGTTGGCTTCGGCGGAGCCCGTCGTGTTATACGTGGAAAGATCGATGTCCTCGCCGGTAGACACGCTATCGCCGCGGATGATCCGCGCGAATATCTCGAAGGCCGTGGCTGGCTGATAGGCTGGCACGAAGTGGCCTGCTTGGTACACGCGGCTAAAGGATAGGTTACCGAATTGTCGCACTACGCCGCCGATGTAGCTGTCGTTGACGATGATAGGTGCGTACCCAGCGGAGGTGAAGCCTGCCTCGTAGCCTGTCGCGGTCGAGGCGAGCGCTAAAGATACTGCCTCGCCGCCTAGCCAGTTGCAAATATAGTCCCGATCGCCGTATATCAAGCCCACGCGAATCCCCGCGTTTAGGAGCGAGGCCAGCTTGGGCACCATTGCCTCGCGTTCGTAGTCGCCAGTGGAAAGGAAGGCTGCTGCGACCTGACTATTTGCTTCCGTGTAGTTGAGACGTGTACCGATGGCCTTTTGGAAAGCCGGCGTGTTCACGTACTCCAGATACTGTCGCGGCGGGAATGAGTCTGGCACAGGGGCCGCGATATCATAGACGCTACGACCGGCGTCTAAGTAAGGAAGCATGACGTTGTTGGTGCAGTTGCTATAGGCGGACTCGCAGATACTGTTTACCTCTGGGATCGAACCACTGTTGGTCGGGTCTTTACTGGCGACGGCAGCGCGGCATTGGTTGAGCAGATCGCGACACCCACCGTCGTTGTAGAAGCTGGCATTGGCCATTTTCGCCCTGACCGAGTTGATAGCAGGAAAACCATAGGTATTATCAACCGCCATGACGGGATAATATGGCGCTTGGATAAGGTCATCGACACAGCCGTTTACAATACCTAGCGAGGCAAGGCGAATTTCTACAGAAGTGCTGTTTAAAACAGTATTGTTGCCTCGAGCCTTATTCATCTGCTCCCATTTTTGCGCAAATGCAGGGCCGTACTTCCCCCCATAGCTTTCTGAAAATAGGTTCACACCTAGGACGTTGTCCTTTGGTGGTTTCAATTCAGGGAAAGCTCCAAAGAAGCCTTGTAGCATATGCCATATAGTAATAGCAGCCGCCTCAGTCGTGTTGGCCGTATTGCTCACATTCATGGAACTAAATGTACCGTTAAGATACGCACTGGGCGGTAGAGAATCCGGTCTTTTATCAGGTGGGATATAAATCTCATTGGTAAGCAGGTTAAGAGAGCCATTCGTAGGGACATCGTAAGAGAATCCAACTTGGTTTGGTTGGTCGATGAATAACATGTTCGACGCCCGATCCCAGCCCCACTCCCGGGCTATGGTTGTAAACTTGTCGGTGCCATTCTCAACCACCTCGCACGGGCCGTTCTCCGTAAAGAAGCCGAACATGGAACTTGAGCCCGGGCCACCATTGAGCCATATTGTTAAGCTGGAATTTGCCTGCTGGTCTCGCGCACCAACGAACCAGAAGAACGTGTTGGTAGGGTAGTCGCCCGGGAGGCTCACCCAACCGGTATACTGTGTTTGCGTATCGAACGCAGTGTTGCAGGCTCCATGAGGTACTTTATAGCTGATCTTGATATTAGGGCTAGTTGGGGATGAAATGGTCGTAAGATTCAAGTCCTGAGGAGTAGCACTTGGATACTGTCCATGGGCGAAACGCAACGATGTTATTATAGCAGCAACTAGAACTGCATTGGCGCAGTTCAATCGCATTATTGCCGTCTGACGGCCGTCATTCTTAGTTTTTATTACCTCCCGGGCTAAGAGAGGCAGGATTTAACGATATAAGGACTAAGATGAGACAAATTAGAGATAATATAATGAATTAAGTGAGGAGGTATAGCTAATATCTTACTTAGAGTTAATTTGGAAGCGGATGTACATAGGTCAAGCTCATAGGCATCGGATGAATGAAAGTTGAAGTGGGCAAATTCGCGATAGTGGGCTCCTGTAGGATCCGGTGGAGATTGGAGCAAGACCGATACTAGTGTTAGTGTTGGGTACCTTGCATTAGATACCTGGGTATTAGATATGTCCCCGATTACTTGATCACATTGCATACGTACATAAATTTGTTACCCGTTTTACGTAACCCCAGACGGATAAAGTACCTAGGCACCTAACCTATTCCTCGTAATGAAGGCCGACCTTAAATTCTTTCAAACCCATTGATTTAGGTATTTTTAAATGTGAGGATAAGAAGAACTAACAACCAACGGTAACCTACTTTCAAGACGATATCATCCTGCAGTCTTCCATGTGATACAACCCGATCAGAGCACAAGAGAAATTACATGCTTCGCGGCGTGGTATGCATTAAGCCATGTATGTGCTAGCTTTTCAGCTCAGCTGGGGCTGAGCCGACCCGAGGTGGTATAATATGGTAAAAACTCATCATGTCTTCTTGTCCTGCTGAGATATATGAAACCTTACCTTACGTAACTCAGGTGATCGTTGTCTAAGTCATTAGATGCCTAGGTACCTACCTCTTACCTAGCCTAACCTAAGGTATGTGTATAAAAAAAAGGCACGCCTGAAAAATGTCTTCGACAGGTTCCGGTGGCTACTCGGCCACCGATATCATCACATTTATCGGTATACCCTTAGCTGTCCTTGGCGTATTGCCTATTCTATACAACACCGTCGCGACGCTAGCAGCCCTATCCAAGATCAAGCGCATGCTTAGACACGGTCGCTTAACGGCATTGACCCGCAGCGATGTGGTAAATCGGGTAATCGAGGTGGAATTACCACGATATGCCGTCACACCCTGTGATCGCTTCGAAGACACGGAGCTATACTGGAAGCTTTCTCGGCAGCCAAGCTCTATCCCCGGCGGATCGTGGACCACTTTCAACTGGCGCACCCGCGCTATCGGTGCTAAAACTCAGCGCGTAGAGTACGCCGACCAGCTCCGACAGCCCCAAGTCGACGTAGCGTTTGATAAACTCGTCGCCTACCTACTTGACCTAGGGGCCGTCCCCGATGCACACGGCTGGAAGCTGCTGCGCTCAACAGGGTTATGGACTCCAACAGGTTGCTCGTTAATGAGCTCGCCTGATAGGCAACATGAGGCCTTAACCATCGCTCCTTTAGACGACTCCGACGGGCACCTATCCCTCAGGGTGGACTGGTCATCAGACTGGACAACTAGAGACTTTTCTACCTTGCCTCCATATTGGATACGACTTCCACCTCCGCCACAATTATTGAAGTCACCAGAGGTCACGGCAGCTGTTGGTTCCAAAGCAGCATCCTCCACAACCGAGGAAGAACCCGAATCCGAAGCAGGAAAGATCAAGGAAAAAGAAGCCAATAGTTTACGCAAACAGTCTCTCGATTCGGTCCAGAAGCAGGCCGAGAAGAACACCAGCGCAACTATAGCATGCCAGATATCCATCGACGGCCTCATCTCCGCGAAGAGCCAGGAGGACGGGGCCCGACCGTCGTCCATGAACCTACAGAGCCTCTATATCGAATACCTCCAGATCCGCCCCGGCCGGACCGAGGGTGTCTGGTTCGCGAGCATCGCGACGGCCTACGGGACCTCGAGCCAGACCGTGCTGTGGAACTACAAGATCCCCGACGAGATCCTCACGTTCGCCCGCCGCGACAGCGTGCCCTGCGGCGTGCTCGTGCTCCTCGGCGTCGTCGACGAGTCCCAGACCCCCGCGTGGGCTACCAACTTCAACGGCCAAGACGAGGCCCGCGACCTGTTTATCAGGCGTAGCGCCGACCAGCGCGCCGCCGTCATGGCCGAGTCCAAGATGGCCCCGCCTCAGAGAGAAGTTGCGGCTAGAGAGCGGATGCAGAGGGAGATGAACCAGAGGATGCAAGACAGTAAGTCAATTTTGGGCTTGGTTATTAAATCTTAATTACGTTGTTTCTGACATAGGTATTACCTACCTGCGCGCAGTGCGCGACCGTTCGAGACTCGAGCAGCAGCGCCGCGAGGCGCGCACGTCCGAGGCGCTACAGAGCCCCAAGTGGGATACGGGGCTCGTGGCCGAGCACTACCTGCGGTGGCTGAAGCAGAACGCCGACCGCGCAGCGTCCAGCAGCGGCGTCAGGATCCACTCGGACCTGACTGTTCGGGACGTGGCGGGCTCGCTGCTGCACCGGATGGTTCTGGACGGCGGGTTCGCCTCGTCGATATGCAAGACGCTCGACCTGTGGAAGGCCTGGGCGGATAACGGCGGCATGAGGAGATCCGATCTCGACGTCCCGTGCGAGGACCAGGTCCTGTTTGCCTTGGCGAGCCTCCTCGTCGCGCTGATCAAGGATACGTCTACGGCCCACGAGGGCACGCTGTCACTGGATTTGCAGGAGTGCTTGCGGATGTGGAAGACTGTGAGATTAGGGTAAATATCTAGGTACCTAAGGTAGGGAGTTTTTTCATAACTTGTATTGTACAATAGTTGGGCTGTTTGATACCTGCTACGAAATGGAACTTAGGCATGCTGTTATCCCTTGAATATATAGTAGCGATTTGATCTACAGATACCTCATCATAATTAGGTTAGGGAAACGTCAAATACTACCCTCAGTGCATGCCAGAGCTCCAAATGTGTTTCGTAGCTGTTGGTGCATAAGCCAGCCACGCACGGTGCCCCTTGCTTAACATAGAAGCCCTCTGATCCCCAACACAAGATAAAGCTATCTACTATGTATAGCTCGAACCCAAGATGAAATACGTTAGATCGTTATTTAGTTCCCTTTTAGGTTTGTTTGCTTGCTTGTCATTGAGTTTAAGTTAGGTTAGGCTAGTATGTCGCATCTCCAACACAAATCAAACCGGCTTATTTCCATTTTTTTAGATACATAGGTACCTACCTACCTTACAGCAAGTCTCGTTTGTAATACGTTACCTACTTGTACTCGATCGGAAGCTGAAGTCGGGATATTGTCGTAGGTTGCCGTTGTTGCTCCGAGGGATCACAATGTAGCTTTGTCTCGGCTCCTAGCATGAGATGAGACCTCAGGGAAGTATTTCAATTAGCGTTGGTATGGAACGCATGCCAGACGGTACCTAGGTAGGATCAATAGCGCAGATACATACCTCCTGGGTATCTAGGTACCTAGGTAACGGACAAGGATTCGGGCGCGTTGGCGTACGTAGTTGAACGAATCCTGTAGATACCTCCTAGTTTCTCACATCCATATATATATTATTAGACATTTAAGCTTGTGAGCTGGTAACATCAGTATCAATACGGGATTGCGGGTTAGAGTAGGGAGAGACATGTAAGTAACACGTCGTCAAACAGATGTAACATTCAGCCGCACCAGGTATTTGGAATTAGATAATATATTGCCTAATAAATAGTGACACCAAAAAATATATGCAAACGAATTATCCAATTAACGCCGACCCAATGCAAGAGTAGTGTTCACCTGTCTACTTGCGGTAAACCTAGCGTCAAGTCTAGATGTGTTCACCCTTGACGAGGAAAGGGTGCGCCTCGGTGTTGAAAACCCAGGTGTTGTCGTGCGCGGCATTGATTTGCCACTCTGCGTCGTCGGCCTGGATCAGATAGCTGTACTTGAGCACCTCGGCGAACCAGAAACTCTCTTGGAAGTCGTCGAAGCCGCCGCCGCCAACGACGTTGACGTTCTGGATGGAGCTGTACCCGACGCCGGCGCTGCACGTCGCGTTGATGTTCTGGAATGCCTCCCACGCCCAGTCCTGGTACTTGGAGTCGCCAGTCGCGCGGTACGCGTAGTAGAAGCTCTCGATGACCTCGGGGCGCAGCACGTAGCTCCCGCCGCCGGGCGGGATCCAGAAGCCGGCGGTCTTATAGAATTCGGCAGAGTCCTTAGGAGGCGGACTGTTGTTGCTAGCATTGGCCGCCACCTTGCTGTCTTGCCAGTTGAAAACCTCCGGCCCGATACCTGTGGCAGTAGCGACGTAGGTCTCGTGACACGCGTTCACAAGGTCGAGTCCGAACTTTATATACTTGGGGCTGTCAAGAGTCAGTCCGCCAAGAATAAAGCTGCCGCCGTCGAAGCATGCGAGATGCGTAGACACGAAGTCGAGCTTGTCGCGCCCATCATAGGCGGCAAGGAACGTCAACTCGGGACGACTGGTGGGATGAGAGGCCAGGAACTCGATGCTCGAATCGACAGCGGCGATCCATCGGTCCTTGTAAAAACCGAAACGGTCCTGGTCGTAGACATACATCTTGATGAGGTACTCGTAGAATGAGTCAGTGCCGCCATTCCAACCACCGCTCGAGTCTGCGAAAGTGCCATCGGAAACCCTGACATTGGTTCCAATCAACCCAGGGTAAGGCTCGCCTACATCCGGGTTGCGCACGTTGAGAAGGTAGTCCTCAGCAACCTGTGTCAGCTTGGCATATTTATCATCTCCAGTGATGTCACTCAAGTGAGTCCACTCAAGCACCAAAGTTCCAATCGTAGCAATACCGTTGGTAGAATCACCACCAACATGATAGCCGTCAGAGCTGTAGATTAGCGTATTAATAGGAACTCCGCTGGGCGTTTCGAACGCCACGCTAAGAATATCAGCTAGAGTTATTGCCTGCTCAAGAATCTTGTCGACAGAAGCCTGGTCTTTCGCGTATTGTTTTAGAGGACCAGATAGGAAGTCATATGCTGGTACAAGGTAGTCAGCAAACAGTTCTATAAATGGTGTTTCTCACTTTCTCACCTGAGAGGAGACCGGCCAAGTAACGGATAGTAGTCTCAAATACGGAGACATTTTCCGAACCAGGAGCAGTGGCGTTAAAGTTGATGGTCTGGATATGGTCCACAATCTCGTTGATAACATCTGCATTTCCCATTACTAGAGCCGTAGAAATGGCATCAACTGCACTAGCTCCCCATCCATTTCTATGATTTTCGGTTAGCCTACGCTCGGGATGCCTTTTATTATTTTTTCTACACACCGGTCATTCTGGTACCCCTTTGAGATAGGTCTCAGGGTGTCATTAGGGAACGCATATTGGTAATATCCGTCCCAAGAACGCTGGAAAGCTGCCTTGACGGCATCAGCTCTGTCGGGATGAGACACATAGAAAGGATGAGACGGGTAGGAAGCCTGAGCCAGAGTCAAGGAAGCACCGCCTAGAAAGGTGAGGGCGGATTTGGCGTTCACCATGGTCTCGTAATATATGATAATTCAGATATGCGAAGAGGGAATACCATGAGAACACTCAGAGAATGAGGTCTGCGGTGGAGCCAAGGGGGTATAAATGGCTGAAGATAGGAATGAAGAAAGGAGATAACAACAAGGAAATATGGCCGAGTCTTATACTCAGTCTAGATGTTACGGTATGTGAACTAGACACGGGCCCTCGGAGTTATAGCGTCCTGCTACAAGAGGAGAATACCTGTCACCTGCACAAGCCATATCTAGGTACTAGAGCAGTACCCGGCCCGGCGTAAAAGCTTTGATGGAAGATAAATTCAAAGATTGAACTGCAAAAGCAGGGATATGATGCCTGTACGTTATGCAGGCAAGTTAAGTGTGTGTGGATGCGAACGTATGTGGCTTTGTAGCTTAAACCAACACCGCTGCACCGTAAGGACATAACCTTGGGATGTAGTCTTATCCATGCCGAACGTATTAGAACGGGATGAGCGGTGTCTTTGCGGCTCGCAAGTTTATTGGGGATCGCGGATCAATCTCTGGTGTCATCTAGCAGGCGCAGGGAGACAGGGAGATAAAGCGTGCTCGGCATGCAAGCTAAAGGTCCCTCTGCAATGCAACACTGATGATCACAGACCGTAAGCACGAGGATCCCGGGTCTCAGTGCGAATGGACCATGTGGCACAGATAAACATCACGAATATGTTACCCCGAATAGATAGTAGCTCATATGATAAAGCGCTTAAGTAGATAGTCTCCTAATTAGGGTTAGAAAGCTTTGTTCCGGTGAAGAAGGGAGAAGAACGTTACCAGTTATAATCCTTGAATCGATAAATAGCTACCTAGGTACCTACCACTTACTACTAGTCGAGATACCTACATGTAGGGAATAGGAAATAGGGAATAGGGAAAAATAGATGACCTTCCGAAAGGGGCAACGGATCGACAGGTCCAAGAAGACATCGCCTAAGAAAGCAGGATTAAGGAAGAGGATAACGGGCCGGAAAACAACATGGTAAAAAGCAGTGGAGATTCCAGGTTCGATGTCTTGTGACGAAGACACAAGGGGAAAAAAGAAAGCTGCTTGATGGATTTGGTAAGGTAAGGTTGGAAAGTTTTTGTTTAAGGTCAGACTAACTTGTGCTTGGAACTCGTTGCTCAGGGATAACCACACACTGAAGTTAATACGCTAAGAACCTAGCTCCTAAATAGACGGAAAATTAAAGAAGCTAAGGAATTTAAACTATTTCTGTGCTATGAGGTCAGGGCATTTCATGTCCCGGCATATACATTAGGTACCTGTAATATGTACCTCCTGAAGTACCTTCTTTTCCCCCGCGCTATTTAGCGCCGTTCCCCCCTGACCCCAACCTAGGTATACCTATACGCTCCGATATCCCTGCCCCAATCTCGAGATCGGATTCGGCATCCCATAAGGCAAGTGCCAAATGCGGTTGGAGGTAAGAATTAACTTAACCTGTTTATCTAAGCTAACGTGCGGGGAATCCATGTGAAGACCTCAATAAATAAAAAGGGGCACAAACTACAGGTACATGTAGGCACAAAGGAAGAGGAAGAGAGGGGGGAAACAATAGAAGCAGCATAGGATAGGTACCTTAGGTACGGTACCTAACATAAAACCGCCGAAATTAAAGATTCGGGTTCTCGCAGGTACCGATCGATGATGGGCTCCTCTAGGTATATACGTCCACTTACACACACGCACACAGTTCCTTCGTACAGTTCCCTCGTGGAACTCCAGCTTAATCTTTACCCACCTTGGCGGTCAAAAGAAGAGCACACGACGTGTCGTATATGCATTCATTACAGGTAAGCCAGCATATGTCTAATATAATATACCTTAGGTAGATTATAGTTTTTGACGCAGGGCCTTCTCTAATCCGATTCGTGCTTAACTTGACGTGTTTACTCCGTGATAATTTTATTTAATACTATAGGGGTCTGCCGCCACGAAAAGCCGCCTTTCTACCATGTCATATTTCATATTTTCTTTAAATCCGGATAAGGAATTACCATAGAGGTAGCTACCTGCCTATTTCTGGGGAATAGGTACCTCTAATCCAAAGGAATTTTTCTTTGGAGAGATTCCACGTCTGCAAATACGGAATACACTATCTATGCATATATTTCTTTTTTACGAGGATCTCCCCAGCTTTATAGACAAACCACCTGAACTCCCGCTTGTTAGATTGTACGCTAGATTATACTTAGTAGACCGCTTCAAACCCAAGGTTCCTGGGGAAATCCGCCAAGCAAGCCCCCGCTAAGAGCCTTGCGTTACGCTAGGGGGTTATATGACCTGATCAAGATCATATGGGAATATGCATCGTGAACCACATGCTCTTCCTTACTGTAATACCTGCCCACAAACGCCATACCTAGTTTCCCACTAGGTCGTTCAAGTTAATAAGCCCTCACATCCAAGAGGTAGCACTTTGCTCGGGACGCTCCGAAGTGTTAGACCCAACCCGCCAAACTAGGCAGGTATCATCATCGTACTTCTATCCTTTGTCCCTGAGCTTTGCCAATGCCGCGGCTATCCCCTCGCTCAGTTTGTCTTCCTCTCGGGGCTTCGAACTCGAGCTAGGTGGCTGCTCTTGCACCATCGTCTTCTTGGATTCTTCAATGGCCGCCGCCAACATGGCTTCCTCGTCATACTCATCTATGGGAGGAATATCCTGGTTTTGGTGCTCCGAAGGTGATGCGCGTTCTTGTTGCGGAGCAGCACTGTCTCGAGACAGACTCGCCGATACGCGAGGCATATCCCTAAGCGGCACACGGCTCAAGGGGACGGCTTTGTCGGCAACGCTGCTACCCTCGTCAACAATGCGTCTCTTAGCTGCGTGTTGAACCCGGAACGGCTCTTCCACAGCGCTACACCACTTCTTGACCTTCTTCTCTCCCCAGCCGCCAATGACAGCGACTTGCTCGGGGTCGGCATTGATTGCGTTTTTGAGGCTACCAAATGCGCTGACGAGAGTAATAGCATCAGCTTTATTTATCCCTCTGGGTACCGTAACGAACTCGACCAGCTTCTCAGCGTAACTCGTAGCTTGCTGTCCCTTTATGGCGGTGAAGTTCGCGTGCTCGTAGGACTTGTATAATTCGAGATATCTCGCGGCCTCGGCAGCGGACCAGCAAAGGATTATGGTGACGTTGTTTATTAACGAGGTCTTCGAGAGCTCGCGTAAGGAATCCTCGTGGTTGGGTATATCGACCATGGTCAAGAGGATGCGCAGGTTGTATTTCCCCTGCAGATTGCGGATTCGGGTATAGATGTACTCGGGGTGAAGCCGGTGATATTTTAGACTTAGAAATAGGGCACATGTTGTTAAACCGAGCCCATAGTCGGCGGGAATATCGCTATACTCCCATGGTACCGAACGTAGAGATGATAGCACGGGATTCCCTCTCTGGCGCGGCGACACAAGGATTGAAGAACCGGAGGAACGCTGTGGGAGAGCTTGAGGTGTTGGTTGAACGACTTTCTGCGCGGTAGAGTTAGAAGCTGGAGGTGGTTTATCTAGCCGTTGAGGCGTCGGTTGCTGGATTCTTTGGGGTATTGGCTGCTGGATTCTTTGAGGAACGGGTTGCTGAACGCGGTTCGTTGGTTGGGATCTAGGGAGAGATCCAGGTTGGGATCTAGGCTGAGATGTCGGCTGAGATGTCGGCTGGGATCCGGCTTGGCTGGAGTTGCTTGCAGCAGCAGCAGAGGAGGCCAAAGCAGATAAAAAATCGACATCGGCGCCGAAGTCGTCGTCGCCGTCGTCCATTTTGACAATATTTTTTACTTCAATAATCGGTACCTGAAGTATTTAAAAGGGAATCATTTTGTCTTGAGTACGCTAGCGATCGAATGACGAATGACGAATGACGCAGATTGATGGATGCAGGCAGCTGGCAGCTACTGCTAGACTAAATATGACTTAGCGCTAAACTATCTACCTCTAGGCTCTGTCTAGTAAGGTGTCTAGGTACTAGGTACCTGGCTATGTGTACCTTAAATCTGGGGGGAACTGGAACCTTGGAAGCCACATTCACGTACCTAACCTTCTATGTACCTAAGGTGCGTACCTACATATGAGGTAGGTACCTAGGTACCTATTATTGTACCTGGGAACAAATAGCAGAACCATATAGGAGGTACCTAACTTCCATTCCTCACAAATTTACTACTATATACTAGGTTTGTGCTTCAACCTTGATATATAATCGTTTCCACGGCCATAGATGGTTATATAAATTGTAACGCATTTTTTTTGTTGTTTTCTTTTTATGCTACAAAATGTGAAAGTCAAATTTAGTACTGTACTATCTCCCTCCGTAAGCTGAGTTATGCGGACTCGTCAGAATCTCCCTATTCCTCGTCTTCATCTTCTTCTTCGTCGTCGTCCTCTTCATCCTCTTCATCCTCTTCATCCTCTTCATCCTCTTCATCCTCTTCATCCTCTTCATCCTCTTCATCCTCTTCATCCTCTTCATCCTCTTCTTCATCTTCGTCCTCTTCATCTTCGTCTGAGTGGTATTCGTCCAAGTCGAACCAGTCCGAGTCCGAGTCCGGCTGCGCAAGATCCTTTCCCCAGTCATCCAAAGGCTCATAATCCGACCACACTTTTTTAGTCTTCCCGGTTAAGACGTTTTGTATACTTATACCAGACTTCGGAAGTTCGTGAGTTATGAGCCTCACGACCTTTGGCTCATCCATCTGGGTTGCGAGTACCTTTGCCTGAGCCACCATGTCCTCTTTTAGTTGTTGCCAGTCAGGAGGGCGGTATATGCAATGTTCGGAGTATTCCCGGCGCAAGGGCTTCACGATGAATGCGGTCATGCTTAAGTTGATGATAACCGTGTTCAGCTTTAGACGGGCATTGGGATCTTTGGGTTTCAGAACCTCGGGACAGATGAATTTCTTGCGAAGATAAAGGACTTTAAGAGTAGGAAGGAGAGTGCTTATGGCTGAGCAGACATCAGGGGTGTACTCTTGCATTCCTGTTGAATCTCGAAGGTAGACTGGCAGATCTAGTTTTAGAACGCTTAGATTCTTTACCTCGAGCAACCCTTGGACCCATGATATCGAAAGATAATATTTACTGGACAAGGGTCCGTCTGTGTCTCCGTGGATCCAGAATCTTTTGTATCGTAGGTGTAAGGTATGTAACCTACGTGACCGTTGGGCAATAGCGCCAAACCTTTGGTAACTATCATTGAACGTCCTCTCCTGGAAACATATCCCTACATCAATGATTAGGGTCTCTAGGCCACGTTCGATGAAAAATGGCCGAACCATTCCGAGTGCCTCCCGAAATATCCACAAAACGCTAGGGACAATGTGGAGATATTTGTAGAGCATGGGCAACGCGAATTGTGACCACTCTTTGCAGATTGTAACATGGCGTGGATTCTTTTTGAAAAATGACGAGCCGAGTTCATCAAAGATTTGGAATAGAATCTCATTAGATAATTTTATAAGGAGCATTGTGAAAGCCGAGTACCTAAGGTACCGTGAGTTGTAATATGTTGTCGCGGTAGGGTAGACTAGAGAGAACTATAGAGTGATGTTCTTTTCTCTGAGCTACCATTTGGCCATCACTTACTTATACACCCTTAAATAGTAGAGAGGCAGAAGTGGCCAGAGTATGTTATTGCGAATCTATTTATAAGTGATTAGGTTAGGTACCTAGATGAGTAAAAATTAATACTGCACCGTGTTTACTTTGAATCGGATTTGTTACTTAAGCTATATATTTTTTTAAGTGGGGGATGTTTACGAGTGATTCACACAGTTTATCAAGGTGAATGATGCTCATCCAAAGGTCCATTATATATTGTATTCTCGGTAAACTTCCATTCCACTGTCTTACAAATATCATTGTCTCCACGCCGTTGTCAGAGATATGTTTAAGTTAGGATGAAATAGGAATAGATTTAGTATTTACTCTGCATGTGACATCTATCAGGGGCTATTTGGAACAAGCGCGTTTGTAAAAGCTGAGTCACAAGGTTTATATTCAAACGCTTTTTTTAGGTTTGTTGTTACCGTATATCAACTATCAAACGAAGTCACTCCCGATATTAAGTAGTATATGGAGAGTTTGTTCATTCACTAGGGGCCACCTCGTCGTGTTCACTCTCCATCTCATCACGTCGTCCAGTTCTTTAGTTATCATTTCTTATTTTTTATCCAATTACATAAGTACCTAGGTATCTACGTTCTTTACCTTACCGATTACCTCCCCATTACCCGTGGAACCCTTGATGAAGATGATACCTACCTCTATGGAACCTTAGGTACCTACTTAGACTCTCGATGTTCAACAAGACTGCTAGGTACCTCATGTACATATACATGTACCTTAGCTACACCCAGCCACACGTACATAAGTAGCTTGCTTAGCCACATGTCAAGCCATATATTTAGCCACCGCAATAGCCCACCAAATACATGTAACAGAACAATTATTTGCTTTAAAAAAAAAAAAGATTATTTACCCAAGTTAAATCAAGCTAAGCCCAAATCAAATCAAGCTGTCAGCTAATAAAAAATAAAAAATATATGTGGCCTGAACTCATCCGTAAATAATCACAAATCGTTTACTTGACCTCCCTCGTCATAACACTCCCCTACAAAAAGCTAGATAAAGGATTGAGTGCCCCTAACAGCAGGCTGTTAAGAGCCGCAATCCCCAGCCTTGTTTCGTTCGTTTGCTATTATTATCACCATTCTGCGTGTTTTAGTATCAGTGAATTGTGCTTCTGATTTTCATTTAATTATTCGTTTCCTTGTAAGTCATGCCTCCACGAAAACAGACCCCTAAAAAGGCGTCGTCTCAAACCGGAGGCGGGGGACCAAAGAAGCCGGCCGAGACGAAAGAGGAGTTTGAACGGGAACTTAAGCTACTAGCCGGTCAAGCTAAAGAAGAGAGCTGGGCCAAATGGGCTATCGGGCAAGGAATTGTTTATGTTAAGGCCGCGGCCCTCATCATCCTCATGGCCGTCTTCGCTAATGTTTCCGTCCTGACGCTTTCGCCTGTCTACGGCCAAATCCCCGCGACGAGGCTGCACGAGAGAGTAGTATGGGCAGCTTTATTTGTAGGATGGGGGGCCAACGTCGTCCTAAGACGCGTCTTACCTGTTAGAACAATTACTCTACTGCCCCTGGTAGCCGCATACATCCCCATGGAGCAGTTTTTCCTCTTTCGGGCGAGTGATACCTTTGGTGCAAATCTGGGTCCAGCTATCACCGAAGCTCTCACACTATTCCCGCTCGTCGTGCTCAGTACGGCCTGTATAGCAGATGTTCTCGAAAACGCTGACCTGAGCAAGCTGCCAAATTCAATTGCTGGCTCCATCCCAGGTCTCACCTCCTATGCGGTTTTCAAGTTGGTTGAAAAGGAAACGTTTCAGCAACTGTTTACGCAGATTGGAAAATCACTGCCTCAGACACGTGTGTGTTTAGAATTGGTGCTAGCTGCGACTTACAGTGTCATGGCCCGGTCGAAGTACCTCGTGTGGGCCATCCCAGCAATCCTGCATGCGGGCTTTTATAATACTCATCTTTTGACTCCGTCCGCTACGAAGTCACTTAACACGACCCTCCAGGCTAGTGGGTGGTCGTTGGTTGATCGATGGGAGTCTAACACTGGGTACATTTCGGTCCTTGATAACCATAACGATGGGTACCGAGCCATGAGATGTGACCACAGTCTACTTGGTGGCGAGTGGACCAAGTTTGGCCGCAAAATCGTCGCAGAACCCATATACAGTGTCTTTACCCAACTTGAAGCAGTACGTCTCATTGAAAACCCGAAGAAAGTACCTGACAATGAAGCGAAAGCTCTAAATATGTAAGTACATCCCATTTTACACGAACCTTTTCATTTTGATTAATGCTATAAAAGTGGCCTTGGAATTGGAACTACGCCGTCGGCCTTAATAGCTCATGGCATAGATACAACCATTGTAGAAATTGATCCAGTGGTATATGACTTTGCCAAGAAATACTTCGGGTTACCCCTGAACCACACAGGTGTAATCCAAGACGCAATCTCTTGGAGCCAGTCTAATAAGGACATCCTCCATGAGTATTATGATTACATTGTTCACGACGTGTTCACGGGCGGTGCAGAGCCTATTCCTCTGTTTACCTACGAATTCTTATCAGGCTTGAGGCACATGCTAAAGCCTAACGGAGTGATAGCCATCGTAAGTCTTCCTCACTGTCCTGATGCAGAAAACCAACTGAGGCTGACGGATCTAGAACTATGCTGGCGACTTCACGCTACCTCCGCTTAGCATCGTCATGAACACAATTAAGGAGGTCTTCCCTAATTGCCGAATCTTCAGAGAAAACCAGGCGCCTTCTGCGGAGACTCTCGAAGAATCTGGCCGTGATTTCGACAACGTTATCGTCTTCTGCGCCAAGACGGGAGACAAAGTCACCTTCCGAAAACCTACCGAAGCTGATTACCTCGGTAGTCTGGCTAGGAGGGCGTACCTACTACCCAAGCATGAGGTAAACGAATCAGCCTTCTTAAGTTCTGCCGCAGAGGAGGGAATTCTTAGGGTGAACGAGACCCAGAAGCTGGAGAAGTGGCACGCCCAGAGCGCTCTGGGCCATTGGGCTGTCATGAGGACTGTGATACCGAGCCACATCTGGGAGAATTGGTGAGCGTGGTGATGTTGGTGTAGGCATCCCATCACTTTTCCTGCGTTATATTACGTCGTACATATATACTACTTGGATAATCTTGCCCGTGTAAATGCTATGGTATGTATAAATATTTTCAACTGAGAATGCATATTTTCAATCTCGAAGTCAATACGTCCCGTGTTCCGTGCGATGGGACCAAGTAGGAGGTCAACAACTTCGTTCTTCTGTGAAGAACTTTAACTGATCTACCTATGAAGGCCTGTGGCTATACACACTGAAGGTGGCTGCTAGGAATGCACATCCTTCACGAATGTGTCATCCGTTAGGGAAAATTCTAGGTCTTAATGATTTATGTAGACTTATACAGAGGGCAAGTCCTCCTAGATACAGCTAACTAAGGTCGTCAGGAAAACGAAGCTCCACCCGTTTCGGCTTTAGAAACCAGCATGCCGACTTACTCGGATGGCAGTCTCACTTAAACCCACGCACATATAAACCTACCTATCCATGTCAAGTTCCAACTTTGTGAATGGACGGGACTCGCAGACACCAAATCTTAGGTGTATCATTTAACTTATGGTTTCCTAAAGCCAGTAGTAATTTAGTAACAACGAAACCAATATCATAACCAGCAGCTTCAACCTAGACACACCGCTTTACCATAGCGACGTGGAAATAAGCACTCGTCAATTAGTCGTCCTCACGATCGAGCTTCGTCTTCCCCACCATCGGCTTCGTAGCCTCCTCGACAGCCCACTCCTCAGCGTACCTATTCGTCTCATCCACGTACTCCCTCAGATACGGCGGCACCTCCTGCACCCTGTTGTACGGGCCGGGGATCGGCTCGCCCAGCGTGTAGTGGACAGGCACGACGCCCGTCCAGACGCGCCCCAGCAGCGCGTCGTTGCCCGTGTCCGCCTTGTCGTCGCTCGGCATCCCCGTCCGCAGCTTCGCGCTGCCCGCGGCGACGCGCACCCGCAGGACCCCCGTGCTCTGCATCTCGGCGGCGCTGGGCGGCGTCCGCGTGTGCTCGTAGCGCGCGCGCACGACCGAGTTCGTGATCAGCCGCATCGCGTAGAGCTTCTCGTCCGGGTCGGTGACGAGCGTCGCGCGCCCGAAGAGCGTCGCCGAGCGGTAGTTGTAGCTGTGCGAGTTCGGCGTGAGCGAGAGGACCAGGCCGTCGACGAGGCTGGCGGCTACGCATATCGGCAGCCCTACCTCCTCACCTTCTTTCCCGTCGTCGTTGCTGCTGGCATTCCGCGACAGGTTGACGAGCCGCGACGACACGTACCCGTGCAGATACAGCTCCAGCACGTCCCCCGTGTCGGCGCTGGGCCGGTCGAACGAGCCCATCTGCCCTATCATGGGGAGGATTGTGGGGAAGGGGGAGTCGGGCACGGAGAAGGAGACGTGCAGGATGGGGCAGGAGTTCACGATCTGGTGGATAGTCTCTAGGGCATAAGTAGCTTGAGAAGGGAGGCAAGTATTGGTTAGCTGGTAAGAAACGCAAGCTTAGATTGCCGCTTAAGAGGATGTATGTATGAGTGAGTGTATTACCTCGAGAATCATATCGGTTGACCTTGTTGTAAGGCTGCTTGGGGTACTCTAGGTTGGTAGTGGGCATTTTGAAAGATTTGGACGAAGCTTGCTTCTGAACTTGAGGTTTCAACTTATTGGACGACTTGACTGCTTTGAATTATACTCAGATTTGGAGTTATCGTTGGATGTAGCTTGCAGCTTGTAGCTTATAGTCTTGTGTTCTCCAAGTATGAGGAACGCTTAGCAGAGATACCAAACCCCTTAAATACTTTTTTATACTCACAATTCCGGATAGTTGCCTACCTTACTTGAGTCATGATCTTATTCTTTCGCAATATCATATAGTTACCCTAAACAAGTTGAAAACCCAGACTTCAACATTATCGACACCCAGAATTGAGGATATAGATAGATACCATAGACAAATAGGAAATATATGATTGGTTAATATCCTGTATAAGACGATAATTACTTAAGGTATGTTAGATCCGATCGGTAGGGATGGCCTCGACAATTTAGTAACTAACTCCATTCCGGAAAGTCCATGCGATGGCTTCCCCAGAATAACCAGATCACAGCAGCCCCAAAAAAAGTCATTTATAGGGCGTATTGCTCCGATCTAGATTCGATGACAAGTCCGTGCCTAAGAAGCTTTTCCGCGGAGAACCCTTTTACGTGCATAGATGCATTAGGTACATATACAATTATGTACACTACGTTAGGTAAGGATATGTAGGTACCTACATGTAGGTATCAAATGTGGCTTGAGTTTTCCAGACATACATGTACATCGGTACTTCCAGCACCAGCCACAACAACCACCAAAAGCCCCACCAAAAACTTCATCGCATTCATTCGGATTCTCGATTGCAGTGACATCGTCAATCTGCAACTCCTCAACCCTTGCCTGTCAACCGCCCGACGGTCGCTCAATCTAGACAATGGCGAAGAAACGTACGTCTCGAGTCCCCCTAGCACCAAAATAAAACCAACGAAATCCACGGCAGCAGCAGCAGCAAGCAGCAAGCACACTTTTCGCTAACTCTCCCGTTTAGCAAAGGCCCGTCTGCTCTCCGTGCGCCTTCTCTCCATGGCCATGACCGGTTTCTTCTACACCTACTCCCGCCCGCGGACGTCACGGCCCATGAGCATGCTCAAATACGACCCCATCGGTACGTTCCCTTTCTCGTCCCGCAAGCAAGCATTGGTCCACGAGCATCTCGCGAGTCTCTAAAGACAGACATACGTTTCCCCCGAATAGCACAAGAAGGATGGATGGATGGATGGATGGATGTAACGTACCTGAATTGAACTCGCAGCTAACTTATGGTTCGTATCGCAGTTCGGAAAAAGGTACTATTCCTTGAACAGAAGCGGAAAGGGAAATAAATAGTCAGGAACCGACCCCTCGTCTTATAAGACACAAAGTCTCCCTTCTGCGATGAGACGTACCTATCGTACGGGACCGCGGCCGCCCGCTCCTCTCGAGGGTTCTCGGATACGTAGAAGCTTTAGTCTGAATAGACTCTTTACGAATATCTCCAAGAATTAAATGTATATATATACCTACCAATGTACAGTACTCCGATTAGAGCTGTTCCATGATGGCTTCTACACACCTTTGCCAGGTATTAGACGGCGCGCAACATGGGAAATAAAAGATCTATTACTATATTAGACTTCACCACTCCTCATGTGGAGACACAATTCAAGCTCTGATGTTGATTTGTACTCTTGTCAATCTTTCATTTCGAGGAATATTCCGAGCAAATGCTAGCGAGGACTTTGATGAACTCTCAATCTTCCAGAATATGCTGTCATGAAGCCTAATTTTCTAATCGTTTTAGTAGCAAAGCAGAAGCTCAAGTAAAAATTCCCGTTTATGACGTGAATTCCGGTTCCTAACTGAATATTCCTCTGTCGCCTTAGTCTTCTTCTAGAACGTCTTGATCCCAAGCCTGACTGTCTGTCGCCTGGGAAGAAGCTACAGTCAACTGGCTGTCAGCCTCTTCCATAGTACCAGGAATGATAGATGAGTGGGTGTACGATGGCACCTCGTTAGAACGCTGCGTGCGGTAAGTCGCTAGCCCAGACTGTTTCCTCGTTATTGGACCTCCGCGAAGTGAGGGTGAATTTGGGACTGGAGGTGATATCTTAATTGATTCACCATTGTCTAATGCTTGACCCGGGTAGTGAATAGACGTAGAACGGGATAGCTTGACTCTTTCCGCGATGTTCAATCCCTGTACTTCGTGATCGTCGGTCTTACGAATCCGCTGCCTCTTCAATGGAGGTTCATGACTACTGCTGCCAGGATTTGCTGATTCGAAATTGCCAGCCTCGTAGCTCATATTCCCATTCGAGACATCTTGGCTCTCTTCAACATATCCATGGTCGGTTTCCGGGATAGTCCCAGCTACCGGTCGATTGTATATACTATGCGTAGTAAGAATAGGCTTCGCACCACGCCTTGCTACTTTCCGTTTGAGGGGTAGTTGTGGTGCTGCCAGCATTTGACTATTCATATCCTGTGTATTGTCTCCTTCTATTTCTACCGAAACATCGCTGCTGGTGACTTTCATAATCCCTCGTAAAGGTGTTGCGTGGCGTCTAGTACTCCTTTCTTGTTCAACAGACATCGGGGACCTGTGGTTATCTGCGTCAACTGGAGACTTCACCATTACCTTGCGCTTAATCTCTTGAGACTTCTCTTGTGCATATGCCATGTCGTCCCGTTGGTTGTCTTTTAACATGAGACCGTGTTTGACGTTCATTGATCGACTCTGGCTACGATTTTCTGCTTCCGCAGCAGTCGCTTCTGCTTGGTGGTACTCTAAAGTACTTCTCAACGATTTATGAATCCTCAAGAGGTGTTTCAACTGGTCGCTCATCTGTATTGCATTGGGTTGGTCGCTTGCTAGTCGTCGTAGTATATGTTTCATCTGATCCATCTCAACACGATCGCGCGACCATAACTCGAGACTTCCTCGCAAAGCTTCTTCCTCTCCCGCAGCTCTTTCTAGGCCAAGAGCTATCTTCGCTATCGAGGCAGTTGCCATTGAAACCTCACCCCGTACTTGATGCATATCTCTGTCCAGACTATCTTTAACCACCTCTACTTCTTGCCGGGATTTAGCAAGTTCTTCCTCAAGTTGTGCGCGAGCCAGCTCTATCTCTTCGAGCTGCTTCTCTGCTGTTTCGTTTTTCTCTCTCAACTCTTTTGCCTTTTCTGCAGCGGCCTGGGATAGGTCTTGTTTGTGCCGTTGGACACTAAGCTCAATTGCTTTCTTGTGGCTCTGACGTTCACTTTCAATCTCCTTCTCTCTATCTTGAGCGACACGGATTTGCCTTTCCAATTCTTCCTGAGTTACTTGGAGATTTCGCTCCGCTTCGCTTAATATCAATTCTTTTCCGTTCAATTCTTCTTGGAATCGCTTAGTCTGCTCTTTTAAAGTTTGAATTTTCTCATTCATAACTTTCTCATCGACTGTGGCAGTAGCTAGTTGCCTCTCGAGTTCTTCATGCCGCCCTTTCTGCTCATTTATGCGAGCGCATAGTTGGTTTACTTCATTTTGTAGGTTCTGGGTGCGTTCCATGTGGTCACGAATAGCCATTTCAGAGTTGTGTGCCTTTTCTTGCCACGCCTCAACATCGTTGATTTCATCCAGTTTCTCGCAAATACCCTTGCATAATAGATGGATTTCTCCGATACTTTCGTTTAAAGCTTCCTGATCCCCAAGTATGGAGTTCTGAGTTGATGCGACGGAGTTCTGGAATTCTGTGATAATTCTAATCGCCCATTAACGCCGAACTTCTCGGAATTATTTGGATATGATACGTACGTTGTAGCCATGCTGCTATGAACTTCTCTTAATTTCTCCATTACTACGATAGGGTCCAGAGTTTTCGAACTCATTTGCTCCAGAGTCTTTAAAACCATGTCAATCCTATTAAGTTAGCAAGACTCGACTTCAGCCGACGGGAAGAATCCTTACTTCTCTTCTTGCTTCCGAATGCGGGCCGCAACATTCTTAGCATGCATATGATCCTGTTTCATCTGATCGAGGAACTCTTGATTCTGTACCGAAGCTGATTGAAGCGAGCACTCGTTTATTCTTTGGAGCTGGGAAAGCTGCTCGGTAAGACCCTGGGTGTGTTGTCTTTCGCATTCAAGTTCCTTCTCACGATCTCTCAACTCATTTTCAAGAGATTTGATGGCCTTGTTCACTTATCATGCGTTAGTATCTACATTTTATCAGAACTGATATAACATACGTTCATCAACTTTTCCATTGGAATCCTTAGCAACTGCAGCCATCTCTTGAGTAATTTTGGTTCTGAGGCGCTCAAGCGCGGTAAACGCCTTTTCTATAGACTCTTTCTGCATTCTCTCGTCTTCCTTGATTTCTGTAGTGGCCTTTTGGCAAATTTCTCTGCTTTGCACGAAAAGTCGCTGTTGCTCGCCGATTGCATCATTTAACCGAGTTTTGTAAGTCCTGAGCTTGTCTTCCAGTTTCTTGCGCATATTATCAGACGTATTGATTTTGGACTGAGCTTCTTGGTTTTGAGTGTCGAGGTGTTCAACTTTAGCCGATAAATCGTTTATCTGCTGATCACGACACTTGAGTGTCTCTTCCAATTGCGCAATAATCGAATTCTGAGATGTAATGTGGTTCTCAAGAGCCAACATTTTGTCTTCCCAGCGGTCCAGTAGCCTCTGGTTATACAGATAGTTCGTGTTCCAAGATTCTGCGAATTTCATAAGATTTATACCATTTTGTTCACGGGTGGGTGTGTGTCGCTTGTGGTTGGCTCTGGGAAGGCTTCGTAGTTTCGAACTAATTGAGGTTTGGGAGCATGGTCTCGCAGAAAAGGGTTCATACTCTGAGGGCTCAAGTGATATGGGTCGTGTAAGACTCTGAATTTTATGTCGCTTATTCAGAGAACCGTTCGTAGAGATACGTTTGTCTTCGTTGTGACCGTTCTCTTGGGAAAGTTGACTATCCTTAGGCTGTCCATGGCTCTCTGAGCGCCTTTTCGTTCCGTGTCGAACTTCCCTATCTGTTGCAATTGCTTTTGCCGATGGGGAGTTAGCAGTAGGTGAAACTACAGCACCTTGTCGCGAGAACGAGTTATGTGGGCTTATTTGTGCAAGGGCTTTCCGGCGAGTGTCGGAAATTGCCTTCGGAAGCTGAGTTTTTGCTAGAGAACCTCGTGACTTCTGCGTCTTCCCGCCGTGACGCTTCCGGCCAGCGTCCTCTGGGAAAGGAAAACCACTTGTGTTTTTAGTAGATATTGCACTTGGTGACTCGACACTGGGTGGTTTGTTGTTACCCGGTGCATTTTGGGGTGACTTTTGGAAGTGTGCAATGGGGCTAGTTATATTGCCCCTTTGGCAGTCATCTGAATACTCCGTTGCTTCTTCTCTATTTTCTGCTTGTTGATATATAGCTGGTTTGTTCTGACTGGTTAAGCCAGAAAGTATAGAGTTGACACCGCATTGAGAGGCTCCATTAGCCACAGGAGGAAGGGCTGGATTATTCTGCTGCTGTAAACCGAGACCATGGGATATTGCTCGAGGAGGTGGTGCTTTGTGAAATTGGAATATAGCCCCTATTTCCTCGGTTGTCTCTATTGCCGGACGGGTGAAATAATTCACCTCTATATTTCCGGTGGAAGAGACATTCTTGGATGGCTTCTCCAAGGAGACATGATCGGTTATGACATTGGTATTTGTTTCTTGTGAGTCTGGGAGTTGTTGGACGAAGTCAGCCTGACTAGACCCCAGTTGAGAATCAAGATCATCATATCTATCAGATACTTGATCTGGCGTATACGCCTCGCGCTTCTGGGTCTCTTGTGACATGTTGGGTAGGCACCTTTGAGTATTAAAGGTTCGATCAAATGATCATAGACGACGTCTGAAGCATTGTCAAACCAAGAGGTTTATGATATGTGGTGGTTCAAGTAATTGTGATGCGGGTTGAAAATGGAAACTTTTGAAATTAAGCTAACGGATCGAATATTTCTGTTTTTAAAAACATTAACAGAGTTGAGGAAGTAGCACTCAGTAGGTAAGTGCTACTCAGTACGTGCTACTCGGTATTAAGCGGCACTCATCTCCTGAATTTACTTTTCGTGTAACTGCCTTGGACGTACGGGGACTATTGCCACTTCCTAATGTTCATTAATGAATACGAACTAATGCAATGAATAAGAGAGATGGAAGCATAATTCTATAGTTAATAGGTACCTACCTAAGGTATAACTTGAATATGGTCCCTGATGAGAATGGATGTTGTATGAGCTCATAGAGAATGGCCCATGTAGTGAACCTTAATACTTTATGTTAATAATTATGAAGTTGTACCGTGATATTCCAGTTTAGTTGAGAGGTATTCCTGCCAAATGTGAAATTAATCTCAACGATCACGTAAAATTAGGTAGTCACATATACTGCACCGTTTTTAGGACTGTGGGTGGGATTGTCTTTGCGGAACTCTGCCAAGTTACTTGACCAAACATTGACCTAGGTATCCTTACTTGATTTTTAATGATTTATGTTACGTATTGGAAAGGAAATATGATCAAGTCTATTAACAGAAAGATTAGTAGATAACTGTAATGGTCGCATGCGAAATTGCGACGTAGAAGGGCATCTCTATTTTCATTCCCGGAGTGCCAAGTTGAGATAGGACCAACGGAGACGCAGTCTACAGCGGACTGGTCGAGTAGAGTCATCCCACATTCACATATCGTGACTAATCACTAGCATAAGTGGTTGCATCCCCGGCAGCAGTGCAACGGCGACATGGTGAAATCTGTCGCTATAGATAGCATAGCATAGCATAGCATAGCATGACGTAGCACCGGTATCTCTAAGATCCGGTTAGGGAGCACACGATTCGAATACCATTCAATTGTATAAGGGCCATATATTGTTCTGACTCGGTTACTGACTTCTAGAAGACGAAGCTTGGTTCCTGGCCTGAAAGCGGACCTAAAAGCAACCAGACGCGGCCCTCGAAACGAGATGAGAGAGTTGGCGCCTGATAATCGCGAAGGCATTATCAAGTAGGCGCCTCCGCGGGGTGGCCGTAAATAGATGGTACTGAGTTAGATTTGATGGGAGGTGGCTAAGGGGGAATCTCCTACGATTAGAAACAGTCGAGTTCGTTGTACAGGATTTCTACTTTCTGCTATCCGAAATATAAAATTGTAGGAACTTTGGAGGCCTATCACGAACTTCAAAGCGTGGGGGGGTCGTGATAGGTATAACTATGCGGTTGGCTGCAGATCTTTAGCGTTGATGACGTGCTGCTCTTATAGATTATAGTATCAAGAAACTCCGGGACGATACGTCGTGTTGTCTTTTTGGATACTATCACAACTATCACAATGATCAAATAGGCGAACGAATGTAAATTGCTGTTAAACTAGAAACCCCCTCCGTGACGAGAATTCGTTAGCAAATTATACGCCAACTAGGTACCTACCACGAACAAGCTTGGGCGACAAATGTGACAGCATGCAGCCTATAATCCCTGTCACCGCGTCCTGATTGGCTAAAAGACAAGGGGTCAAGTACCAAAGCGCCCTTGGTTAAGCGCTTCCCAAATTCCAATCACCAATAGTAATTCGAGTTGGTCTAAATAAGAGACATATTATTGCTTGACTCCTGTGCAAGAGTTAATTGCATCCAATGGGGATTATACGAAAGTGCCGAGACCCCTGAGGTTTCGACTGTCAGCGGCGCATTAAGTCTACACAAGAGCAAGCTAAGATATACTACCTCTACCTGTAGGTTCCCTATCAACAACTCTTCATGCATATTCCGTCACATCATTGGCATGTCTCTGAAGAATTGTCTCTCCACGCGCCTCAACTACCTACCTGGTATCTATCCCCACCAGGAGGAGATGCTCGTTCATAAGTACCAAGAGCCCCGATGTGGCGTGACACAAATCCTGGTTCTCTTCCTGCTTTCAAATATTGTCTGTCCCATATGGCTGGATAAGCTTTGCTTAAAATTCTGCAGCGGCCGCCTTAAGTCGTCCCACGTCGTCCCACAAAGAACCAAAGTGCCGCTTCTCACTTACACTCTTTTCTTCTTTTCTTCTTTTCTTTTTAGTTCTCCTTGCTAGTGCGAGCTCACTATGGCGACCTCTACTTCAGACCCATTCCCGCTGGCTACGGATGAAACTTATAGCGAAGGCGACAGTGGACCGGGCTCGATTAGTTCCGGCGGCAGCATCGATGATGCCGCGGGGGCATCAGGAAGTAGCCCCGGCGCCATTCAGATTTCCCACGGTGCGATAGTCGCAATAATAGTTGTCGTTGCCGTCGTTTGCGTCCTTGGCAGTAAGCTTTCTGCACCTTTCCCGAGTTCAATGAGCTAACATAATGCAGTATCTATGGCCGTACTGTTTTACCTGGCCAAGAAGAGGGAATGGAAGGTTAGAGAGAGCATTCGGCGTTCGGCAAGGAAGGTAGTTACCGCTCTCACTCCCCGGCGATCGGAATTCCCAAGGTCGGTTAAGGAGTCTTCGGGTAACTCATCACGAGGTCGTGTTCGTTTGGATGATGTACCACCAACACCTAGGTTAAGACCTGAGGATATCGAGAAGGGCCTTGCCCGGTCCACCACCCGCGAGAGCTCGGAGAAGAAAAATAAGAAGTGGTCGAGGAAGTAAATAATCACGCAGTGCGGACTATTATGAAGTGACCACGATTGTTTGGAAGAATACATAGGCGTCAGGTTAGCTATGGTATTTGAGTGGCCTTATTTATAATTGGAGAAATGGAGTCCAGGAAAGCGAGCCAACTGCGGTTTAAACTTGTATAAATATCGCTAGTATATCGTTGGGTATCAAAGTCGCCTAAAGACGTTGGTACTGGCACTTCGTCGTGCCTCATTTCGTCTATCTTTTACTTGAGCTCTTGGAGCTTCATCACTCTTCTTCTTCTTCCCAGAATCCGGGACGAATGTGACTTGTCTCTCCCCAACTACGTCTCCGTTTCGGATCTTATTGACCCTGCCTGACTTCTGCGCTCTTGAACCTAGAGAAACGTCCTTTGACGAGTTCTCCCGATTGGATGAGCTGACACGCATAACCATTTCCTTCTGGGTGGTTTTCCGGATGGACATCTCGTCATCGCTTTCGTCGCTATTGCTTGAATCTTCGTTCTCATCTGAAGATTGCGCACCGGAGGGCCTAATCTCTGCACCTGTTTCCGGGTCAACTTTGGTACTGGGGTTTAGGACCTGGAACTCGCGGCTGTTCTCGTCGATCTTGAACTCTTCATCCTCAAATAGACGAGTGAAACGTTCATCTCCGAGAACACCAGCATTCGTATCGATATTCGCTCTCTTCTCTTGTCGCTTGAGTAACTTATCAACAAACTTCTGGTTGACCTTAACCTTCTTGTTTCCGCGGATTCGGCTGGCGCGCTCCTTTTCAATCTTCTCCTTGATGCGTTTGGCGCGCTCTTCCTCCACAGCATAGGGATTGGCGATTAACCGAGCTTGTTCGTAAAGTTTCGAAGCAACGAAGTAACCGTGCATATAAGGACGCAGCAAGTTCGTCTTGCCTATCAAGTGATCAAGGCTCAGAGATTTCAATTCGGGTAATGTGAGGAACTTGAAGTTGTCGTATTGCTCGGTGCTGACTTCCTCGGCCATCTCTTCAACCATGTTATCGAGGAATGAACACCACCGGGGCGCAGACCCCAGTTGTGGGATGAAGAAACTATGAAGAGGTTTACCCTCGTTGGCCGTGAGGATCATTCCTGTATTTTTGCACCATGTGACGAAGTTGATATCGACTAATGGTTCAACAGAGGTCCAGGTCTCACCATCAAGCTCATCCCAGATCTTGATCATCTGCTTATCAGCTGAGAGGACCTTTTTCTCCTGGGAAGAAGTGGTCATGTGAATAAGATTTTTGATCGGGAACCCTGGTCCATGGTCTTTTTGCAAGAGCGGCTTTGGACTTCGAAGATCAAAAAGTTTGATAAGTCCATTCGATGTTCCAGTCGCTAACGAAAGACCCGAAGGGTTAAAGTCGAGGGCTGTTATTTCACCCTCCTGGCCGCCAAGGATAGCAACTCGTGACTTGGATCGCGAGTCCCAAAATTCAACGGAGCCAATGGATGTGCCAAAGGCTAATAAATTGTGGCTATTTTCCGCAATCGCTGCTGTATTGACACTCCCAACCCCAATACTTCCTTGTAAGCCGGTTTCTACGCCCTCGTCGGATCCGACATCTATTTGATACGATTTCATAAATCTCCCAATTTCGAGGTTCATTCGAAAGACTTCGCCATTGCCGTCAGAACCTAATCCGACTGAGGGAACTAGCGCTTCGGTAGCGTGTCGATCGTAAACGAGGTCTCTTCCGTATCTAGGCAGGCGTAACTCATAGTGACAACCAGCGGGAGTCTATTATATGTGTTAATATGTACGTTCTGGTGGTAATCAAGGAATAAAATTTCCGCTGGGAGACTGGGATGCTTACGTGAAACTCAAGTTTTCGGTCGCTTTGTAAATGTAGGGATTTCGTGTAATCAGCTGAGAGGAGAAGGAAGGTCGTATTAAGAGATTTCGTATGTCTCGAATATGATAAGGAGAGGTGAGGTAAGTAGTGAACATGGAATTGCGGCTTATCTGTTAAGAGGTTAATATGGATATCATCTATATTCTACTAGACTTCACATCTCGTAGGATATTATTGCGACGTACATGTTCCCGTTGACATAATCCAGTCATTGTCTTCCGAAACTCTGACGCATTGGCTAGCTTCCTCAAATTCGAAATCTTGAAGCAACTCTATTCGACTTTGGTACTCGGGGTCTGATTTCAAACTACGCTTCCGACGACGTGCGAGCCTGCGCAAACGTAGTTAGCATGAGTATGCTATTATCTCGTTGAGACAAATGCTGATATTCTTACCAGTCTGGTAAGGGCCGCGCTGTATTGGCGCCAGATATTGTGTAGACTGATACATCTCCTTGGGTGGTGGCCTTCATGGCGACAAAAGTACTGCCTACCAAGGCTATTCTGTCGTGATAAAAGGCCAAAGAATGGAACGCGACAAGGCGATAGAACGAACAAGACAAAAAAAAAAAAAAAAAAAAAAAGACAGGCCCCAAGTGCGAAGCTCCTAGGGAAGAAAGTCAGAGGGGCGATAAGAAGAATTTTAGTGGAGATAGTGGTTCAATAGCGGCTCGATAACGATAACGTAGCTCTAGTTCTTGAATGCATGAACACAAAACATATCCACTCTGAAATGCGCCTTGTAGATAATTGGTCCTAGCCACAATACAGGTAGCTTTCCCGCGTGCCAGCCCCAGCGGCCAGAAAATACATGTACAAATCGTACCTAATCTAATACATCTAGAACAGGTACGTGGGTCAAAAGATCCCTCAGCCATCCCTTCTCATACGACACACCATCTAGTTATGATCAACATATAACATAACATATAACCGTCCCATCGTCGCGACCAACTTTATGACATCCCAAAGTCATAAATTCAACTATCAAGTACAATCCTTCGACTAATACTATAATTTCTTCAAACTCCAATGGTTCGATAGCTTTTTCCTTGTCCGCTATATAGTGGTGTTCGCTGTACTCTTTCAGCTTCGCATTGCCCTTTTTCACTAGGCGTAGCGGAGATGGAGTTCGGCATGTGTTCGAGACCTCAGAGATTAAAACCAAACCATCCGATTCGATCTAATTCTTGTATCCTATTCTTATGTTAGATCGGGCTTGGTTCTAGGAATTCTACTGTCCAGTGTTGTCTAGTGTGCGGAAACGAAATAACTACATCGGAATGATTGATACGACTTACGATATGGACACTGGAGAATATGAGACTAATGCATTAGTAATTGTGAGTAAAAGGCAGACTCGCATGATGGTCTATGATGGTGTCACCACATCTGCTAACTAAAAAGCAGAATAATATATCGTCCGTTAACTACGCTTTCTACGATTCCGTTTCCCCAACCTTGCCTTCCCTCGGTTCACATGCCCTCGAGCTCGAGATCGCGCTCCGAAAAGATGGGTTCCTGGCATATTTCGATGCGGTTCGACGGGGTATATGGTGCTTTTGCTTGATACAGAAGAATAAATCACAGGGAGGCCAGTCGACGATACCTACATTCCCTAAATCTGTTGGGAATGCTGGCTTCAGCTTTTCCTTAGTTGAGGAGGGTACTTTCGAATCGGCTGCCCTTGTTAAGAGTCGCTTACATGCTCCAAATGCCGCCAACACTCCAGCGAGCTCGTTGTCTTCGACTACTTCGGCTGCTGTGGATTCGGTCTATAGAAATATGCAGCCTGTCACTTTTTCGTCGGCTCAGTCGTTTTCCACTTCAACTGAACAAGACTCTAGGACAGCCCCATCCGTCGACTCAAAAACTGCTCCCTCGACGTCAATAAAGGATGTCTACGAGTACTTTATTTGTGCCGTTCTATCTGCGGTGTCATCTAGCTTCTGTGCTAACACAGGCGCCATCCCACTGAGTTCCCGGACTCTACTTCTTTCGAAGTCTTCTCGCGACGACTATGCCACTACCCCTGCAATTCTCGCTTCTTTACGCGTATATCTCACCACAACGGGAAGTCTTATCATATCATTTGCACTTTCCCTGGCACAGGGCATCCTAAATCTGTCTGAAAACCTTGGGCATCCTCTTCCATCTCTTGGCGTCACTGTCTTGGCCGCACCATTAGGATTGTTTGCTACTTGCTATCCTGTCACTATGTCTGATACTATAGCAACTGAAGGTAGCTTTGGCCAATCCCCAGATACCCAAATCACGAAGCTTAGGTCAGAAAGGGATGATGGATCTTGGCGAAATACCTGTTCTAAATTTCTGCAGGCTCGTAATATACCCTCTTCTTTCAGCGAATCCCAAAACTGGATTGTTCTTCAACGAATACGAAGGAAGCCAATGGAGCAGAATACAGATGGGAAGCGAACTCCGCTAATAGGTACTACAAATATATCGTGGCCTGCTAGTCTGTGCTTCTGTAAACTGTTTTCTCGACTAGGAATTGGAGGGGAAGGAGACGATCTCTTAAGCTCTGAGTCCGATCAAAATTATAATACTCTGAAAACCGCCCAGAAATGGTTTCTAGATGCGGGAGAGCGCGACGAAACCCTCGCCAAGAACAAAAAGGAAAGAGAGGCTACGATGGCCCGCGAAGTTTCATTAGGGGATGGCCAAGGCCAGCATACGAACGCTCTATCTCCTTTGGCCCTGCAGCGAACTCACACCACCGGTGTACCCCCCGGTTTATATCCGACACCCCCAGAGGGTGGCGTTCAAACTGTTGTGGGCGCAACACCGTCTATGGATGGTACGGCGTCTAGTCCTGGAAATAACGCGGGTGGCTCTGCATTAGATACTGATGGGGCTCGCAATATCTCAACATACGGGGATCACTGGGAGAGTACGGACACGAAACGCGAACGCATGGGTGGTTCATTTGAATCTGAAAATCTCTTTGGGGAATTAGGTCCAGATATGTTCGGAGACACCGATATCACCGAGGCTGATTTTAATTTCTTCGACGAACAGCCTGGCGACATAGGCCTAAGCTCCCTGGATCTACCTAGTCTCTCAAACTCAGATCCGAGTTTGAATCTTGCGGTTGGTCTCCCAACGACACAAGGATCTCAGACAAAAGCAGGGCCTCCAGATATTCGTTTAACAGACATCTCTTCGCCTACATTCACGAAGCCCGAACTGAGACATGCGCGGAGCTCGCTAGGAGATGAAGCACGACGCCAAACTGGATCAGATAGTCATAAGTTCCAGTCGGCGGGCATTAAACGGCCATCTAGCCCATTTAATCCGGATACGGTGTTCAAGAGAATTAAAGCATCTCTTGATAACCACAATGCAGTCCGGGAGAATTCTCGTATACAAGCTTCTCGTACCAGCATATTTGACAAAGTGAATTTTGGACCCTGCTTATCGGCAGTCAACAGCAAATACGAAGGAAGTGGGCGGTTTGACTACTCTCTCGATCGATCGCCAGATGTTAAATTTTCTGGCCTAAATGAACCACCAACAACTAATTATCTGCGCCGTCATATGAAGGCTCGGAAAGGGTTAAAAGAACTACCCGGGAAGATTGGACATCTTTTGATCCACCCTCCTGGCGCTCAAGTCTCTACGTCGAATCGACCGAGCCCTTCAAACGTTGAAGAAACCCACTCTGATGCTGATGAAATGAGTCTCGTATCGGATCAGGACGATTCAAGTTACAATAGTGACGAACCGTTATCCCCAGTGAAATCTTCGAGTGCGAGGAGGCGGCTAGTTGACGATGATGGGGAATCCCTTGCCACTTCATTTAAGGAGATTGAGTCTATAGACTTGAACCTCCCTCATATACCGCTTGAATTGCCCCAGACATGCAAGCCTGAAGCAGATTTCCTGCTCACAAAGTACTTCGCCGAACCGGAGCCGCCACTTTTCTCGTTATCCTTACCCGACGACCAGCTGATAATGGCAGCACAGATTCTTACAGAACAATTTTCTACTTCTACCTTTTTAACTAACACGACACCTCAGCTGTTAGAATCAAGAGTTGACCAGCGTCGTCGGCTTACCAATCTCACTCGCAGATCGATTCATGATGTTAAGTCTAGCCTTCCTCCGTGCCTTGCAACTGCTACCGAGTATCAGTTTCGTCCCTTTATTGAACTTCAAGATGTACCCCTTCTCGGGCAACCTACGAGAATGCAGCCAAGGCCACCCGGAGCCGACCAGATGAGACCGAGCAACTTGTTCCAGATACCATCGCCGCATTTCGAATTACGGCGGTATGAGTCCAAGTTATCCGTTTTACCATCTGCTGTCACTTTCTGGGAGAGTCTTGGTTTGAGCCCATCGCCTGGAAATAAAGACATCAATGCCCTATGTATCTTCCCCAACGAAGACCTGGAAGATGACATGCTCGTGTTCACAGATAGAATGCGCAGCATATATGAATCATTAAAACTAGGTTCATTCAACCGCCTCCAAGCCACATCCGGTGTAGAGAACGGCATGTTTCCTTTCGCTGTCGAGAAAGACCCAATTCCGTTCGGCAAACCATCTTTTCTAAGGCCCTCAATGGCAAACTGTATTCATAAAGTATGCCAAGCACTAGTATCAACGGCTGTTGAAGATGTGAATTTCGTTATATACTTTGTTTATTCACCGGACGCTGCTGGATCGGCAGTAGAATGTTGTGCTGTCTTCAACCAGATCTCCGAAGGATATCGAAGATTACTCTTGAGCAAAAAGCTATCAATCGTTAATGATCTCACTCTGCAACTAATTCCACAAGAGTTTATAGCATCTTCCTGCTCAGTCGCTATGCCGTTTCCTTCTGAGTTTTGTAAACTGGCCGTGGAAACATATGATAGGTGCACCCAATTCGGTGGAACAGGACCATCTCCAGCAATTATGCTTGAGCAACCTCCACCGAGGATAATCGATTTCAAATTGACGACCAATCCGTCCGCATCGCTATTACACGAGAACACGTGCCTCCACATTGCTTATGCGCAAAGCATAGATGGAAGATGGGTTACCGCGGCTTGGACGGATAATAGGGGTAATCAACAAATGACGGCATCTTACTGTTTGGGAAGAAAAGGGAAACGTCTATCGAGGCCAATGTCAGATGTTGCGACAGAGATCTGGGGCGCAACTCATGATTTCATCTCTACTTGGAAAGTGCACTGGCGTATTATTATCGCAAAATCCGGCACAATGGAGCAGTCTGAGATAGAACTCTGGTCTTCTCTCGCTCAAGCAGAGTCGAAAGCATCGGTCAGCTTGACGTTAATCGTAGTAGATACTAACCCGTCAATGCAACTCCTCCCTCCGGCAGTTAAGATATCGAGTAATGCCCTATCTGTTTTCTACACCACACCGGTTTCAACACCACAAGCTTCCATTGTCTCACCGGAGCAGAGTGGCAACCCACTCACACCCATGCGCGATAATGCAACGACGAGCACACCCACATCTGGAGGGGACATTAATCCTGAGGCCGATGGCGACGCCACGTTAACCGAGATTACCGACCAAACGTGGGGTGCTGTCCTATCACACAGATTGAACAACTCGGCTTCTTTAACAGAGCTGAATCCAGCATTAATCAGTGGATATCTAGTAAAACGCGGCGGGACACGAATTGAAGACCCTCCGGTTCTCCTTGAGGTTAACCTAGTCCATAACGAGGGGAACCCCAGAGCATACGAATCTCTACTACGAGAAATCCTTACTTATTACCGAGGACTTGGAACATTGGCTAGAGCTCGCGGAATGATAGACAAGGAAGCTGATATCCGGCCATGGCATATTGCCGCGGCTGAGAAGGCGATCAAAGCACTATACATGCTTGTGTGACGTATGACAGTCATCGTGAAGAAGTGGGTGTTATATGTAGGGGATGACATTGCGTCAGGTTGAGCCAGTCTACTATTACTACTAGCAATAGATACAATAGCAACTCCATTAGTTCACGAAATAAGTTCGGGGATTAGATTGATATTTCTGCGCGTCTCGGGATTGTAGCCAGTCACAGTAACCGGGAACAAGAAAAAAAAAGCAAAATAAAGAGCCATCACTGAGTGCGCGCCGCTGGGAGGGCACCAAAAGCACACCTAACTATCCCCAGAAGCCAATCAGTACTCGTCTTGTTCTCGGTCGTCATAAGACCAAGCTCTAGTACAATGTGACAAATCGAGACACGTTTGCGGGGTGTAAGGAAAACAAGATCGAATGCGGAGATGGGGCAAGGAAACGCTCGTGAGTTTAAGGGATCTTGATTCGAAGCCCAACGTTACACCAAACGCCACAGGAGTATTTTCTAGGGTGCTCCAACAATGATAGATATCACAAGTACCTAGTACAGTAGAGGCTATACCACCATACACTACCTTCAAAATCAAGTAAAGCTTCTACTAGATTAGGCTGGAGGACGTACCGCGCTGTCTAAATCGCCACTGTCTTCACCATCTATAGCCGTGGATAATGTTATGAGGGGAAACCTAAGATATAAGTTGCTGCTCATCTACAGCCTCCTCCGTGTTCTGTGTCTTTCTTTCTCACCTTTTTTATGCCATTATATTTGGCTGCATCCAACTTTACTGACTCGCTCTCAAGGAAACTTTCATTGGTATTTTACCCCTATTACGTGACTGGGAGATTATTTTCTCAACGCATTCCATTAATACCACGTGTGCGAGGTTCCTAATCACATGAAAGAACGTATACAGCATCATAATGGGATCCCTTCCAGAAAAGAGCAATACTCCCCAGACCTTCGACTTCATCGTCGTGGGTGCAGGGATATCTGGTATCAACACTGCCTACAGACTGCAGACAGAACTTCCGCGGGCTAAATTTGCCGTCTTCGAAAACCGAGACAATGTTGGCGGTACTTGGGACCTCTTCAGATATCCAGGTGTTCGGTCCGACACAGACCTCTACATGTATGGCTTTACGTGGCATCCATGGCCCTATTCCAAAGCCATCGGGCAGGGTAGCCAGATAAGGCAGTATATGGAAACATGCGTGACTGAGCATAACCTCGGTCGCCATATACGGTTCAGGCACAAAGTCCTGTCCATAAGCTGGTCTTCAAAATCAGCGCAGTGGACTGTGGCAGTGAGCCATGATGGAATCCTCGAGGAGTACAAAGCCCGTTTCGTAATTTTGGGGACAGGATACTATGACTACGATACACCACGGCAGGCTCATATACCTGGTATTGAAAACTTCCAAGGCGAGGTTATCCATCCTCAGTTCTGGCCCGAAAATTTCGACTATGCCGGCCGGGACATAGCCGTCATTGGTAGCGGAGCAACAGCTGTTACCCTCGTGCCTACCCTAGCAAAAAAGGCTGGTACAGTCACTATGATACAGAGAAGTCCTTCTTACATATTGACCGTACCCGATGATGATACCCGTCCGGCATGGATGCACCCACTCCTACGAATATGGAGCGTGCTCTTCTCTTGGTTCGTTATACTGGTCTGCAGATATTACCCTACGTCCGCACAGAACTATCTTCTCAATAAGACAGTTCCACAGCTGCCTAAATCTATCGGCATGGATCCTCACTTCCTGCCTCGATATTCTCCCTGGGAACAGCGGCTCTGCTGGGCACCAGCAGGAGACTTTTATCAGGCTCTCCATAACCCGAGAACAAGTATGGTAACCGGCAAAATCAAACGTGTCACAGAGAAGACCATCGAAATGGATAACGGCCAAGTAGTTGAAAGCAATGTCATAATTTTGGCGACCGGGCTGAAAACATTACTCGGTGGGAAAATTGATATAAGGATAGACGGTCAGAAGGTGGATTGGGCGGGCAGGCTTATATGGAACTTCTCAATGATCCAGGACATCCCAAATATGATGATCGTGATGGCATACGTTAACATCCCATGGACCATTAACGCAGATATCTCTACAAACCGGTTTTTCCGAGTCTTGAAGAACATGCAGAAGCGCGGTGCCAGAGCTGTCGTCCCACGCGTCCCGAAGGGCTCAATCATGAAGACCGAGCCGTTCTCCCCTCTGACTTCAACATACTACACTGAAGTAGAGGATCGAATGCCCAAGTATGGGACAGTTGGGCCATGGAAAAGAAAGCAGAATGTTCCTTTCGACTACATAAATGCTCGTTGGGGAGACGCCACGACCGGCTTGGAGTTCTTCCCTTGATTGACACTGCCAAATCGTCAGATAACTATACTAACAGTAGTGGGTTAGGATAAGGATATGATGAGAATGTGTATGTCTATTACGGGTGTGTAGAATCACCCAGGATAATTACTACCAAGGTACCTAGGTAGGTACCCTTGTTGCACACGCAGAGCATCGGTGGCGCGAAATACAGTCTGAATAGCATCGACAGATCAAGTACATCGCATAGCAAAGGAAAAGCTAAGGATTAGGATATTATATGCGTGGAATGAAAAGATGTATGCTTAACTGGAAGTATGATTACAAGTGCAAGGGTTTGGGTTATAAGTATTTTATGGTATAAGGTGTACTTAGCATTACGCTCCTTTTAGCTCTAAGCTCAGTAGTTTTGCAATAAAGGTCCCATCAGCTTCAACATGTCCCCCATCTTAGGCACTTGCATGAAAAGGCTCTATCAGCTAATGGCTTATGAATAAAGAAGTCTAAGAGCGTTCCCTGACGATATTCAGAGACCTAGATGCACCTATGAACGTGTTTATAGTGGCACCCCCTGACAGAGTTTGGGCAATACTTTCAGGACAGTTTGTCAAATACAAGACGACTGAATTCATTTAAGGGAGACACTGTTATTGGAAATGTAGGATGGGATAAAGACAGCTTAAAGGCACTTAGATAGTCACGTATCAAGTATCAAAGTGTACTTGTAAGAACTCTAGTGTAACCGGTTTAGCAAACGGTCAACTCCAGAAGCAACCTATCGTTTTGTCTTTTCGTCGTTAGTATCTGCCCTATCTAATGTTTTTTTTTTCTTCCACAGCAAGGCCCTTTTCACAGTACCTTCACAACTCTACCTAGTTTGGTCCACACTCTCCCATATAATCATCCCAGCCTCCACTAGAAGATTCAGCAGTTTTCCGCTGCAACAGAAACTTCATTTGGTATGCTGGTATTTATCTAAAGATATTTCGAGCCTATATAGCTACAGGCTTCCATATCTTGTACTAGGGTTCCTAGTAAACTGACGAAGAGGTATGTACCGAAGCATCCATACATTGTCTACCAAATCGCAACTAATGAATTTACTGGGAATGCAAACAGACTGCGAAATCAAAGGGTTCAATTCATCAACCCTGTATAAGGTACTAAGATCAGAATACATTGGCATTCGACTATCTAGACAACCCCATCAATTGGCTTCCTTCGTCTCAATAACCAGTACAAGTTTTATTGTTCTTTTTACTAGGACGTTGGAGACATGGCCGACTCCACGGTTCCCCGAGGCGCTCGAGCCTATTTCGAATCATGGAAAGAATGTATGGCTATATTCTTCAACCATTACACTGTAGAACATGCTAACGCTAGGCAGTCATTCGTGACCAAGAGGACCTGAATTCCAAGGACGTCATCATAGGCGTCGTGCAAAGCTGGATCTACGCTTTGTATGACACCCGCTACTTTGTGCCGCAATGGGACGAGCAGCTCCTCGGCCCGGCATGGCGACAGAGACGTCAGAAGTGGGATTTCGAGAACCCCCCCAAGCCTTGGCCGCTGACCGACCCGAAGATGAAAGATGCCTTCAAGCACTGTGATAAGTGCCAACTGACCTGGCTGGTCGGATACAGCAAGCTCGAGCACCACGATCACCCGCAGCATCTTGCTTGGAAGATTCCCGAGGACGACACTAATGCCAACCGAGCGGGCCTCATTACTGGATGTTCTCTCGTCATTCACATTCATGGAGATGCTCTTCCGAAAGGCCAGGCATCGAAAAGCCCTACAGGAAGTACGGCTAGTCTGGGCGTTTTCTTCGGACCAGATTCTAAGTTCAATATTGCCGGACCTTGCAGCGAGGCGCAATATGACGCAGAAATTGCCGAGCTCGCTGCTGTCATGTCAGCCCTTGTGATTGTGCAGGTCATGGTTGTCGACGAGCACAAAGAACTCCTGAGCGAGACTGTAAAGGGCAAGTCCGAAGAGACTACCACGATTGAAGAACACCTAGCATCGCTTGACTTCGAGCTCATGCAACGCTCCTCCGCCCAAACATCGGGAAGCGCACCCCCGCCACCTCAAAATGCCGGTGGTAGCAACAGCAGCAGCGGTAGCAGCAGCGCTGCACTGCCTTACAAGACCGACAAGCTGCCGTTCCGCATCATCCTGGTCTCGGACAACGCGCAGGTCGTGGACAACATCTGCAAGTACCGCAAGCAGTGGCGCGAGGAAGGCGGAAAGCTATTGACCAAGCACAGGAAGCCGGTGAAGAACGGCAGATACTACCAGGACATCGAGAGAGTGCTCACCGCAATCGAGGCGCGATGCGCGTTCGTGGTGAAGTTCTACTGCGTTTCGAAGGAGCGCAACAAGGGCGCGGCGGAGTTGGCAAAGGACGCCCTTCAGGGAAAGTTCTGCGGAAACGTCCGCAAGGCGGTGGAGTTGTCTAAGCTCAAGGCGAAAGCTGAAGAGCAGTCCTCGGCCTCGGCCCAGGAAGAGGTATTGTAAGAGGAATGGACATAATACCTACCTAAGTACCCAGATTGCAGTCAGAGTTGGACGTTCTATTCGGGTCGAGCTGTATCGTAATTGCAAACGTATCACTTATGCCAATTTGAAGATCGTCTACTGAAGTCTCGTTTTTACGATTGCTTAGAATAAAGCTGAAAAATAGGTGCTAATAATTATGCCAATTAGGGATTGAGAGCAAACGGTAACGTAGATGGAAGTGTAGCCCTACTGTCCCCCTCCCACTCCCCTTTTCCTCACTCATTCCTTGAACATTATGGTTTCTAAATTTGACAAGACAATTGGCACAGCAGCCCAATGTCTTGAATATACTATCAACCACTGCTTCAACCTCGAACATATCCACAAGACTTTTAGAACATTTCCCATTTGCTATGCCTGTATCCAACAAGCACGACGACCTCGGCTATTCTTATGCTGGTCGCTCTAAAGGAAGCCACGAAGCAAGAAGTCGGAAAGGCCCGACCTATCTAGGAGTTCGCCGAATGTGACTGCTACACTGAGTAGGTACTGCTACTGCTACACTATGTAGGCATACGCTTCCTAGGGTAGCAACCATCAAGAACGTTACGTCGGATCTAGATTGGCATATGGCGGTCAAGGCCTAGACGTATTGGCTTGATACTTCCAGTACCGAATGCGCTGTAGGATAGCTCTGCTCCCTACTTGCTGGGAACTGGGAAGAATGTAAATGCAGAGGCAGGAGGTTGCTAGGCCCACTGCATCTAATACACATCTTATAGGTCGATTAAATATTATGATTACTAACGAAATAAGTTAGTGATGCATACGAAAGACTGTTGAGAACCTTGGGATATGGGCATGCAGATAGATGCCTGCTTCTATGAAGAATGGCAGTCTACTGGCTAACAAGGTGGGTGTTAGGTATTCTCCTAGGATCCTTCCTATAAGAGCATTTGCGGTGTCATTATACCAAGACATACCCAGGTCCGTAAACATAGTTTAGATAGTTCATATATCCAATCATCATCTCATATTGGCTATCTGCCTTTCTAGTGCTCCTAGCCGCCCCGCGCATCTGCTATCCAACAACGCAGAGCGCCTTTTCATACCACGTAATTCATTTAGAGTTTATCCAAATCCAGGGGGAACCTTTCCCCCATCCAGATAGCCCTCTGAGAGTGATTCCGGCGTTCAACCCCCTCCCCGTCTTCAACCGTGTTGGGGTGGATCAGCGCCGGCAATGGGCCCCTATAGATGGCGAGCCAGGGAATGAACGCGCCAAACTGGGCCGGAGTGAAGAGGTTAACCTCAAACATGGCCACCGGGTGAGGGCCTATCGGCTTATCCCAAAGACGGTATATCCTTAGCTCGGGAACTGCGCAGGAAAAAAAAGGTGGTTTAGCAAATCTGCTGCTGGACACCTAACTGCAGTTCTCATGCTTCTTGCTTTACGAGGGAAAATGAATGCATTGCTAGGTAGAAAAAAAAAGAAGGGCAATGCCAGGGATCATACATTCTCGTCGGATCCGCTCCCAGAGATCCTTCGCATGCTTTGCCTGGCTCTCGTTGTTCGGCAAGTAGTATATGTGTATGTCGCTGAGGTTGTTGGGTGGGGGGAGTATTCGTTCCCCCCCCCCCCTACCCCCAAAATGTTAGTTGGTTGGGGGGAAGGATGCCATTGTGGAGCTCTTCGTCGTTCGTGGGGAAACTTACAAACCACCTCGACGACCTTTATCCAGCGGGTCGGGGAACTCGACATAGGCCTTGCTGAGCGTGTCTCTTGCTGGGTTCTTGTAGCTCTTGCCGTCCTCATTCTTCTCGTCCGGCAGCGGTGGGGCGTTCTCATACCCCTCGAGAGGAGAAACGTAAGTATAGTTCCCCACCGTGTAAACCATGGCGCCTATTAAGATCAGTAATCTACCTAGGTTAGGTAAAGTACGGTAAGTACCTACCTAAGTTACGTAGGTAAGTTAATGCAATATTCTTGGCGTTCTGATAATAAATAATAATAAATAACACTTAGAATCCGGGTCCTAATTTGAGAGATGCATTTCATAAAATTAACAAGTGCCGTCGTACGATGTCGTTGTTAGTTAAAAGAGCGCAACGCCTTCTTTTTTAATAAATTCGCATTGGCGCTACCTAATGACGTGCTTCTCCCCCGCCCGGCTGCGTAACCCATCAGTTCCGGGAACGCCGGATACCCCTCCGGTGTGTCCCGTTCCCACTTCTCCCCACCTGGTGCTAGGTATGTGCTCCAAAACTCGGCAACCGCAACCGTCCCGAACCGCAAATGTCCGAGACATCGGCCATGAATTTTGTGGTGTGGCTCCCCCGTGTTATTTGAACCCAGAACTCGGGCTCAATGGAAACGCGGAAGCATGCATTTTACTTTCCTTTGCCTTAGTCATTCCAAGGTTATCTAGTTATACCTTCCTTTCAAAGCTAGTTTCTTTATTGGTCTAGATCCCGAACAACTTATCAAATGCATGAACTATCACTTCGTGCAGTTCCTACTCTCATTCCTATACGTCTAGAATACGTTTTAACTATGCTACGGACCATGGGTAGGTGGTCATCGTTACTTAGGTACGTCAGTTTACGGTAAGCTATACTATTAGTCATTTAGCAGCACTTCATTGAGGAAGTCTGCCTAAAGATCTCGTATCAAGATTACCTTAGGTAGGAGGTAGTTACCAGTAAAATTTAGGCAGGCAAGATACTGTAATCTAGATTGTAAGATATTCATCTGCCTAGGGGGAACTAGCTGCAACACTCCGAGTTTCCGCCTGTCGTCAAGTCGGTGTGGATCATAAGATTGTTAATGATATCTAGCCATCACCATAAGCCATACATACCCTATTACCTCTTAGAACTAAGAGGAAATGTTTCAGCTCGTCTATACGACATTCTCAGTGGCGATTTTGTTACGGGAAAGAGCAATTAGAGAGATGAGATGTTAATCGAACGATACTAAGTGAGATGCAACACTCTTGGTTTCACAGGAGGCGCCCAACTATCTACCTTACCCGTAAACATTCTCGCGATTCTGATATACGGAGAGTTTGAGGATTTGGGCTGAGAAACTATTTTCCTGTATTTGATGCCAAGCTCGGCGGTGTGCAATATGTTATGTTCAATGCAGATACAAGGCCAGGTTTTAATGGTCGAAATTTTAAGACGCAGATATATGAATGGCAGCTATAAAGTTGATTTATGAGAATCGTGACTTTAGCTTAATAGGGTGTAGATCGATTATATCCAGGAACTCTACCCACCTGGGAAGCCTTAATATAACTTCACTTATGTCTTATGAATTCATAGCTCATTGTTCTAAATATCATTATTAGAAGTCCATATGTCCTTATGTGTGACTATCCCGTCAGTTGGGACGTAACTTAACTACCAACCCTTCTCTGATATAGTTAAAATTACCGTGAATATATAGTGAACACCAGAGCTCCTCTATATATTAATAGATGGCATAAGTGACTGAACTAGCCGATGACCTGTTATAAAGTATAATAGTAAAGAGTGTGATGTTGGTGCATATTCATGCAGATGTAAAACGTAGTAGTTGACTACAGTTAATATATTGCAGCTCCTATTCTACTCTTATAATATTTCTAGGCTACTTTCATAATTATTTCCCCCATAGCTGAAGCATTAGAGTTGCATATGTGACTTATGAAGCAAAACTTGGCCTGCACAAAATCAAGAAATTCCGAGCATCGAGATTGCCAACCCCTTGTCAAGACGCTACGTATGCGCCTCGTCTGGACTTGCCTTTCGGCAGCCTCATCGTTGAAGATATTACAGAGTGGAATTGATACCCCGGAGTCTTCGAACCCCTTTTGGAAAGAATTTCCGGAGTCAAATAAAACCACCCAAGGATATTCCGAGATACACCACTGGCCACCCTAGTGAATGCTTCTGCTTAGCTAGAGGCGCAAGTATCGCGGATGATTCCCGCTCTCGTAGTCATAGCGTGCGTGGGTTTAATATTTGATTTGGGAATAGCTTGATGACTTGGATTCTCGGCTAGACGTAACGGCCCGTTCGGTTTGTTTCACGGCGAGGCAATCGGAATAAGTGGTGCCAAACAAAAACAAACTACGATAGAGACCCGTGCTCTAGTTGCAAATCAACACGCACAACATCGCTAACTGGGCGGACCCAGACTTTAGGCGCGCGCCATTTAATAGTCCGGAGGCTGCCGAAAATCGTGTCTACGCTAGATAATGACTACATCCCGTACATACGATGTATAGTGTATTCGCCTCGGACCTTAATAGACTATATTATAGTCAGCCATGTGATGAGAAGAAAGGAGTCGTAAATAACCTAAATTATGGGAATAGATGAAATGAAGCTCGTAGAAGGTGGCAAGGAAACGCTGCTGACTACAATGCCGACTATTGCTAAGCCATCTCTCGGGGGTATCTTGAATTCGAGTTTATCGATGGCAGGCATCTCTTTCCCGCCTGTCTAAGAATATCCGGTAGTCCGGGTTTGCGCACATGTTGGTCTAGATCTAGATCTCATCCTTCGGCAATTCCAAACATATTGGATTCCCTTGACAGCTGCAGCGTGTCTGCTTACGTTGCAGCAGAATGATCCCTCCCAGGGATTCCCAGATGAATGTCTCAGGAGAGACCAGGATGAGGGCAATCGTCGATGAACTTGCTGATAGAGGATACTAACCTCTGACGGGAATAGTTACTATTGGATAACTTGCCGACTTAGGACCGCTGACCGGTTTTCCATCGAGAGCTCTAGAACCCATTCGTGAGGTAACTTTTAATATTCGCTCACGAGGTTGTAAATATGACAGTTCACCCACATTATTAGTAAGGAAGCGGCTGGCATCAAGTCGTATAGGTAATAGTAAGTTTCCTGCAACTGCGGGTATGCAGCTGCTGGGAACATCTCTGAATGTGGATAGTCAGGATGGCAAGGACCCTGAGGGGCGGTATCACTTGCATAATAGTAGGTAGAGAATTGTTGTGATCGTACGATCTGAGATCTAGCCGAATATCTGAATGTAGGGAACAGAGCCAATGGATCTGTCCCTGAGCCGTACCTGATATGACGGAAGGAGCCCGACTTGCTGTTAACTTCCCTTTTTGGGGGGGAAATAAGGGAAATAGGGGAGTTGATACTTCTGATACTACCTAGAGGGGGAGATTTGGGGAATCAGAGATATTTTACCTGCTTAATATCACAAAGAGAAATAAAAGACCTTCAACACGGGTGAAGAGGGTCTTGGACAAGTATATGCAGAGGTGTATATAGATCGAAATACGATCTAGGGCCCTCCGTGTCGATAAGAAGGATCGTGATGATTCTTGTAGTTGAGGCCGGAAAAGATCGTCCGTGACGACGACGTTGCATGGTACATAGGTACCATACTATATGTAAGTATGGACGTACACTATATGCTGCAAAGGTGTATGCGGGTGTATATGCAATGTTCCTACATGAAGCAACACGGAAGAAAACGGAGGGAGTTTTTAAGGGTCCATAATAGGCATGTGGTTGTACAGTTAGGTATTAGTGAAGGGTGAACCCCTAAAATAAATTTCTCGGCCCTACATGGATATACCTAATTTGATAAGCCACAATCCGCCACATCCATCCTGCCGTTCTGCCGTTAGGCATCTCTGACTTAGTTCTGTGGCACATGGTTGTCCTAATGTACCTAAAACCGTTAGGTTTCAGTGGAGTTCCAGCGAGGCTACAAAAGTTTAGGACATGTAAAAAAAGTCGTCTGGAGTTTTGTCTGGTTGGGGGAGTTTGCCAACCAATGAAAAATTGGTTACTAGATTTTTCAACCAATCATCTTTAGTCGTTAACATCTAGAACCCTGGTCTCGTTATTTCCAAGTACAGCCAAAGCTAAGGTCATACGATATTTTAAATGTCAGCCTTGTGAATGGCCTGATCTTTGATTTTCTCACCCCACATGACGCATGATTCTAGACCGTACCCCTTGAAGAGATTCCCTTTCTCGATAGAAAGTCAGGCCACCTTTTTGCCCTCCCGGCGTACCGATGACAACAATTTTACTCTCTTTTTTCTTCCCTCTCTCTCTCTCACGTCGAGAGAGATCGAGAAAAACTAAGACGATCAAAGATTGTGACGAGAATTTGCGACGCGGACAAATCTCATAGTTCCCATAACTTTTTTGACCGCTGCGACCATCAGCCCACAATGTCGACAAAATGGTAGAAGACCATTGCCCTAGGCCCTTCTCAGGTCCTTCATTTTCCCGTTTGCCGCTTTTAGCACTTACTCACTTACACACTTACATGGACAACTTACAAACATATCCGCCCCCCGGCATCATTCGCATTTTCTTAGTATTGTAGTACCCCGTAATAAGAGCTGTTAACATAATTGACCAGAGAAACTTTAGGATGTACTAGGAATTATTCGGAGTTCTTCATTGGATTACGGGGTTACGATGGTGATGACGGCGGTTCCAGCATACAGCATCTAGCATCCACCATCCACCGAGCATCCAGTACCGTCTCCATTAGGTACCGTAACCCCGTATAAGAAAAAAGGGTAAAGGGTAGTTCCCAGATTTCCTGTCCTATTCCTATCCTAGATCGGGTATATGGTATATAGTAATTAAGTATACGGCTAGTATATGGCAAGTATATCGGAATCTTCCTTTTGGGGGGCCCGGCTTAGTCTTAGGGATTTTTTTTTTTTATCTGAGCGTCTCCGTTGCTCTGCAGCGTCAGGCCATTTAATTCTGGACTGTAACTTGTACCCTTGCATCTTCGGGCGGTCTCGGCCATTGTACTCTTCGATACGCTTCAACGGTACCCCAACCCAGTAAGGCTTCGTGGGATCTAATTCTTATTCTTTAACGGCCGAATTCTCAAATTCCCATCTCATTCCATCCTGATCCAACAGTGTCCTATACATAGATAAGCTAGACCACCCAACCGAACTAACTACCTAGCTTGTTTGTTTATTCCAACTATATCATATCATCCGTTCTTCAACATCGTTTGATCCATTCACCATTGTGGCATTATTTCTGATATTGGTGATATCATAACCTTTCCACACTTTCACACCTCCTACACTCACACTCACAAGTCGAGACCCCTATACCACTTTCTAGTCTATTGTGTGCTCGTGTGGCTTGCTCGATTCATTTGGTGGCTTCACACTTACACGCAACCTTCCATACGCTTACCCGCTCTAACCTACTACATACATGCCCGGCATTGAGGTTACCTAGCTGCGCAAACCGTACCACGATACACGAGAACGGACGTGGCAATTCGCGCCGTCTTTCTTGAAGCTATTCGCCTCCAATCTTCCCGACTTCATCGTCTATCCCTCGCCAAGCCCGGACTTCGCATGAGAGCGCATACTTGGAATTACAAGGTCTAGCTTTCCGACGACTATCCCGTTTCCCGGGACTCTTTCCCCCCTTATCATATATAAAACCATAACAATCGAGGCATAGTGTCGCCAAAGACCTGCTGGTGGCCCTTGAAATTGTTGTGGGATTCGTCATGGACGCAGGTGTTATGCAGGACATTGACGTTTATCCTGCTGGTAACGACAAGGTATGCATGAAATAGAAAGACATTACCTTGGTTGGACCTCAAAAAAGATAAAAGCCCTAACCTTCCCCCAGACCTTTGAAACATTCTTCGACCAAACTACAGACTACTCTCAGCAACTATCATCCATCAGCTTCTGGGACGAACTAGATAGGTCAGCCGAATCAAGTGTAGTGAACTCGGTCCCGACTTCAGGCTCCCATCAGACTCCCAGCACTTCCGCTGACTCGCCAGCCTCGACTGCCTCTCAGAACCTCTCTACTATCTCGCATAAGCATAAGCTTGCTGGACAGGAGCTACCTAAGAAACGCCAGTGCTCTGATATCCGAAGGTCAAAGTTCACTGAGAACCCATCCACTCTTGACTGTTCCGATTACTGGCTTCGCTTTGATAGCGACAACGAAAGTGACCCTCTCTTTGAGAACCGAGACAGCAGAACCGTAAGTGGCTACAAGTCATCACTTCAAGATAACCTTTATATATACCTTGTATATATATTTTAGAATAATACTAAAGCTTCCCTATATATAGGGCAAATCCCCGATTTTAGCTCAACCTCGTCCTAGGTCAAGGATTGTCGGAAGATCCGGCAACAACTTCAAAGTGGCTTATCCGCCGTCGTCAACTGCTGATCTGGTCGACGATAGCGCTCTTGATCACGCGCTGTCGGACGAAGACGACCTCTTCTCTATGGCTTTGGCTGACCAACTAACTAAGAACGACTCTGCCCCCATCCCATCAGAAGTACCACCCCGCGAGAGACTCTACTCTACCCCGCTAAGCTGGGAGCCTCCTCAGCCAGGATTTCGCATGGACTACGTGAACGTTAACCCCCCTTTCAACGACCCCGAGCGCCAGAGACTACTGGCCATTGCTATGGGAACTGGGCAAGTCCCCCAGCAACAAATGCCTCCAAGGCAAGCCCCCGGAATGGACTTCAGGTTTGAAGTCAACCAAAGCCCGACTACGATGAGCGATAGCAAGAGCAACACACCCGAGCCCCGCGTTAAGCCAGCCGCAGCACGACCCCAAGCGCCTACGCGGAATAACTCGATTGATGCTACCGAGAAGGCTAAGGAGAAGCCCAGAAATAGTGACCGGGCGGCACATAATGATATCGAACGAAAGTATCGTACCAATCTGAAGGACAAGATCGCTGAACTACGAGACGCTATTCCGTCGTTGCGCGCGATACCTGAAGATGGAGACGACAATGAGAACGGTGGCGTATCGAGAACAGCACCCAAAGTTAGCAAGGTATGTTGAATTGTATGAGATTGGTCCACGGGGTAGGAAACTAATAAATCATAGGGAACTGTCTTAACAAAGGCCACCGAATATATTCACCAACTCGAGCGAAGGAATCGGTCGATGGCACAAAAGAATGAAGAACTCGCTCGCCGGCTGCATGCCTTTGAACAATTAGTAGGCGCCGCACCCGCACCAAATTGGGCACCTCAAGGATATGGCGCTTCTGTCTTCAACCCTAGGGCCTTTTCTTAAAAATGATGAGAAGCTTTAATTTGACTACGTTTTGCGTTGGGGAACATTTATCATCACCATCATCACTCTCAAATCACACTCACCACTCAACCTTTATATTAATCAATCAAGCACTTATCGCTTCAACGACGAATTCTAACGACGATGAACGAATATCTTTGCTCGAACAACGATACCCGGCATTGGCAACCCACCTCGATAAAATATCTGGGCTTGGTAGTCTCGGAAAGATTCTTGAATCTCATTACGAAAACATCAATCAATCAATCAATCAATCAACAATTGCATACCGACGAACAAAATTCACCAAACCTTCTGAGTCACCTTAAAACATACCTACCCACATCTCTCATAAGTACATAGATACACTCAACCTGTATGAAAATACATTGGAGTCCGGTAAATAGCACGGTCGGGTTGCATGTTGGGGGCGTTCTAGAAAAAAAATCATTTTTTCCCCCTTTCAATTACCAGGGAGAAAACATCTATGGGGATAGATGAACACTGGAGTTTATACTTGGGAATAGTTGAGTGCTACTCAAAGCACAACTGTGGCGTTTTTGGGGGGGGTCAGGAGAATTCGGACTGATAAATTTCACAAGTCTGTTAGGTATTATCCTACGGCTCTAAGGGGAGAAATAGGATAGGGGAACGAATCAATTTTTTTAGGTTTACCCTTCAACTGCCTAACTCTGGATAGGAAGGCTGGCTGGTAAGGAAAGGCTCGTGAGGAAGAGCGGGCGCCAGCGAAACATGCTTTTTTATTTTATGCTGTTTTTATTTTTGGGAATCTATAAATTCTATAGTGATACCTACTTTTAACTTGACCTCTCTCTCCTACGAGGGAAGGCAAAAGCGCATTCGGAATCCTTTCAGTGTATTCCAAGATAATAATAGATGTCCAGCCCTTAGGTAACCTGCCTAAGGGGCTGACGCTTTCTTGCGCGTAATTTCCATTGCTTCCTTACTTGGTCACTTGCTCGCTCGGTTCTTCTCTTTCCTCTCTTGAAAACGGGGGTCTTACTTACCTCGTACATCTAAGATTTGATTGAGTGAGTTTTTTTTTTATTCCCTTCTTCTCGTCAACTAGTAAGCTTTCGCCCGGATATCAGATGTTTATCGTACGATGAGTTTTGCTTGGCACTGAGCCGCGCGAGCGCGCGCGTGGCCTTGCTCCGCCGGGGCTAATACTATGTAGGTAGAAAGCGTTTGGGATCTTACATATGTACTGTGAGGAGGTCAGGTAGGGTAATCGGCACGAATACGATTTATTTCGGAAAGAAAGCGGTTTTATTAGACCTACTACCACGTAAGTACCTAAGCTTAGGTAGGTATCGTTAAGGTATCAAACCCGGCCTCGGTCTCGGTCGAAATCAAAAACGGAGAATTACAATGCTAGTTTAGGTCAGGTATCTATCCATCTTCCCATCTCTGAGTCAACCCGGAATCAAACCGGGTTTCGTGAACTAAGGAGGTGGCGGCCCCCCCCTATTCCCTGCTTGCAGGCTGGTCGTCTTCTTTTCTCTTCTCTTCTATTTTCTAGCGTGTCCGGTAGGCGGGACGCGGAACGGGACGTTGGCATGATACTCGTAGCGAAGCAGGATTCATGGATCTCACTGGCTTTACTGTATGGGGGGATATGTTTCAAATTGGACTCGACCGAGAAGGCATGAGGCATGGAATAGATGTGTATGCTCTGCAATATATGGTATTTCATACCATGCGTTTGCCAAATAGCAGAGTCAAGCTTCTCAGGAATAGTCTTTTCTCGTAGGAGTTCTTTATCTCATTCTCTCATTTGAATATACATCATATATAGGTAGGTAGGTATACAATTCACTGTCGTGAATATCGTCTAGTTTCTTAATGCTTCGATGTCATCAATCTCCTTAACCGCCTCCGCAGTTAGGTTTAAGGGGCTATCGTCGTCCACACATATACTATCTTCGATTCGAATACCCATACCTCGGAAGGCCTTGGGCCACCTGCTGTCGTCGGGCACGTAGATGCCGGGCTCGATCGTGATGCAGTGACCCTTTTGCAGCGTTATGTTTCGCTGGTAGCCGGGAGTATCATGAACATCGAGCCCGATGTAGTGCCCAACATGATGTGGGAAGAGCGTTCCCATGGCGTCTTGGCTTCTTAGGTTGAAGCCGAGCATTTGGAGCTCATCGCGGAGGGCATTATCCGTGATTTGGTGTAATTTGTCGAGAGTGACATTGGCGCTCGCGCGACAGAGCGAGATGGATGATCGCTGGGCGCGAAGAACAGCATTATACAAGTCCTTCTGCGGCTGACTGAACTTCCCCGAAACAGGCCATGTTCTTGTTATATCAGTGATATATGTTCCGTACTCGCCACCAGAGTCCACGAGTACAAACTCCGAGTCATTGAACGTGCCATTATTTAAGACGTAGTGGATGAGTACTGCCTTTGAACCTCCAGCTACAACAGGGATATACGCATGCCCGTCTAGACCAGACATTTGGTATTGGTAACCTAGAAACGCAGCCAATTCGTTTTCATACTTCCACGGCCGCCGCATGGCTTCCGTCAAGACCCTACCGGATACTTGACCTGCGCGCCTCATATTGGCGATTTCTGCCGGGGATTTGATGGCACGGAGAGCGTTAACATGAGGCCTTAGGGGTGATACACTCGCCTTGGGGGCCACTGAACACAATAGGTTGCCTACTTTTGTAGGCGCCCCGTTCTGTGACAGTTCAGCGTCCGTGAATATTCTCTCTGCGCCCTGTAGAACTGAACCTAATGTTCTGTCCACTCGCGTGATATCGTCTGCTTCGTCCGCATTCCACACATCTCTCGCAGCATCAACTCCGCTCCAAGGGCCGCTCCATTGCTCTTCTTTTGGATTTTTCGACCTGCAGTATAAATGGAAGGTGTAGTCACCAAGCTCGTCGCCGGTCTTCCTTAGTACGGCGAGAGATTCGGGTTCGGAGAAGCCTGTAAGGTATAGGAAGTTGGACTCCTGGCGAAAGGCGAAGAAAACGGCACCAGACCGGTATTTGAGGGTTGCGGCGGGGAGAAGAACGGCGGAGTTCGGAGGTAGGGAATGGCAGAGGGCCGCACGACGATCGTGATATTCTTGTGCTGTTATACCCGGTGTGAGTTCGCCAGGCGCAAGGATATGTGGGTGAGTTTCATGGACGGGTTGGCCGAAGAGGAGGTCGGAGGCAGAAACAGCCGTGGAATAGGTACGAGTAGATCTTGGTCTACATCGTAAGGCTGTACATCTGAGTGATGTGTTCGAGACTCGCGACGGAGAGGGTATTCTTGGTATCGTTGATATTGTTGATATGGACCGCAAGGATCTGAGCTGTGGGGAGAAAGGATTCGAGTGTGGTTTAAGATAGCGCTCGAGTTGCCATATCGGTTGTTGACGAAGCTTCATCTTTGAAATACTGCAACCAATCACCTGGCCAATGGCATCGCTAGAATTTGCTTGGGTATTACCTAAATGGGTAATGTAATGTGAGAATAAAAAAAGTAATTAAAGTTCAATTGTGTAGTCCCTTCTCTAAGAACCAAAACAGCTTGGGTCTAGAAAGACATCGCTTTTCTATATGCTCGAAGTTGAAAAATTTACTTGGTATAACTTATCATCCCACCTAATTTTGATGTTGTAATTTGGAGGTTTGCGGCGGCGCATTGAATCGAATGTCAGCAGCAGCAGCAGCGTTGGTAAAGTTTTTTCTGGGGCAATGATAGGGCATTAATTACCTGGAATCTAATTGGTTCATTTGGCTCTATGAACTCGTATGGCTGTAGTGGCTGTAGTGGCTGTATGGTGAAGATGGCGGGGGGGAGCTAGTGGGGCTAGCTGAAAAAAAAAAAAATACACAGATACAATACAAGAGATGGATGAAGTAAATAAATTTACTAAGATGCGGTTGCTATGCAGATTGTATAAACTAGTGGGGGTCAATAAAGCACTACCTATGTGATGTTTAGATAAGTGATGTCAAATGGTCCGTGCACAGTCCTTGTTGTTGATTCGTAAATTGTTAGTACTAGCGCGGAATAACCAGGTCCTGCCAGTCACGCCTCAAAAAGCTTGGGGAATTGAATTCTGCCTTATTATTCCCTACCGAATTGCCCACTACCAAAGCCCAGAGCTTTCTAACTCGGACTCGACTTCAACGCCCTTCCACGTAAGTTTACTGGGTCATTTTCGCGTCTCTCAACGTACCAAGTTTTCTGGAATCTTTAAAATTCACCAATCCGTCTCAATGAACTCTTGACATCAAGATTTTTTGGTCGTGTTGTGCTCTTCAGAATCCAACGTGTTGTGCCACGACCACGGCCTCGTCGCGTGCCAACCATCGGACTTAAAATATACTTCAGGACATATCTTAAGCACAACACTAGAGCACCCGTCCTTCTCCAGTTGAGCCTGATTTGAACGACAGCGAGTCAGCTTTTATTATTTTTGGACTCGATTCAACCGTTTGACCTTTTTAATCCCCAAGACGAGTGCTGCCACACCAAACCATAATAACATAAAAATTTATTGATCACGAGCCTCAATTGGTAGGCGGTCTGACTTCTTTACTTCGATTAAACACTTCTTCAACATTGAGTAGTCGACATTTATATGGCAGCTATATCTTTATCATCGACTTCTGCGCCTCAACCAGTCATGTCTAACAGACGAGTTCCTCTATCTACGAACCAGAATGCGGCCAATTCCCCTCTGCGTAGCAACGCTCTACTCAAACAGAAACGTACCGCAGCTCAGTTACAACGGGAAGAACAATATGGCCAACCCCCTCCGGCCAAGAAGCAAATTATTGAGGGTGGTACCCAGCGTTTGATCTCGTCACAACAGCAACGGGCGTCCAAGAGTCAAATTCCTATACAGATACGTCGCAATGCAAATACCTACGAGAACAAGTTAGCAAAGGAGAGAAGTGGTAGTTCTCACCATCAACGATCTCAGCAGCCCGCACCTGCTTCTCTTGGATATACTGAGAAGGATATTGAAGAAATTCAGATATGGCAGCAACATCATAGGGCTAGGTTCCCTAAGCTCGTTTTCTACTTCGAGAAGGTTCCTATTGAGGCTCACAAAAAACTTGCTAAGCAAATTGGTGCTTTGGGTGCTGTGAGTAGATCAAGTCTTCTGTGTCGATTGTCTCGAGTTGCTAACATGAGTTTCTATAGCGTGAAGCAGCGTTCTTTTCTATTGATATCACCCATGTCGTCACCACCAGGCCTATTCCCTCCGAGAAGAGCGTAAGCCGTCAAGATGAGGAGACGACCGCCGCCGAGAAGCACCAAGACCATATACAAGAGCAGGTGCCCGAGCAAGACCAGGAACAAGAGGAGGTCAAGACTATTAATCCTTCCCTATTAACCCGGCTTACAGAGGCCTCTACGAAGAAGCGAACTCTTGACAGAGATGCCAGGACGCAGAGAATTGCATCTCAGAGCCAGGTCGGTGCACTCAATCAGCCAAAGCGGAGCACTGACGTGTTACTACGTGCGAGGGAGATGGGGAAAAAGATCTGGTCTTTAGACAAGTTACAGCGAATGATGGCTCTACTCCTTGAGACGGATCCGTACATCAGTGTAGAAATTGCGTATGGAGCTCGCAAAGCAAGAGAACCCGAATCTCGGACGACAGAGGATCGCAACCTGTTACATCTTCTCCACAACGAACGAGTCAATGGGCCATCCGACCGAGACCCCACTGTGAATGGTCAGGAGCTGCATTACTTTAAGGGTCCGTATATATACGTTTATGACGTTGATGAGAAGCAAAAGCCGATTATGGTCAGAGAGTACAAAAAGGTTGCCGAAAAGGCAAAGGGTGATTGGCCCCAATTTCGTACGGCCGCGTTGGGACGGTGCCCATTCATTAACGAGCACGAGCCGAGAGATTCCCGACCCGAGCCCAAGCCGAAAGTCCAGGTGACTAGAGCCGCCACTGAGAGTAAGCCTGCTCCTCAATCCTTTAAGATGGAACCGCCGAAGCCCGTAACTGGAAAACGATCCTTGGGCGAGATGGAAAAAGGTCATGGCCGGGGCTCTAGCGTTGCCTCCGTTGACCCGTTCAACTCATCTCGGTTATCCGCTGGTCAGATCACGGATTCACGACTAAACGCGTTTACCGGCCGCGCTCCTACCCGCCTCTTTGGTGGCGAGCCAGTTGCGTCCGGGGTGCAACCTTCGAATGTGACATCAGCAATTCGGTCACAGATGATTTCTTCCACAGCAACAACGCCAGGTCTCATAACTGGCCTAAGCAAAGAAGTCCATGGTCTTCAACGCCAGGTCCTAAAGCGCAACAGTACTGCCACTTCGCAAGATCTGAGCTCCCGCCGAACTACTGAGACCAACCCGCGAGATGAGATGCCGGTCAAGCGAGCGTTCCCCTTGAGCCGCACGTCGAGCCGGAAGCTAGACTTGGTCGATGAAGATGCGACCGACAAAGACACCCAGGAAGGACTCAAATCCAAGGCCGTGCCGCGTGCAGAAAAGCGAGAGTCAGCTCAGCCAAAGAAAAGCGAGCTCAAACCGGGTTACTGTGAGAATTGCGCCGAGAAATACGCTGATTTTGATGAGGTATGAACAACCCCCGCCCCCCTTGCCCCTTTTTTTTGTCTCGTTTTGTTTTTCTTCTCAGGTTGAATAGCCCTGCTACGATCGGTACTAACAATTCGCATAGCACATTCTATCCAAGAAGCATCGTAAATTTGCTGAGGATGACCGCAACTGGGTCGACTTGGATGATCTCCTTGTTCATCTTCAGCGGATGCCTAAGCGCAAGTCTTTCTCATCCTGGGTTCCTTCTCTTCAAGAGTGTGAGGAGACATATTAGCCTACTCGAGGCTCGCTCATTTCTGCTAGCAAAAGCAGATGGACCCCGATACTCCACAGTTCTACAAGCTGTGCTTATTAGCCGATCATTTATAACTAGGAATACACCGTACTTTGATCCTGCTTCTAATTCTGAACCGTCTTTTCAACGGCATTCGCGGTGCGATGATACCCATTTTGACCCTTATTCGGCTAGAACGATGGAGCTTAATACGTCTTTCCATACATCCCATGGAAAGGAACATGGTATGGCATGAAATGGAGTCTTAGCATTTGGTTTGTTTTCGCATCCGGTCGCCAGATATCTCTATTCTATATGCATTGTTGGCGAAACGGCGGCTTTGTTTTCTCTTTTCTCTTTGCAAATTTCTAGGTTTGGCCAAGCGGCTTAAGTACCAGCTTTTAAGGGGTGTATACGAACTCCGGTATGGATAGTACTGGATGGTGACCTGATTGGAGGCTGGAACGACATTAAAAACAAACACGATACTATTCGATATGAACAAAGCGAACGGTGTAGATATGGTCAGTAGCTCGTGTATATATAGGTAGTAGTCTATAAGACGAGGAATGGCGCAAATCTAAAATTTTCAAATCTCAGTCGGCCAGGTCGGTGATTTCGTGATGTGTGTTTCTCTTAGCTAGCTACGGTTCTTACCACGAAACATCCTAGTGCTTCCAGTATGACTTGACTTGTATTTGTTGGAACGCCGTGTTCGTGTACGCTACGTCACGTCATATGCAGATCTCATCCAGAGTACCACCTTACTGGTACCCCCCATCTGTTATCTTGCGGGGGGAGTATCTGGACTTCATCACACTACAGATTTATTATCCACACTTACTATCGTTATTAAGTCTCAATCCCTTAATTTTAGCTCCCTCCACATGTTGCCCGTACGGGAAAGGCTTCAAGGCCCCAAGAGATGCGGCTAAGGTGTGTTTCGGGCCGCGCTAGGTGGAACATATCAAGAGACAAAAAAAAAAGTCTTCGAAAATTTCACACAGCAGATAGATGAAGTTTTCGTCGCAAATCTCTAACAAAAACATCCAATCCGAATTGGTGTAGTGGCTAACATTTGACGCTCTCATCCATACTAGCTTATGATCTGATCCGTCAAGCCCGGGGTTCGATTCCCCGATTCGGAGTCCCTTTTTTGCTGACATCGCGTTGGATGTTGAATTGTTCCATCTATTTACTTACTTACTATATACACACTTCTCGCTCTCCTTTTTTTTTCTACCTTGCTCCCCTTTTCCTTTCCGTGCAATACGATGTTACTTACTTACACCCTTTCTATAAAGCCACCTAGGTATGTAATAGGTACGTACGTACGTACATACATAGTAACGGTTTCGGTCTGCAAAGACGAGTGTTAGGAAGTATTTGTAAAAAGTGTCCGTCGGTCGTGAATGTGGATTTCAACCAGGTTTTGCTTTTTGAACCACTTTGTTATCCTGGTGCAGGTGAAGTGACTACCATACTACATTCGCATGTTGGAACCAAGCTTAGAGTAAGACACCAAGCTCGATGTTCGGCATGTATGCCGAGTAGGTGCATTGATTATCTTCAGCGCGCGGTTCGTTATCTCCAAACGCCGGTTCCAATGTGTTGTTGCATCTGCTACCCCCCCATTCACATATACATACCTCGGAACCGAGTTATATTACCTACTGTCAGACCTCATGCAGATCGGGAGTCTTGCTCTCACGTAATATATATATCCGACCAAGCTAACTACCCAGGTAGGTAAACATACTTGTTCAGGAATCCGATTGTTCACTTCCGCAAGGATGGCACGAGTGGGATTTACTGCTGATTGGCATGTCGATGCTTCTCCGCATTTTATGTTGTCTAGAGGTTTTTTTATAGTACGAGATAGATACGCTGTGATACAATGTATTTCCGTATATTATACGACGCTGACGATGCACGTAACACTACAGAGGCCCTATAAGTTGATATAGATCATGATTTCGATAGGCAGATGAGACAGTCAATTGTAAGCAGGTACTTTACCATGTTGGAATCACCTGTAAGATTCGAAACTTATACCTATCTAGGTATGAATGTGCCTGTGGCCGTGTTGGGATAGTTGGTGCATGAGGGAAGTTTATACAAGTGAAGCGGTAGAGCACACATCAATGTTGTTGTTACACTCTCTACCTATAGTGAGGTGTTGACTGAAAGCTTACCCAGGTGCCTTTTCTTTTTACTCATATTCAGCTCTGGCACATTATAGGCTAAACTTATTCGACGGAAATTGCATACATAGTAGTCCCCAGCGACATCCCTTTGCTATAATAGGATTACTCAGATGAGGAGGTGGGATATGTACTATTTGCTGGGGATGATACCCTTCGGTGACACCAACATACCTTGTATCTAATGCTTCGATATCACCTTGCATGAGGATTCCCACGCTACCTACCTAGGCATTGTGCAACTCGGACCAGAGGAATCGATAATACCTACCAAGATTATAAATACCTCGGTAGAGTCTCACTGGGTGTGGTGGGATTGAAAGAGAAGAGAAAAAAACCGCTCGCATCATTTTGTCATATTTACCTCGGGTATGCCAAGATGGGTGACAGCTACAGCGCAGTAATCAGCAAGCTCGACGCCTTTACGGCTACGGACTTCGAAGGCAACGAGCCGGGCAGGTTGCAACTCATAACAACCGCGCGCAAGCTAGTCAGCAGGCTGGAAACGAGACATGAGAAGATCTTCAATATCGATTTCCGGAACCCGGTTGAGTATGCGGTGATAAGAGTATGCCTAGATATTGGCCTGTGGCGCCAGTGGACGGTGGGAGGCGGTGGTGAAAAGACGGTTGAAGAGCTGGCTAAGTTGGCTGAAAAGGATATCGAGGTGAACCTGCTCCGTAAGTATCCGAAATATGTGCATGCGGTATTTGTGTCGAGCAGGGACTAAAACTCGCTCGAAAGGCCGTTTGCTGCGACTCTTAGGGGCCACGTACATTATTGAAGAAACAGGAGAAGATCGATACAAGCCGACGGAATTCTCGCTTTCTTTCGGCGATGAATCTACCACTATGCCAAGCGCTATCATTGCCATGTGAGATTTTATCATACTACATGAGCATAATAATGTGTGGCTGCTTATATTTTCTCAGGAGTGACCACTGGAGTCCCGCATCCATGAACTTGCCCTCGTTTCTAGCGAAGACGTCGTATCGAGAACCCCTAGACCCCAAGAATAGCAACTATATCGATGCCTTCCCGGAGAAACTATCATTCTTCGATAGATGTCTGTCTAATCAGAGATATCAGGATGGCTTTAGCGGCTTCATGATGGAGTGGTCCCTGTATAGAATTTCATGGCCTGAATTCTACGATACCACTGAGCTCGTTGCCGGCGCAGATCTTAATTCCGGCGCGCCGTTACTTGTTGATATAGGAGGGCACCACGGCCACGACATCTCCAATTTCTTGAAGGAGCACCCGGATGTGCCGGCCGGCTCTCTGGTTATACAAGATCTCGAAGCCGTCCTCGCGGATGCGCATCTTGACACCGACAAGGTCAAACTCATGCCGCATAGCTTCTTCGAGCCACAGCCTATTCACGGTAAGACCACTAAGAAGCCCTGCATGAGCGAGAGAAGATTGTGAACCTGGGAGCTGACAATATGATGTGTAAAATAGGGAGTCGCGCATACTTTCTCCGCGGCATCTTCCACGACTGGGCCTACGAGCCGTCCCTGCAGATTCTCAAGAACATCATACCAGCCATGAAGAAGGGCTATTCGAAGCTCCTCGTCTGCGACGTCGTGATCCCGCCGTCGGGGGCTAGCACCTTCCAGACGGGCATAGACCTGAACATGATGACGCTCCTGTCGGCGTACGAAAGGACAGAAGCCCTGTGGAGGAAGCTGCTGAATGATGCAGGATACAAGATAATCAAGATCTGGATGGATCACAAAGGATACGAGGGGCTTATCGAAGCGGAATTGGCTTAGATGGGGCGGAGATGGTGCAGCAGGTTGGTTGTTGGGACTCTGTGCAAAGGTTAGGTAAAGATAGATCATGACCATTTTGCGTTTTCAACAAAACAAAGCGGATCAGGATACATTGGTTGATGGGTAGAAAGCTACGTTACATTATACTTGAGTATTTTATTAGCAGTAATCTTTTCTAGACAATTGAAATGTTTTAAGAGGATTAAGCTTCTTTTTTTTGGTCTTCTTTATTATTCCGTGAATTACTTGATCGAAGTCAAGAGAGTGGAATAGGGGGGTTGATATAGACACCTAATCTTAAGTGGGTTTAGAAGGGTAACTGTGCAATACAATACGTAAGCCACGTTAGGTCTTCTAGAAGTGTGGCTTAGCACATCTATGCATCCATTATGTACCTTCAACTGTGACACCAAAACGCTTCAACTTCTTTTCGTTCGTGATTCACTCTTTTTCAATTGTACATACTGTATGAGACTAAGTTCCGTGTCCATCCAGAACTTGCGTACCAATCAGCCTACCCAAACAAACAGATGTCTACAATATTCTATTCACGTTAAATTAATATATAAGATGGAGTACCCTGATGTTCCCGAACAACCTTCATCACCTCCAGCTTCCCCCATTCCGGATAGGCCTACATCACCTGAACTTCCGCTCACCATGACTGCGTCAGCCGTTCTAACCGCCCTTCCTCAAGATGCAAGCTCGGCTTTTGCTAACGCTGGCAAATTCGAAAAGGAAAAAGTCCGCATCCGGTTCAAAGCCGTTGGAGGATCTGTCCCGCAGCTTAAGCGTGAAGTGCGCCAGATCAGTGCTGCGCAAAAGTTTGAGGCTGTCGTGTCTCACTTGCGCAAGGCACTGCATCTCAATCCCACCGATAGCCTATTTCTCTATGTGAATAGCGTTTTTGCTCCAGCTCTCGATGAGATTGTCGGCAACTTACATCGAGTATGTACATTCATTTTTATGTTAGATTCAACGATTTCAGTACTGAACACATCCAAATAGTGCTTTAAAGATTCAAACGATCAGTTGATCGTGGCTTATTCCATCACTCCAGCATTTGGATGAGATGTGCAATCGGTACAATCATGCCGTCTCAATTTACGCCAAACGCCTATCTATGCTAATACACCGAAATGGAGGGACGACGCAGCGCTCTAACCCTCTTTCCGCTTGTGCTATCATTCAGAATCCAATCAGAACCCAATCAGGTAACCCATATTGTATCATAGTTTTTCGACATCTCTTATGAAAGCCTCAAGTTCGCCTTCGGGGATAGGATATGTATGCTCTGGTCCTGGGTATTGACGTGCTTTTACCTCCTCTCTATAGGACTCAATAGCCCTACGGCTTTCAGCCCACACGTTGCCGTACTGCTTGACGAACTTGGGAAGGAAGCGGCCGGGTGGAAAGTTGCCAGTCATGTCTACCTGGACAAGGACCTGCCCAGAACAACCATTTCCCGCACCGATCCCGATGGTTGGAACGCGCAGCTTCTGCGTGATAACGCTTGCGACTTTTTCTGGAACTGCTTCCAGTACCATACCGAAGCACCCAGCTTCTTGGACAGCTAATGCATCTTCGAGGACTTTCATTGCACCTTTGGATGTTTTCCCTTGGACTCTAAATCCACCAAGGGATCCTTGGCGTTGGGGCGTGAGCCCGACGTGGGCTAGGACGGGTATACCAGCTTTTGTTATCTTCGCAATGGTCGGCGCCATCTCTGCTCCTCCTTCTAACTTGATACCCTGAACACGACCATGTTTAATGAATCGGATGGCTGTTTCTAGCGCTTGCTCTGGTGAGATTTCATATGACCCCATGGGAAGATCTCCAATCTGGTTGATATTAGCTTTTTTCCGTACCTATCTGAGCCTAACATGTGAGCTTACTGTGAAGGCTGCTTTGGTAGCACGAGCGACCGATCGGCAGTGCAACAGCATGTCCTCGACGGTTACTTCACTAGTATCTTCCATTCCTAAAGCGACCATTGCTAGACTATCCCCAACAAGAATCACGTCAATTCCAGCTGCATCTGCAACGTGTGCGCTTGGAAAGTCATGGGCTGTTATAAACGTGATAGGCTCCCCCTTTTTGTACATAGACTGGAGGGTTCCTAGGGTTACTTTCTTTCTCGAGGGATCTAACGCTGTGCCCAGGGGCGAGTGGGAGCTCCATCTCTGTTGGCATAATCGCTGCTGCTGCCATAAGGGAAGTAATTGTCTAGCACCTGCGAAAGAGGTAGTGTTTGGTAGGGATATCGCCTTACACGGCGACAATAAAGCACGTGACCTGGATAAGAAATGCGCCATTTGGTATATTGCGTCGTTGGGGATTAATTAGAGCGAATGTGATTTGATGATGTGCGTATTAATTAATTAGTACGTATGATATGATTATTCAGGAGATGAAACGGGGAGAAGGAAATAGCGGCCATGATTTAGAGCCGAACGCGGGTTTTATGCTTTGGTCATGATGGTTTTTGCTGCGTATAATTGAGTCTTATCTGAGTTTCTTTGGTGTTTTTTTTTTCTGATTGCCATGTCCACGGGTCTAAGCCGTCTTAGGTACCGCCGTACCGGGTGTCTACCTTGGTACGCAGGTACTTACCTCAGTACACCGACGCATACCGAGGTCTCGGTTAAATAGCGGCGATATCTTACCCCTTTAAACCCCCCTTGAATTGTATTGCAGCTTCATCAAAATGTGAAAGAATGATGGAAACAATTCTTTGAAAGGGGTATTTAAACGTAGGACTTCTTGCGAAGTGAAACTCAAAGGTGCTTAGGGAAACAACTTCGCTGCTCCAAACGGATTCTTGCGATGCCTGCTAATGGTTCCAGGATTTGGGCAGTACATGATATCTTCGAGACGAGCATAGCGAACAAGTACCAAGAGTTCAAAATCATGGCAGCTTAGGTACACAAAGGATTATGCGCAATCCTCAAAGACTTCTCAAGAAAGCCATATGGTGCCATAAGCCAAGTGTGAATAATGGATTTGCCCAGCCGCCTGGCAATTTGTACACGGAAACTCCCTTCTCGGGCGGGAAGGATGGATGTTTTGAAGGAAGGGATTCGAAAAGGCTTCAGAAAAAGCCACGATGCAAAGGTTAGAGCTGAGGTAAAACACACTGCTCACTTAATACAATTCATTGTGAAAGGTATGTTTCTTTATAATGCTTGACTTAATAAAACCGAGTTGAATTAGACAGTACCTACCTAGGTAGGTAAGTTTAGGATTTGGACTTAGGACCTAGGTATAAACAAAATGGGTGGATTTATATTGTATCGTGGCATGTCTGGTGAAAAGGCTGATCGATTAATGTGTATTAATAGGATTCGCCTTATGAATTTCCGATGGCATCATTTGCATGCAATCTGATTGCTCGATCCCGCGGGGATAACTGAATTATACTCTTAAATAAAGGTACAGCTTCCCCGCTCAGTCATATTATACTAAAAACCGGAAGAATATGGTAAACAGCTTCTATCACATCTGGCTCATGGGTTTTTCATAATATGATATGATTTTTGGAAAGATCTCTAATCGTCAACTGAATAAAACAACCAGCACGCTGCACGACTTTAACGAATTGCAGCATATAAAAAAACGAATACCTAATGTCTCCATCCAAAGTGGAAGATATCTCGGCTTACGAATATCCCGAGGAGACCAAAGAAAGATGTATGCTCCTACTTTGTGATAACCGCATACTTAAAATACTGACATAAGACGGGATAGTGGAATATGCCGAGTTGGAAGCGCTCGATATATCCAAACTGGACCAACCGGGTGGTAAGCAAGAACTGGCGGAGCAAGTGTTACGGTTTATCAATAAGAATGGTACGGCGAACCTAGCCTGGCACAAATTAGCAGTCGCTGAATACTTGCTACAGGATTCTTCTATGTTGTTGGTCACGGGTTCTCGGACGAGGAAGTCAGACGGCAGTACGCACTGTGCGAGGCATTCTTCGACCTGCCGCTAGCGGAAAAGACCAAGTTCCTATGCGACACAGCCAAGGGGGACTTCCGCGGGTACAAGCCTCAGTCTACGGGGAAGCTCGCGACGCGGGACAACGACGAGCGCTACAACATCCCCAAGTTCACGCCGGAGCACGAGCGGCCCCACCCGCCGCTCATCCGGGACCACTGGGAGGAGATCCGGGCGTTCTCGCTGAAGATCCACAACGACGTCCTGCTGCCCCTCCTGCGCCTGTTCGCCTACGTCCTCGAGATCGACGAGGACTACCTCGTCGAGCGCCACCGCTACCACGCCGAGGGCCTCGAGTATCTGCGGTACATGAAGTACCACCCGCGCGCGGCGGAGGCGGACGCCCGGGTCGGGAATATCTGGGCGAAGGGGCACACGGACTACAACACGCTGACGTTCCTGTTCCACCAGCCCGTCGCGGGCTTGCAGGTGCAGACTCCGGAGGGGGCGTGGAAGTACGTCAGGTCGCCGAGGGACGCGATCATCGTGAATATTGCGGACGCGCTGGAGTTTTTGAGCGGCGGGTACTTGAAGAGCACCGTGCACCGGGTCGTGCGGCCCCCCGAGGACCAGGCCGACCGTCCTCGGCTCAGCTTGATTTACTTTGCAAGGCCGGAGGCCAACATTCTCCTGAAGCCGGTGGCAAGCCCCTTGTTGCAGCGGCTGGGCTTACAGGCGGAAACGGAGCAATTCTCCCATGATGTTACCGCTGAAGGTATAGTATTATTATCAATAGTGATCTAGCAAGTGAAAATGGTATGCTAACTAAGGTTGTAGAATGGGCAAGGGCGCGAATCGCGAAAGACCATAGGTTCCGCACGGGATTGGTTGACCAGCGAGAGAAGGAGATTGTTGCTGGTGTGCATCAAAAATACTACGATTAAAGGCGTCCTTCGTACTTGCTACCCTACCATCATAGCTCAAGTCCTACAATATTATGTACCTAGGTAGGTAGGTAGGTACTTTAGGTACCTTTTGTTAAAGCGAAGCGCTGGGTTTATTACCTAGACGTGCGTGCTTGGAGGGAGATCCCCGTCGCATATATCTACACGAGCGTAGATATGACTGTGCTACTCGATTACCAGAAACCCATGGCGGGGAAGTTGGAAGCAGGGGGTTGGAAAGTGAGGACGATGGAGTTGGCCACTGGCCATGGTCATAGAATTCAGATACCCCTACTTACCTACGTAACATAACCACGATGTCCATCCTAATGCGCAGTATGTGAAACCCTAATAGATAACGAATGATGTTATGAATTTAAAAACATGGATGCGTTGCACAATATCCTTCGAAAGTTCAGGCAAAAGGTTTGGGCACAGGGTGAGATTTAAGTTCAACAACAAACCGCTGTAGGTAGCTGAGCCCCTCTGATTGGCAACCCCTGCCTGGCTGTGATGCGATCGGTGATGAAAGAGGCTGGATGCCGTGACGTCACGCCTGATCCTCCCTTCTAAGCAGCATATTGACGTATTTCGGTTTTGAGGAACCTATGATATACCTTGTGTAGGTAGGTACCTACATAATATAAGGTATATATAAATATATCGTCGATAGTACTCAAAAAGAAAAGCCAATTATTCATCGACAGTATCAAGATCAACTTAAATCATCTTCCGAAACACTTATCATCGCGAATTCGTATCTACTTGCTAGGTATTAGCTAACCCCTAATTATTACTATACCTACCTCCTATACAATAAAGCCCAACACCTTAACATCCACAATCATGCCCCTCGACAACAACAAGCCCAGCAGCGGCAGCAGCCAGGACTCGGGCGTGACCGGCGCAGCCAAGTTCGTCACGAGCACGGTCGGCAACGTCGCGGGCGGCGTGGGCCGGACGGCCGGCGGCGTCGTGGGCGCCGCGACCCGCGGGGTCGGCGACACCATCACGAGCGCCACGGGGTCCGCGGGGAAACCCGTCGGCGACGCCCTGAGCTCCGTCGGCACGGGCGTCCAGGACGGCGCCGAGAGCGTGTCGAAGGGCGTCGAGAACGCGGGTCAGTGGAAGCGATAAATTACCTAGGTACCTACCCAGGTAGCTAGCTACCTACCGTTAATGACCTGATTCGTGGCTTTCGACCTAGGACGCAAGTAAATAAAAAAGAAAAAAAAATAGTAAAGCCGGATGGGGAGAGGAGGAAAAAAAAAAAGGAAGGGCGGGGATTGATATGAAGTAATAATGAGATTGAATGATAACGTATGGGTGTAGGAAAAATAAACGAGAAGGATCTGTTTGTACGATTAATATGTTATGATTATCTACCTGACATTATAATACTTGTTAAATATGTTCTACGTATCGCACACTTCAAACATACCTAGTGCAATGCTATGAATCATTTGCTCAAACCAAGTCGTAGAAGTAAGACACGAGCACCAGCAATGTTAACCGTGGATATGAATAATCAGCCTGGTTTATTGGTTATATCTATACTGACATCACGCCGTACCAACGGAGGTACCTGAGGTAAGGTACCTGCTGAGGGCTAATCTACCAACATGGTTGTCGAGTAAGCCCTTATATCCTAAAGCTGGGTAGGTACCTAAGGCATACGACAGTGTGCCGAAGGCGAGGTCCCTCATACTTGTAGCTTATTAACAGGACTATTGAGACAAAACAATTACCCCATATCTCTGGGTACATGGCTCAACCTAACTCATTCGAACCAGGTTATTTCCGACCCAGAAATAGGCGTCGCTTGCTCGTCCATGCATATATGCGGCGTCTGATCTTCCGAGCACGAGACGCGACCGTGCCCGAGACTGTATCTTTTCTGCGTCGCCGACGAGCTTGTTTTCTTTCGTCGCCTCCGGGCCTCAGACTGTGATGATTTCCGCGATGACTTGCTCGACGCCGGCTTCCCGTCGAGGAGTCCTTGTAGCAGCGCTTTGGATGAGTGCTTTCTCCCCGCTCCCTCTCGCAGTGGCAATTCGTCCCACATTCGCGGGCGGGGTATGAATGCCTTGCGAGAGCTCTCCGGCGGCTCGTTTAGCAAGGGCATGAAACTGTAGTGGCGTAGTTTCTCCAAGAGGCCGTAGTTAGTACCGGCAGGTGTCCAAATTCCAGGGGGCTTAGCACTGCTCTTCCGGCGATGTGAAGACGCGCCCATTGAACGCCCCGCCTTCCTCCCATATGTCTTCCTCTTTTCTAGTTTCGTCGGCCATTGCGGTAAATATTCAGGAGTATAAGAATCAGCGGGTGGAGCAGGTGTTTGACGTGGTGATTCTTCGAGCATTTCCAAAGGCCTCGAAAAATTAACCCCGCAATGCGCATCCACGCCGCAAGCGTAAAGGTCCGCTACCATTTCTCTCTGTTGCGGTATATCAGGTTCCTCAAAAAGGCCGAGTGGCGTCAGCCAGTCACCAGTACAGAATCTCGAGGGAAGTTTGGGGAAACGCGTCATGGAGCCATCCCGGCGATGGGTGGCGGGGTTCTTGAAATCTCCCAAAGAAGCCCTGGGGCTAACTGGCTCAGATGCTGAGCGTCTTTTCTTCTGAAGTGTAGGCTCCTTTTCACGGGACAGACCCTCAGCTATAGAATAGAATTTCCCGCTTATCCTTCGTACGTCGTTGAGAGATGGCGAGTTTGAAGCGCCTAATGACGATGCGCGTGTGGATACATTTCGAGACACCTCCATGGATTCCACAACGCTGGCACAAGGCTCCCTTACTGCCTCTTGGACTAAATTTCCCGGGGCAAACCCCTATATGACCTCGGTGATACTTTGTCGGGATATGAACGTAGTTCTAGTGGTATCGACAAAGTGGCTATAGTAGTCAGAGCAACTAGTTGTGCTAAATGAAGGCCGGACTGAACTGATCGTCGTAGTTGGATCGGCAATGCTAGATGCTCCGGGAACAATAGAGTCCGCACTGGGCCTCGGTTTTACCAGTGGATCCTTAGGTAAGAGCATCGAGAGACATTCAACCGAGGAACTGTCGTTGCGAACGCTCCGAATACCAGCGATCGCAATATCTAGAATCCCGGTAATATCATCCGCAGTAACTAAATAGCTATCTGTTGCTGTTTCGTTAACTTCAGGACGCCAGATTCTAAAGCTATTGTGGCCAGTCCAGAACCTCGATACGGGCAACGGATTTTTGTTGACAGTTGCAAACCTTTCTGTTCGATATGAGCAATCATCATGCCTCCTGTTAGACAAATAAGCTCGGATATTACAAACGATGGTATCTGCTGCCTGTCTATTGATGGTAAAGGGATTATCCAACACGGATCCTTCTAATTCGGATTGGGGAGTTCCCGCTCCGGCATATGCAGGACTCCAGCAGTCTGTTTCAGCAGGGGATCTCGGAGATGAAACCAAATGCTTCCTATAGCCGTTACTGTCTAGGCTTGAATCGTTCGCCAGTGGCTGAAGTATTGGTATACTTTCTGATGTTCCATGGAATGTCCTGTGGAGACGACGACTTATAGACTTCGGGCAAAAGTGATGGCGTCTCGGGTTACGGTGATGGTGCATAGCAAAAGGAGTTGCTGGTCGCTGCTTCGAGGCAAGTTTCGACTCTGGGCTTGGGGGTTCTGAGGGAGATGTGTGAGTTAACCAACCAGACTTGTAGGTCGAGGAGGGAGACTGTGCGGGTATAGTGCTATGGTCCGTCTCTCGTAAATCTTGTGAAGGTATAAGGCTAAGATCTCGACTGACTACACGACTAGACAGTGCACTGTAGAATTGATCATCATCTAGGCTGCTGACAGACATGCGACCAACGGCAGAGTTACGAGCCATTGGTTCTTTCAGTCTCTATCGCTCGAGACTTTTTCCAATAATAGGGGTATGAAAACAGTGATCATGTTCTATAGGGTATACGAATATGAGTTGAATAAAGGGTGATGAGAGGCGTTTAGGGAAGGATAGAAAATTGGTATGCGGATCTCGAGGTGTAATACTCTGAGATGTTACCTAAACCTACCTCCTATACACACAAAGGAGGTATGTACCCAATTCTATACGATAACAACTCACTAAAAGAAGGGACGAGATGCTCGTCGATAGCCGGTATTTACCTAAGTGGTTGCAGTATGCTTACCTGAAAGAAGCTAAAGCTGATAGTCGCACCGGCACATTGTGAATTAGTCGTAATTACTCTAGGGTGATGAGGTAATGTTATGGGAAGGTTTAAACTAGGGACGAAGCCGAATCGGAAGTCATACCTGAAGCCATCCTGTACTTATCCGAAACTGTTAATGCAGACCTAACCTTGTATGTAGAAGCAATGCAATTCGGAGCTTAATATATGGCTTAGCGAGTGGTTCGTCATACACTATTTAGCCAGTGGCTTATACGTAAGAATTGAAGGCGGTCTAGCTTGAGATCTGATCAACTCAAGTAGAAATATTGCAGTACGGTATCATTCCGGAAGGGGTCTTTGAACTAGTTCCGACTGGATGCGTTAGGTTCCGGTAAATGCTCGCCCTACATCGACATGCATCAGCCGGTCTTAGGATTAGTACCTATATAGCTATAGGAGGTCAACGCGGCTCAATGAAAAAAGAAAAAAAAACTTAAACCATTAAGTGAGAATTGCCTTAGGTACCTACCTACCAGGTAAGTAATGACACATATGCAGGTACGCTTCCAGAACTGGGCGAAAGGGGGGAAAATGTTAAAAAGTCTCGTTTCTCGGTTACGGGCATATGTTGTTCGAAACTCCGACTTCCGTCTCTTGGTCTCTTGGAAAATTGACTAATGCAATGCAAGTTATCTTCCTTGTACCGGTTTATAATTATGATTTGTGTAAGTTCAAAAGTCAACAGACGTTTTATCGATGTGTCTTTGATGCGTTGTAGATTATTGAGAGAATCTCGAAGTGGCACCAGGGGATCAGTACCAGGTAGGTAACTGTAGATTAAGAGGTACATTGTACACATAGAAATGCGCTATACTGCTTACTATAGTTAGGTAGGTAGGAAGTAGCCACCTGGGCAACTCTCCACATCTTCCATCACTTTTACTTAAGTATGGCAGTTGTCTAGTCTAGATCTTGGGAAGCTAGAGACTAGAGCACATAACCAAGTCTCAGCCACCTCTAACGCTCTCGGCAGCGGCCGTTTGGTGAGTTATTATTAGCTAACCCCCCGCCATTCGTCTATACCTATCACCCCACATAAGTCCGGCGACACGGAAACGCATCTTTGCAATTCCCAGATTACCTATTTAGTGTAACTCTCGGTACCGTCTTGACCGTCTCAAAGTAAAGTATGTACATACCTACATACCAGCTACCTAACTTAACCTAAGGTACCTCCATACCCATGTCTCTCTCATAGTAATTACCTACCTGGTATAAGACAGCTGACTACCTACTAATAGGTATACAAGCCAACACGTACACAGGCACAGCTTTTCGCCCGCAGCCGAAATCGCATAGGCGGTCTACATAAATCTTGACAAGCGTTTCCCAATCTCAATCTCGCATGAGTACCTTCGTACGTGTCGCACCGTTATTGGGATCACTCTTGCTCGTCCTGTGAATAGCCTAGTTTCTGATTACCGCCTCGCTGTACAAAGGGGGGGAAAAGAACGTGTGTTAGGAGATTGACGGTCAAGTAGGGGGGCTAACGAAATCATTGCTTGAGACGGTGGCGACAGCGGAAGTTTCTATTTAATTTTCCCTTCCCCCTTTTTTCCATCTCGTCTATAATTCTGTTCCCGAGTGGTTGGTCTTATTCCGTTTTATACTTTACCTAGGTAATTAAAACATCTCTCAAAACTCCGCATAGGAGGTATATAACTACCACTACCTCGGTTAGGTACCTGATATCAGAAGAATCAGAAAAAGTCAGAAACATCAGAAGCACGCTCGATAAACGACGGAATAGTTCTTGGATCCTTTGCCTTAGGTTAGGTACCTCTTTTCATCAAAATGTGCATTGTTCTCATCACGACGGCGCATCCGAAATATGCACTTATCGCTCTTGATAACCGAGACGAATATATCCTGAGACCCACTAGTCGGCCGCACTGGTGGACACACCAACCTTCGGGAGAAGAAATACTGTCCTCGCGAGACTTGTATCGTAAGGAGCGGGGCACGTGGCTGGGCGTCACCAAATCCGGACGATTCGCCGTGCTGACAAATTACCGGGAGTCGAGCGAAGATGACCCGGACCCGGATCACGCCATCGCCGGGGTCAGGAGCCGAGGTACGATAGTGAATGCCTGGTTGGGCGCCCCATCAGGACTTGGCCTCGAGGACTTCGTCAGCACCATGCTTGAGGATCGCGCTACCAAGGGCGTTGGCGGATTCTCTCTCGTATGTGGCGATTTGAAGCAAAGGACAGAGAAGGGTATTAAGCCGCTCGCAATTATTTCCAACCGGTGGGACCATGTCGGTGAGGTCCCGTGGATTGGTGGGGAGCGGGCGCAGACATACGGCTTAAGCAACGCTGTATACGTGGAGCCTGCTCAGTGGGAAAAGATCAAAATTGGAAAGGAATTAACGAAGGAGGCTATACAAGAAGCCATCGAGAAGGACATGGATGAAGAAACACTTACCGAACGGCTCTTTGCCGTCCTCGACCACGACACACTACCGCTGGAGCCGAATATGAGTTTTCAAGAGTACATGAATGCCCTTCGGAAGTCTGTATTCATCCGAAGCTTCGCGGGAGACCAAGGCTGGAAGGAAATGGCTGACGCAGCCAATGAAGGGAGGGCAAAAGCAGCATTTGATGAGATCGAGGATATCAGTGAGTCGGAAGAGCACAAGGATGCACATAGTTACTTCATGAAGGGGGCATATGGTACTCAAAGACAGACAATTCTTCTTTTAGACTGGGAAGGCAATATTACATACAAAGAGCGGGCGTTATACGACTCACACGGAAACCCGATTGAAAGAGGAAAAGGGGACGAGACGTTCAAGTTTAAGATAGAAGAATAAGGTGGTATAGAATCTATAATGGGGAAATAAACAGATATCTTTGGGACATCCCAACGTGTTATTAAACACCCTTTTTGATAGCATCTCCTCATGGCGTTCTACCCATCACACATAAGTCTTGGGTAGCAGGTAGCCAGTTTATCACACCTTAAGTAAATAAATTAAATACATAATACACTACCTTAGGCAGTATCGAACATGTCGGTGATATTACGGCTTGATCTGTACCTACCATTTGCCCTATAAGTCTTATTAAACTTAACAACCCTTCTAGCTACTACACGCTACCGTCAATATCAAGCTATGAACCGTACATGCTAGACGATTTATTACACATGGAACAGTAAAATGTTAGGATTCGTCCTTAGGATAACTAGAGAATATACCAACACCTCCCTCTCATTTTCTTTTCTTTTTTTAAAAAAAATGTTCATAGAGGCATACTATATAGAGTCACTCAAGTAGCCCCTATTCATGGCTTCAAGTACTACCGGACTGCTACAAGCTGTAGGTAATTTCAGTAGAGGTACTTATGAAAATACCACCACTAGACACTGTCAATTTTATAATCGGGAAGTAGCTGCCATGTGCAGGTTCACGACATAATCAAAGAAGGGGTACCTCGAGGAGGTACTCACGATGATGAAGAAACTGCAGCCACCACCTATTAATTTCTCTTTGCAGGTGTCAGTCAAAATAAACTAGAGCCCTTCAAGCCAAAACCTAACCATTTGGAGATACTTCAGATTGTTTCCTGTTTTGTTTCCCGTTTAGTTTACACACCCTGCCTCATCTCGACAGCAACAGGCTGCGGTTTTTGAATTTCTCTTGCAATACAACCCAATTAATTCCTTATCTTCCTTGGTCGAATATCTATGACAACCGAACATCAACAGACATAGGCACAGGAGATATCGCATATTACTCCGCAAGACTTGTTGCAAGCCGAGTTGTGCCTCTTGAATAATCTCGTCGAGGGAGTTTGTGGATTGCCTCCTCGCGCTTGGTTCCTTATACCTCAACATATCCTTAGCACTGTTAAGCACTTGGAGCCAGTACATGGTCTACTTATTTTCTTAGATTGCCTTTGAACGCGACAATACTCTTGAAAAAAAAAATACTGGTATCATGGCTCCGCCACATCAAACTCCCCAATCGGGAGCCCAGCGTCAGCAGGGACTTCCAGGAGCCGATACGCCAGAGATGGGGTCTCTTCGTCGAGCATCATCCTTTCGAGGTGGTTCCCGACGAGGCCGAGGTAGGGGTCGACCGGGTGGTCGCGGAGGCAATCGAGGAGGTAATCGAAATAGCCAGTTACCACTAAGCGCAAGTACCGGCGTTCTTGGTCGGCCTGGTCAAGCGACGACGATGTTGCCGCCAGCATTTCAGCAGCCAGGCATTTCGTTACCATTTAATACGGGTTTCCAGCATCGCCCCTCAGGATCTATATCGTCTCGACAGCTGTCAGCAGGCTTGGCGACTGGCGGACCGCCATCCAGCCAACCTACTACGGGATACTCAACTATTACGGCATCTAGGACTCCCCGACTATCTGTTGCTGACCATCCAAACCCATTGAGAAGTCACCCTACTCAGGAATATTTGGATGTACTTGCTACTGGATCTCAAGAGGCTCTTGAGAAGTACGTACCAGGACCCCTGAGACATTTGCAGCCGGCCACGAACCTGCCGGCTCCCCCGTCAACCGCCACGCACCAGGCAGGTGTACCAAAAGCGTCGTCGCGAGCGCTACTACCGGTGCCCGAGTCGTCGGGAGCAACAACTTCGTCCGTCACGGCATCCGCATCTGGGGTTATTCCACGTTTCAGGGCAGAAAACATCAACCCTTACCTCTCAGACGTCGATCTCGGTAGAAAGCATAGGGACAGTCTGGAAATATCCAGCGTGAAGAAGGTACCCAAGCGCACGCCGCCCAGGGCAAAGGGAAAGTTCAGCATGGATGCGTCCAACATCGACCAGACGATCCCCGAGTTACCAGAGCAGATTCCGGAAAGTGTGAAGGAGAATAATTACAATCATAATAATGATCATTATTATGGTCATAATTATAATAATACGGAACAGAGAGCTCCTGCCCTAGACAGACCTCTGGACAGACCTTTGGACAGACCTCTCCTTCCTCGACCTCCTGCGCAGCAACTGCCCAAACAAACTTTCATGAGCACAGGTAACCTTCCTTCCATGAATTTATCTCGACCCCAACAACTCCCCCAGCAACTTCCTCAGCAGCTTCCCTTGCAGCTTCCTCAACCATCACCTCGCCAGATGCCAAGCTACAGAGCCGAGAAGCGCAGCGGCATTCCCAAGTCACGCACCTTCAACGTACTTTCCACTCTAACGTCTTCGTTTTCGCGCGCGTCGCTATCCGACAAAAACAACAATAGCAGCAACAATACCAATCGCAGCAATCTACGTCGTCGAATCGGATCGCCAATCATGGCTCCCGCTTCTGCCCTCGCTTCCTTCGACAACCACGGTAACGGCAACGGCAACGGCAACACGTCCCTAACCGAAGGAAACAATAACAATAACAACAACCCTTCTTTCCCCTCGGCCGTAATGACGACCCCTACCCTAGTAGCTTCTTCGTCTACTACCCCCTCGTCCGCCGCCGCCGTCCCGACCATCCCCGTCCAACGCAACCCGCGCATGGTCTACGCGGCCAAGGACCCGCCGTACTGGACGGGCCGCTTCGTCGCGATGCAGGACAAGCTGCGCAACGAGAACCTGCGCGGGCAGACCCTGAACGCGATCACGACCGCCACCATCTCGGAGCAACAGCACCAACAGCAACAAGCCGCCGCCGCCGCTTCTTTCCCGACCTCGCACCACAGCATGGCTGACATGCCCGGCGTCACCACGCAGCTCCTGTCGGGCGAGGCCGTCGCCGCGGTCCAGGCCGCGTCGGACATGACGGACGACGACCACCGCATCCGCCGCGTGTTCCGGCACCTGGAGGCGCTGTGCGCGAACCGGTCCGCGCTCGACAGCATGCACGAGTTCCAGCAGGACTACGCGCGGCTCGTCGGCAAGAAGGGTCTGCTCCCGCCCGGCTCGACCTGGGATGACTACGGTGATGGCAACGGTGACGATAAGGATAAGGATAAGAAGGCAACAGGAGGAGGAGGAGGAGGAGGAGGAGGTGGTGGAGGACAGGGTTGGGTCGGCCGCATTTTCAGCGGTAGTAGCAGCGGAAGTAATGGCAAGAAGAAGTAAGATGGAACGGACGGGATGAACGAGCGGATGGTTGGGTTGGATCGGATGAGAGCTGGTGCGGAAGCTAAAGATCCGACTTGACTCCGACGGACTCTCACCACCACCGGCGCAACAAGACTTGCTACGGAGACGACTTGTGCGAAATTTCGATTCTCGGAGAAAGTTTAATACTTTTTTTTTTCCTTCTCGGTTGTATTACTCATTTCTACTTCACTATACGCCGCTATGTTTTAATGACGATGTCCAAGGAAAAGGAAGTCAGGGGAAAAAAGGAAAGAAAAAGGAAAACGGAAGTGGATATGTTCCATAGGGAAAAGGACTTGATACTCGTTCTGATTATTCTAGGAGGGAAGCTTCACGAAACAGGAGTGAAACTACTCATTACCTGGAAGCATTAGTTAGGCGTTGTGTAAGTTATGTTATGAGAGACGAGGGACGAGAAACGAACCTTACGGACTTTTATCACTGTACAATATTGTCGGGATCGAGGATACGCACCGTCGGTCTAGTTACGATCAGTAATAACATAATACACCGGCTCTTTAGCCAAAAAGTCTCAATGTCTTGTATTATTACAATTATCCCAGTTTGAATCATCTGATTTTGCTGGGAGTACACCTTTTATTTCGGATTCCATTCGTCGCGATCATGGCGAGCTGCCTTATTGTATAAAAGGCTGATTTTATGAGCCGCCGTGTCTATCTTAATCATATCGTCAACCGTGTAACGCGCGCCCTTACCGTACCCTAATGCACCATGTAAACCGCTTTATAACTCCTGATACCTGAAGATAACGATTGCCATATTTAAACCATAAAATACCTGATAAGTACCTAGGCAGACCAGAACGGGGGGGGGGGGGGGGGGGGAAGACGATTAAAAAAAACGGCAAAAACTTATATTAACCAAAAAATTTTTAGAAATATTTGCCCACTTTGGCCTAATACAACAAAACCATAAAAAATTTTATTT